CCAAACTCATTTGTTAAATCTAGTAGATTTTTGATGGAGTCTTTAGGGTTTTCTATGTACAATTTTATGTGATCTGCAGATAATGACAGATTCACTTCTTTCTTTCAAATTTGGATCCCTTTTAATTTTTCTTCATGTCTAATTGCTGTGGCTAAGACTCCAGTACTATGTTAAATAAGACTGGTGAAAGTGGGCATCCCTGTCTTGTTCCTGTTCTTAAAGGAAATGCTTGTATTTTTTGCCCATTGAGTATGATGTTGGCTGTAGGTTTTTCATATATGGCCTGTATTATGTCGAGATATGATTCCTCTATTCCCACATTGCTGAGTGTTTTTATCAGAAATGGGTGCTGGATTTTGTCGAATGCTTTTTTAGCATCTATTGTTATGATCATAATGGGTTTTATCTTTCATTTTGTTTATGTGATGTATCACATTTATTAATTTGCAAATATGGTACCAGTCTTGCATCACTGGGATGAATCTAACTTGGTCATAGTGAATAATTTTTTCTTTCTTTCTTTTCTTTTCTTTTTTTTTTGGTACATGCCCCTAGCAGGAACCGAACCCAACACTCTCTGGTCCGCAGGCCAATGCTCCAACTGCTGAGCCAAACAGGCCAGGGCATGGTGAATAATTTTTTTGGTGTATTGCTGGATCTTATTTGCGAATATTTTATTAAAGATTTGGCATCCATGTTCATCAGGGATATTGGCCTGTAGTTTTTTCTGTGTAGTGTCTTTATCTGGTTTTGGAATTAGAATTATGCTGGCATCATAAAACAAGTTTGGATGTCTTCCTTCTTCTTGAATTTTTTGGAATAGTTTGAGAAGAATGGGTGTTAGTTCTTCTTTGAATGTTCTGTAAAACTCCCCCATGAAGCTGTCTGGGCATGGGCTTTTGTTTGCTGGGAGTTTCTTGATTACATCTTCAATTTCCTTAGTTGTTATTGGTCTGTTCAAGTTTTCTATCTCTTCCTGGTCCAGTTATGAAAGACTATGTGTTTCTAGAAATTTGTCCATTTCCCCTAGATTGTCCAATTTGTTGGCATATAATTGTTCATAGTATTTGTTAACGATGTTTTGTATTTCTGTGGTGTCAGTTATTATTTCTCTGCTTACATTTCTGATTTTTTTAATTTGGGTCCTCTCTCTTTGTTTCTTTGTGAGTCTAGCTAAAGGCCATCGATTTTGTTTATCTTTTCAAATAAGCAGCTCTTTGTTTCATTGATCTTCTGAATTGTTTTTTCAGTCTCTATGTCATTTATTTCTGCTCTGATCTTTACTATTTCTTTCCTTCTACTTGCTCTAAGTTTTTCTCTTTGTTTGCTTTCTAGTTCTTTAAGTTGTGAGGTTAGATAGTCAATTAGAAATTTGTTTTGTTTTCTGAGGTAGGCCTGTAGTGCTATGAACTTCCCTCTCAGGACTGCTTTTGCTGTGTCCCATTGATTTTTGTGTTGTGTGTTCATTTGTATTGGTTTCCAGGAAGTTTTTATTTCTTTCTTGATCTCCTTGGTAACCCATTTATTCTTTAATAACATGCTATTTAGCCTCCATGTGTTTAGATGTTTTTGCTGTAATTGTTTTCTAGTTTCATGCCATTATGATCTGAAAAGATGCTTAATATGATTTCAGTCTTCTTGAACTTGTAGAAACTTAGTTTGTGTCCCAACATGTGGTCTGTCTTTGAGAATGTCCCATGTGCACTTGAGAAAAATGTGAATTCTGCAGTTTTGAGGTATAATTTTCTCTAGATATATATTAAATACATTTGATCTAGTGCATCATTTAGAGTCTCTGTTTCCTTGTTAATTTTTTTGTCTAGAAGATCTATCCAGTGATGTCAGCAGGGTGTTGAAGTCCCCTGCTATGATTGTATCATTATCGAGTTCTCCTTTGAAGTCCTCCAGAAGTTTTAAAATACATTTTGGTGCTCCTATATTGGGTGCATATATGTTTACCAAGGTTATATCTTGCTGTTGGATAGATTCTTTCAATATTATGCAGTGGCCTTATTTGTCTTTAGTTATGGCCTTAATTTTGAAGTCTACTTTATGGGATATGAGTATTGCTACCCCAGCTCTTTTTTTCTTTCCATTTGCTTGGAAGATTTTTTTCTATACCTTCACTTTCAACCTATGTGAGTCTTTTGTTGTTAGATGTGTCTCTTGTAAACAACATATATATGAGTCATGCTTTCTTATCCAATCAACTACTCTGTGTCTTGATCAGAATGTTTAATCCATTAACACTTAAGGTTATTATTGATATGTACTTATTTATTGACATTTTTGTTTATTATTTCATTTTTCCTCTTATTTCTTTTACTAATTGCAGCAGTCCTTTTAGCATTTCTTGCAGTGCTGGTTTGGTGTTAATATATTCCCTTAGCCCTTTTTGTTTTGTCTGGGAAACGCTTTATTTCACCTTCTATTTTGAATGATAGCCTTGCTGGTAGAGTAGTATTGGATTCAGATCCTTGTTTTTCATGACCTTGATTACTTCATGTTATTCCCTCTGTTGAAAAGTCAGCTGATAGCCTTATGAAGGTTCTTTTGTAGATAACCTGTTGTTTATCTCTTGCTGCATTTAGGATTCTCTCTTTGTCTTTAATTTTTGGCACTTTACTTGTTATGTGTTTTGATGTGGGCCTGTTTGGGTTCTTCTTACTTGAGGCTCTCTGTGCTTCTTTTATTTGTATGCCTTTTCCCTTCACCAAGTTAGGGAAGTTTTATGTCACTATTTCTTCAAATATATTTTCTAATCCTTGCTCATGTTCTTCTTCTTCTGGAATTTCTACGATGCGGATGTTGTTACATTTCATATTGTTCCACAGTTCTCTTTGGCTGTCTTCCTGGGTTTTTTTTATTTTTTATTTTTATTTTTTTGGTTCTCTGATTGGGCAATTTTTTCTACCCTGTCTTCTAATTCACTGATCTGATCCTCAGCCTCCTCTACTCTGCTGGTTATTCCTTCCAAAGTGTTCTTTATTTCTGCTATGTCATGGTTCATTTCCAATTGATTGGTTTTCAATGCTTCTATATCTTTACTAATGCTGTTGAACTTCCTCATGATTATTACTCTGAACTCTCCCTCTGATATTTTGCTTAATTCCCTTTCATTTTCTGTCAAATTATCTTGTTCTTTCATTTGGGGTCTGTTTCTTTGTTTCACCATTTTAGCCTTCTCTGTGGGTTTTGGAGCCTGTCAGATTTTCCCTGTGGTATTCCACTGGTTGTGGCTCCCTCTACTGGGTTTGGATAAGTATAGGAGGACCCAGGTTAAACATCACTGTCAAGACTTACTTTCCTGGGTAGATTTGCAAACCCAGGAAAGGTTCAGTTATCCTTTAGCTTTTTGCCTGAAGGCTATTAGTCTCAATAACTTGATGAGCCTTGGGTTGTAGCCCAGAACTAAATGAAAAATATCCCTTAGGTGTTCAGGGTAAGAGTATTTGCAGAGGGTGGGGCAGATGCTTGCTGGCTGTTAATGATTCTCAGTTTGCATTTCTCTGGCCTGGCCAGGTGGTATTAAATTCCTGAGGGAGGGGCTGTTGCTTCTTTCTGGGGCTCTGGGAAGGGGCTCTTTGAGTAAGGTGGCTACTGTCCTGTAAGAGAGTAATTCAGCACAAAACTCCCAGTGTCCTCCAAATCTGGAGTCTCTCCACACAGTTCCAGTCCAGTCTGCTCTCCCTCTGCCAGAGCCCACATTGAGTGGCTGTAACTAAAATAATGCTCTGACCTGGCCCTCTGCACTGTGGAGCTGGCTTGGTATTTTAACCCTGAGGGAGCTGCTCACAGCTAAAACGGCTGCTGTCCGTAGGCTCCCAGCCTGCCCTCTCACACCTCTGCAGTTCCTACCAGGCTCAATTTTGTGTCCTTTTTCTGACCATGGTTATATGGGTCCTCTCCAGCTAATTTTCTGTTGGTTTTTCCAACAATTTGTCTTTATTTTAGTTGTAATTCCAGTTTGGTCCTGGGAAATGGTCTGTGTAGCTTCCATTCTCTCTGCCATCATTTTGGAATCTCAGATTCTTTCTTAAAGAGGGATCTGCCTCTGGGCTCCATAACTTTCAGCAGGTTTCTGAACAGTAACCCTTCTTGGAGCCTCTGCTGGTGCTGGGACTCCTCAAGGGAGAGACAGCCAGTGTTTCCTAAACCTGTCTGACCAAGGAATACTTTTCTTTTGTCTCATGGGACCAATGCTGTTTGGTGGTACAGTAATTTCAAACTGCATCCCAACCCACCAGTGGGTCATGAAACAAGTTTTTTTAAACCAATTAAATAGCACAGAATGGAAAATACCACAGCACATTGCTCTTGGTAAGAACCAGTACTGAATATTTTCTCTTAATTATGTGTGCAAGGTGAGGTGTGTCTGTATAGGACACAATACAAAGGATCTTTCTTACTGAGGCTCATGTCTGAAAAGTCTTCAGAAACAGCTCTATGGAATGCACTTTGGTTTATGCTGTAACCCCAACTCCTCCTAGACTGACCTCCTCCCCTGTGCCCTGGCCCATGCTAGCTCTTGCCCTTTCTCCTTGCAAGCTTGCCCTCTCTGACCCAGCTTCCACTCTGCAGCTTGAGTGATCTTTCTTAAATGCAAATCTGCTCCCATACTCCCTCAGAAGCGTTCCCACCTCTCCCATCACTTGCAGATTGAATGCTAAATTTTTTAGCCTGGCATTCAAGGCTCTGCAGTATTAAGCCCCTTCTACTAATGAGTTTTTTCTGTCTCCCACGGCCTTCCTCATGGATCCTGTGCTCCAGGCAAATTTCTCTCTCTGCAAGCTCACATGTTTTCTGACCTCTGAACCTTTACCTGCACTTTGCCTTCCTCTTGGCACACCCTTGGCTGCCACTGGTGTCCAGTGCCATCCTACTTAGTCTTTCATTCTGGGCCTCACTACCTCCTCCGAGAAGCCCTTACAGAGGACCTCGCTAAGAGTACATTTTCTTCTCTCTGCGTCCATCATGGGCACCCCTCCTCTGGCCCTTAGCCTTTGGAAATGCCAAGACAATTCGAAATGACAACTCGAGCCGCTTCGGGAAGTACATCGACATCTACTTCAACCCCAGCGGGGTGATTGAAAATGCACGCATCGAGCAGTTTCTCCTGGAGAAGTCCAGGGTCTGCCGGCAGGTGAGGCATCCACCTGATGCACTGGTCCCAAGAGCAATCTCTACTTGCCCCAGAGTGGGATTCGGGGTTAGGGAGGCTTCCAAGAAGGGCCCCCTTCTGTCATCTCAACCCTCCCCTGTCTTCCCAGGGACTTCTCAGCTCCCCTGTAGGTCTTAGCTGCCACTGAATCCTGGTCCTACCCTGAGATGGACCAAGGGTCCCTAGAATTGGATGATAATGGTTCTTGCCCAAGAGTCAAAGAAAAGAAATGATAGGATTTTTTGTTCTGAATTTTCCACCCATATAACATTTTTCATCCTTTGGTGGCTACTACTCCTCACCTTTCCTGGAATTAATCTGAGGCGGGGCCAGTTCCAGCTGAGGGCTCCCTGGTCTGTGACTTTAGAGAGGGTGCCTTCAGGGCTCTGGGGAAGTGCCTGGGAGAGAAGGGTTCCCTGGGCAGGGTGGGCAGCCTCAGCACAGGGCTGCGGGCGCCCGCTGGGCCTGGGGCCAAGATGGGGACAGCAACCAGGTCAGCTGTCCCTCAAGGCAATGCCAGAGCCATACCTGGCTGAGAGGCCTTGGAGGAGAAGCCAGGACAGGACTGGGGGCAACAGTCTGAGGCCCTGCAGCTTCAGAGAGTTGCTTTCAAGTTCTCCAGCCTGCCTTCCCCACCAGGCCCCGGGGGAGCGGAACTACCACATCTTCTACTGCATGCTCATGGGGATGCGCGCTGAGGAGAAGCAGCTGCTGAGCCTGGGGACGCCCCCCGAGTACCACTACCTGACCATGGTGAGCCCCTCCCACCACCTTCCCTCCCCACCTCTTCTCGCCCCACCCTTCTCCCCCTCTCAGCCTCCTGCCCGGCCTCCCCTTGCCTGGTGGTCTTTCTCCTCCAGCCCTGCCCTCCACCCACCCTGCCCCCGCCTCTCAGCAGCTAGAGGGGAAGAGGAAGGAGGGCTGGTTGCTGTGCTGGTTCAACCTTTGCTTTAGCAGCTGAAAAGCCCAAACTCTCAGGGGATCCCCCTTTCAGGCCCCCTCCACCCCTCTCTGTGGTTGGTTTCCACTTTACGACCATCAGAGACCTGCCCTTGTCTGAGGCTTCATGATTCCTGCAGAGCAGATGGGCCCTCCCCACTACGCTTACCTTCCTTTGAGACCAATGAACAAAAGGCTTGTCACCCACTAGGTCACAGGCAGTGGTCTCCATGCCCCTACCCCATCCTGTGGGTGTGTCTAGAACTTGAACTCCAGCAGAGCAGGGGTCTTGCTTGCACTTGCTCTGGCTGCATCCCTCCTCCCTCGGGTCCCCACCCTACCCCACCCCACCTGGGACAGTGCAGCCGAAGGGCCTCTGCTCCTGTCTGCTGGCAAGGGAACCCTGAGTGCCCACTCATGAGTCTCTCCCGTGCACCCCCTCTCCTGCGCTCACTGCCTTGCCCAGACCATGCAGGACCTGGTCCCTCCTCTGCCCTCATCTATCACCTACCCTGCCGGCTTGACCCCTACTCGTCCTGCAGACCTTCCGCATGCACATCTGACAGGCCACGTCTCCACGGACCGCTCTCCCATGGCCTGTAGCATGGTTCCAAGTCCCTCCAGACCCCACCTCCTGTAGTCCTGGCTCCAGCCTCCCCCTTCCTGCTCTCTGCCTAGCCCTCCTGCTCCCCAGCACCACTTTGCAGCTCAGCCTGTGGGGCCGGCTCAGGAGCCTCCTCCTGGAAGCCTCACTTGCCGGTGGGCTGGCCCCACCTGCTTTGGTCTGGGCGCCTGTAACAGTTTGTGAGACAGCCCCACCCCCCATGCACAGGGCCCAGGGTGGCACAGAGCCAGGCACAGTGCGCCCTGGAAAGTGTGTGTCAGATGAACCATGGTATTCCCCAGAGAGGGTGAGGCAGAGTTACTGCAGATGGGGGCAGAGTGGGCTCAGAGAAGCCGAGCGACTTGCCGTGGACACACAGCTGCCCAGTGCCAGTGCCAGCTCCAGAGCCCCGCACTCTGTCTGGCCTCCGGTTCTGCCCCGGAGGTAGTGTTTTTTGCACTTGGACCTTCCTATAGCCCCTCAGGGTCCACCCAGAGCACACGCAGTGTCACTTCCAGGGCCTTTGGCTGAGTCCCTGAGGCTTCTGTGCCATGTGGGCCCACGTGAAGGAGGTGGAGCACAAGGCTGAGGCCCAATTCCACAGGGGAACTGCACCTCCTGCGAAGGGGTGGACGACGCCAGGGACTACGCTCACGTGCGCTCGGCACTGAAGATTCTCATGTTCTCGGACGCTGATAACTGGGACCTCAGCAAGCTGCTGGCGGCCATTCTGCACCTGGGGAACGTGGAGTTCATAGGTAATGTCCTCGCTCACAGCACCCCTGGGTGGAAGAGTGGGGGAACCAGGGAAGGAAGAGAAAGAACTCTCTCAGGCCCGGCCCAGGTCAGTGGTTGAGTATCGACCCTGCACCAAGAGGTTGCTGGTTCAATTCTGGGTCAGGGCACATGCCCAGGTTGTGGGCTGATCCCCAGTGGGAGGAGGCCGCCAGTGGATGCTCTCTCCCATGGATGTTCCTCTCTCTCTCCCTCTCCCTTAAATCAATAAAGAAAAAGAAGAAGAACTTTCTCAGGGCTCTCACCAGAGAGCCACCAAAGTCACATAGTCTAACCCTGTCCTGGAAAAACACGTTGACCATTTTCAGCTGTGAGTTGGAAGGCTTTGTGGGTTAGGGAGAAGATGTCGAAGATAAGGGCACTCCAAAGGTGAAGACTCCATCAAGCACCCCCTACTTTTAACTGGGACCCCACAGGGCTACCCCTCAGGGTGAAGGTAAAGTGGAGTAGATTGGAAGCACCCAGGTGGTCTGGGGGTTCAGGTGTCCTGGACAGTAGCCCAAGCCCCTGCCTGCGGACACGGTGAGAAGAGAGCACGCAGTCTCTGGAGCCCTAACGAGGAAGGGAAAGGAGAGGGGCTCCGGCAGCCTTTGGAGAAATGGCTCCAGAACTCATGAAACCAACTCACAGAGCAGGGGGGAAGGTCGACTTTTTTTTTTTTTATCCTCACCTGAGGACATTTTTCCGTTTTTTTTTTTTTGTTCAGGTAGAGTGGGAGGGAGAGAGAGGAAGGGAGAGAGAGAGAGAAAGGGACACATCGAGTGGCCGCCACCCACACAACCGACCAGGGCCGGGGACAAACTGCAACCGAGGTACATGCCCTTAGCGGGAACCGAACCCGGGTCTCTCCAGACCGCAGGCCGATGCTCTAACCGCTGAGCCAAACCGGCCAGGGCGGCTTTTAAATTTATTTTTGTTCACAGGCGTTTCTCCTTTTTCCTCGCAGACACCCTCCTCCCCACCCTGCTCCCCACCAAGCATGGTTGCCTATGTCTATTGGTTACGCACACACGTGTATACGTTCTTTAGTAAGCGCTCTGGAGCAATGGGTGCCCACATGGAAAACACGAGCTCAAACCACTGCCTCACACCGTAGAAGAAAGTCTGCTCCCAGCGAGCCGTGGCGGGACCATGCGCTCTGCCACCTGAACCAGGCACCTCTGCCAGTCAGAGGCGGGTGCTGGCAGGCAGGGCATCAGGACGTGGAAGAGAAATTTAAACCGAGTTGGGCGCCAAGAATGCAGACCTCTGCATCAGCCTCACACCACATTTAAAAGCAGGTCAAACAAAATGCTGTCCAGGGATTACTGTGCAGATGGTCAAAAGACCAGGAGTAAACAGGGAAGTGGTGTCCATGAGGCTGGGAGAGCGGCGACCGCCAGTGGAGAGAAGCGTGGTCTCAGCAGGAAAGGGCGGCGCTGAACCCCAGGCTGGGGCGGCTGTGTTTCCTTAATGATGGTGACTCAGTGTGGACTCAATAACTATTTATTGTAACATGCCTTTGGGTTTTATGCACTTTTTTTATCTGTGTGTTTTTTTGTACAACTTTTTTTTCTTTTTATCTTCACCGGAGGACATTTTTGCATTTATCTTCAGATAGAGCAGGAGGGAGAGAGGGAGGAAGAGAGAGAGAGAAACACGGATGTGAGAGAGACACATCGACTGGCTGCCACCCACACGACCCCAACCGGGGTTGGGGACAAACCAACCAAGGCACACACTCTTAGCAGGAACCAAACCCAGATCTCTCCGGTCCACAGCCGACGCTCTAACCACTGAGCCAAACCAACCAGGACTATTGCATAACTTTTTAAAGTTAAAACACACACACACACACAGAAACAACACTCACTCCTCCCCTGGTCCTGGCAGCCCTGGGGGGGGGGGGGGAGTTTTGACTCAAAGAGCAGAAACCTGAGTTAGGAGAAGGCTGCAGGAGACTTACCTTGTTCTTATTTAGCGGAAAGAACAAGGGAAAGCCCAGGTTTCTGTGGGTGGCAGAGTCGGGCTGAAGGGAGCTGATGACTGCTCCTGCCCCGTCCAGGCTGTTCTCCAAACAAGCCCAAATGTCTTCAGACTTCCTTTGGACCCAGACCCTGATCTCAGGAGCACAGCAGGAAGGAAGAGCACCTGGGACATTAGTTCCTGGGGAGGGGCCAGGGGGCAGTGCCCAGGGACAGGGGCTGCCCCAGGCCCAGCCCTTGCCAGGGCCTCTGCCCGGTCGCTCCAGTGTGCGGTGCCACTCAGAGCCCATCTCCTCCCCCAGCTGCAGTCTTTGAGAACCTGGATTCCTCCGACGTGATGGACACGCCTGCCTTCCCCACCGTGGTGAAGTTGCTGGAGGTATCTTGGCCATGTCTGCCGGCTTCCATTTCTGTGAGGGGCCCCAGAGACCTGGGCCAGCAGACCCCTGACCCCTGATTCCCATAACCCTCCCCAGACTCTTGCTCCTGCTTCCCACCCCTTTCCCAGGCTCCCAGCTCAGCCCAGGCACCCTTCTGCCCATTGCAGTCTCTGGGCTGGGGAGCTAGAGAGAAGCTGTGTGAGCAAACAGTAACAAAGAAGCAAAATGGTGTCCCACTCTCCACTGCGCTCATCCCCAAGCTCTCCTCTCTGCACCCGATCCAGTGACCTTGCTCTGGATCTTCCCCAGCGCCCCTCAAACGCTCCTGCCCACAACGTCATCCCTAGGGCTTCCCCGTGAGCCCTGCTCTCCCGGGAGAGTGAAGAGTGCTCACCCCATTAGCCTCCAGGAGAGTCCAGAGAGAAATGGCGCTTCCACTGGGGGAGGGAGGGCACTGCAGGCACGGGCCCAGATTGCCTGTGCTGGGGACACAGATGATTCCACGTCACCCCCACTGGCTGTTCTGGTGGGAAATTAATAGAATCAGAAGCAAAAAAAAAAAAAAGAAGGAGGGAGGAAGGGAGGGAGGGAAGGAAGGAAGGAAGGAGGGAAGGAGGGAGGGAGGGAAGGAGGAAGGAAGGAGGGAAGGAGGGAGGGAGGGAAGGAGGAAGGAAGGAAGGAAGGAAGGAAGGAAGGAAGGAAGGAAGGAAGGAAGGAAGGAAGGAGAGAGGGAGGGAGGAGGGAAGGAGGGAGGGAAGGAAGGAAGGAAGGAGGGAAGGAAGGAAGGAAGGAAGGAAGGAAGGAAGGAGAGAGGGAGGGAGGAGGGAAGGAGGGAGGGAAGGAAGGAAGGAAGGAAGGAAGGAAGGAAGGAAGGAAGGAAGGAAGGACAGGAGAGAGGGAGGGAGGAGGGAAGGAGGGAGGGAAAGGAAGGAAGGAAGAAGGAAGGAAGGAAGGAAGGAGAGAGGGAGGAGAGAGGGAAGGGAGGAGGGAAGGAGGGAGGAAGGAAGGAAGGAAGGAGGAAGGAAGGAAGGAAGGAGGAAGGAGGAGAGGGAGGAGGAGGGAAGGAGGGAGGGAAGGAGGGAGGGAAGGAAGGAAGGAAGGAAGGAAGGAAGGAAGGAAGGAAGGAAGGAAGGAGAGAGGGAGGAGGAGGGAAGGAGGCAGGGAAGGAGGGAGGGAAGGAAGGAAGGAAGGAAGGAAGGAAGGAAGGAAGGAAGGAAGGAAGGAAGGAGGGAGGGAGGGAGGAAGGAAGGAAGGAAGGAAGGAAGGAAGGAAGGAAGGAGAGAGGGAGGGAGGAGGGAAGGAGGGAGGGAAGGAAGGAAGGAAGGAAGGAAGGAAGGAAGGAAGGAAGGAAGGAAGGACGGAGGGAGGGAGGGAGGGAGGGAGGGAGGAAGGAAGGAAGGAAGGAAGGAAGGAAGGAAGGAAGGAAGGAGAGAGGGAGGGAGGGAAGGAGGGAGAAGGAGGGAGGGAAGGAGGAGGGAAGGAAGGAAGGAAGGAAGGAAGGAAGGAAGGAAGGAAGGAGGGAGGGAGGGAGGGAGGGAGGGAGGGAGGAAGGGAGGGAGGGAAGAAGGAAGGAAGGAGGGAAGAAGGAAGGAAGGAGGGAAGAAGGAAGGAAGGAGGGAAGGAAGGAAGGAAGGAAGAAAGGAAGGAAGGAAGGAAGGAAGGAAGGAAGGAAGGAAGGAAGGAAGGAAGGAAGGAAGGAAGGAAGGAAATAGTAGCATTAGGCACAGTTACCGTTCGTGTTCTTCATCTGGAGCAGGGTTCGTAGACACTTTGGGTTTTGCCAGCTCAGCCCTGGCTGCAGGTGGGGCCTGGCCCGTGCAGACTCCTGCTCCCTCGGCCTCGGCCTCCCGGATGAGGGGCTTTGGTTGGGGCGTATCTAGATGCCAAGGACCTGGCCTTAGAGACCTCCTTGCCCACTGCTTTCCAAGGTTCACCTGGTGGCGATAGCCCCTTCTTGAGCCCCCGGAGACCAGAGCAGGGCAGGTGAACAGGTAGCCAGGATGCTCAGGGCCCACACAGTTTGTGCACCCCTCCGAATGCTCTAATGCCCAGTTCTCAGGCTCCTCAGCCAGGGCCCAGCAAGGACACTGACACTGGTCCCCATCTGGCCTGGCCCTAGTTACAGGTGTCTCCCACCCTCAGGCCTTGGGCATCGGGTGTTTGGTCTTGAGAGGGAACAAGACAAAGCAGGGCAGAGTCCTGCAGCCTGGCCCTGCTCCATCAGCTGTCCACCTGCCTTCCCAGGTGACGCGCCAGGCCCTCCGGGACTGTCTCATCAAGCACTCCATCGTCATCCGCGGAGAGGTTGTCACCAGGCCTCTGAACATCGCCCAGGCTGCCGACCGGAGGGATGCCTTTGTCAAGGTGCGGAGCTGTGGGAGGGGAGCTGCCTGCTGCACCTGCTCCTTGTTGGCGGAGAGCAGGACAGAGCAGACAGCTGGTCAACTCCAATTCTGGTCACCTGCCTGGTGACAGTGCGCCTCCTAGCCTCTGGCCTTGGCTTCTTGCCTTTAAAGTAGGGATGATATCGCCCGGCCGTGTGGCTCAGTGGTTGAGCATTGACCCTGCACCAAGAGATCGCTGGTTTGATTCCCAGTCAGGGCACATGCCCAGGTTGTGGGCCTGATCCCCAGTGGGGGGCATGCAGGAGGCAGTCAGTCGATGTTCTCTCTCACTGATGTTTCTATCTCTTTCTCTAAAAATCAATTAATATAAATAAATAAATAGGGATGACACCTTCAGTAGGGCTATGGACCCAGTGTGAGCGCGATTTTCTGGGTGGACTTGGAGCAAGACGCAGCTGTCCTCCTGCGCTTCAAAGCCTGTTGGCGGTACCCTGTCTCCTCAGGGCATCTATGGGCACCTCTTCCTGTGGATTGTCAAGAAGATCAATGCTGCGATTTTCACTCCGCCTGCCCAGGTCTGCAAAAATGTGCAAAGGGCCATCGGCCTCCTGGACATATTTGGCTTTGAAAATTTCCAGAACAATAGGTATGACCCCAGTGCACCTGCTTGCAGGAAGTGGGAGATAAGCCAACTCCTCACTGACCGAGCTGCAGGGTGCCTTCCTCCCCCACTTGCTCCCTTCCAGGACAGGGGCTGGCGTCCACTTGGAAGGCCGAGTGTTTCTGCAGGGAGGGGTCCGCGCGTGCTCCGGCACCCACGGCACCTCAGGGCAAGCACACGGGAGGGCAGGGCCGCGGTGCCAGCAGGGGGCTTAGGGTAGGCTGGCAGACGTGGGCTCCATAGTATAGCACCCTAAGGCACAGCAGACTGAATTGTGATTCACATCATCACTTTCTGTTCTCCAGTGGTCAGCTGAGCAGACCAAACCCACTTTGGAAACTGGAAGGGGCAGGAGGAGCTGGTTGTGGGAGATGTGGCCATGTAGGCAGGAGCCCCGCCCCGAAGGAGCTGCAGGCTGATTGGTGACAGGCAGCTATCTGGGGGCCTGGAGAAGGGCTCTGTCATCCGGCGCCCTATCCCTTACTCAGTCCTGCCTTGTGCAAGTGTCCACTGGGCCCTCTCCCAGCAGTGTCAGAGTGGGGAATGTGGGGGTCTGATTTCTCACCTCTTGGGTTAACACAGGTAAGACAACCAGTCCAGGGATGATGAGGTTCCACATACATCAGCAACCCATTCTGAGTTGGAAATGCCTCCATGAGACCCGGGGGGATGAGGTTGAACTGGGTGGTGTGGAGGGAAACATAAGGCAGCAATGGGGGAGCACTTTGAGAGGGGATGGAGACAGCAGTGAGGGAGCACTCCGAGAGGGAGGGAGACAGCATGAGGGAGCACTCCGAGAGTGATGGAGACAGCACTGAGGGAGCACTCCGAGAGGGATGGAGACAGCACTGAGGGAGCACTCCGAGAGGGATGGAGACAGCACTGAGGGAGCACTCCGAGAGGGGGGGAGACAGCAGTGAGGGAGCACTCCGAGAGGGATGGAGACAGCACTGAGGGAGCACTTCGAGAGGGGGGGAGACAGCAGTGAGGGAGCACTCCGAGAGGGATGGAGACAGCACTGAGGGAGCACTCCGAGAGGGGGGGAGACAGCAGTGAGAGAGCACTCCGAGAGGGATGGAGACAGCAGTGAGGGAGCACTCCGAGAGGGGGGGAGACAGCAGTGAGGGAGCACTCCGAGAGGGGGGAGACAGCAGTGAGGGAGCACTCCGAGAGGGGGGGAGACAGCAGTGAGGGAGCACTCCGAGAGGGGGGAGACAGCAGTGAGGGAGCACTCCGAGAGGGGGGGAGACAGCACTGAGGGAGCACTCCAAGTGCGGGGGAGACAGCAGTGAGGGAGCACTCCGAGGGGGATGGAGGCGGCAGTGTGGGAGCACTCCGAGAGGGAGGAGTTAGCAGTCTGGGAGCACTCCGAGAGGGGGGAGGAACTGCATGCCTGGAGTCGCTCCTGGGACAGAGGCAGGGTGACCACTGTGTCCTGTCTGGATCCTGCCTGAGGGTGGTGCTGGGGGCGCTGCAGGTCAGAAAGCTTCCTCTAGTGTCGAGCTGGAAAGGATTGAGGGGCAAGGCTGAAGCCTCGAGAGGCCAGCACCAGGCTCCCGTGAACAAGGAAGGTGGCCTGTGCTAGGGAGCCCAGGAGGAAGCGCAGGCGGAGGAGTGGGCAGGTAAAGGTACCTCTGTGGATGGGGGTAGCCCAGTAGTCCGTACCGAGCCTCCAGAAGCCCCTCTCCTGCCAGGGCCACTTCCCCACAGGGCTGGGCTATCACATGACACTTGGTGTCCCAAGGATCACTTCCACATCCAGAGAGGCAGGCCTGTCAAAGAGCCCGGTAGGGCTGGTGAGGAGCCCAAGCAGGGAGTTGATGGTATGCCTTCATCAGTCAGCACCTTCCCCTTTCTTTTTTTAATCTTCTTCCAAGGACATTTTTGCATTTATCTTCAGATAGAGCAGGAGGCAGAGAGGGAGGAAGAGAGAGAAAGAAGCATTAACGTGAGAGAGACACATCAAATGTTGCCACCCACACGACCCTGACAGAGGCCGGGGACAAACTGCAACTGAGATGTGTGCCCTCAGTGGGAACCGAACCCGGGACTCTCTGGTCTGTGGGCCAACGCTCTAACCACTGAGCAAACCAGCCAGGGCACCTTCTCCTTCCTTTTAGTGTGTTCGCCACAGGGTGGAGAAAGTGAGGTGATGGGCGTAGAGGCACAGAGAAGAGGGAGGGTGTGTCCGTGTGCAGGCTCCATGTGGGGGGGTGCCTCCAGGGGCACGCACATGGGTGGCTCTGTGCCAGTGGCCGGGACCCTGTGGTTCCCACCAGCTGCGGGGGGGGGGGGGGCGGGGGGAACGGGGGGGGCGGAGCTGACCCCCGCTGCGCCCTGGTGGGGGCGGTGCCTCCGCAGCTTCGAGCAGCTCTGCATCAACTTGGCCAACGAGCATCTGCAGCAGTTCTTTGTGCGGCACGTGTTCACCCTGGAGCAGGAGGAGTACCGCTCCGAGGGCATCGCCTGGGACTTCATCCACTACACCGACAACCAGCCCACCCTGGACCTGCTGGCCCTCAAGCCCATGAGCGTCATCTCCCTGCTGGATGAGGAGAGCCGCTTCCCACAGGTGCGCCCCCGGCCCAGGACACTGCTGGAGACCCTGCCATGTCTGCTCCTAGTGGCTGGGGAACTCTCCACCGGCGGCCCATCCATTCTGGGGCTGCTGAAACCTCTGCTAGGAATTAGAAGGCCCCCCTCAGGCAACCCTACCCCACCCCTGCAGGAAGGCTCCCTGGCCCCCACACACTTTCCAGCAGAGTGACAGCTTGGTCACTCCTCAGGTTCCAGAACACACCTGAGAGAGGGCTTCCTACGCACCTGTGGGCCAAAGGCTGCACAGGGCACAAGAGAAGGAAACACTTTTATCCTTGCCCTCGGGGAAATCTGCCTGTCCTTGGGGAGACAGACTCTCAGATTCGGCCAGTGAGAGCTCCTAGTCCAGAGACGGGGAAGCAGGGCTGGGCCCTGGGCAGGGTGGGCCAGGGCGCTGGCAGTGGAGTTGGACAAACCCAGTATTTGCCCCGCTCATTGTGACAAGCCACCAACCCAAGGTATCCGTTTCCTGTCTGTAGAAAGGCTGTCAGTCATTCTTTGGGCCCATGAGAGAGCCCCGAGCCCTGTGGACATGTGCCAGCAGACCTCCCCGTGGCTGGGCTCTGGGACTCCAGCCCATTGGGTATCTGTGTTGTTCCAGGGGACAGACATCACCATGCTGCAAAAACTGAACAGTGTCCATGCCAACAACAAGGCCTTCCTGCAGCCCAAGAACATCCATGATGCCAGATTCGGCATTGCCCACTTTGCCGGCGAGGTGTACTACCAGGCAGAAGGTAGGTGCTGCTTCTCACTGCACCCCCTTCCTCCAAATCTGGGTCCGTTTCCAGGAGGGCCACAGAAAGGAGGCTGAGATGGTTAGGTCGCTTTGCAGAGCTAGCGCTGGGAAAGAGGGAATTGAATGGACCACTCATGGTTTGTCTTGTTTACAATAGTTCTATTGAGATGATCCATATAGCATGCAATTCACCCATTTTACGTACACAACTCAAGGGTTTTTCATATATGCACAGAGCTGTGTAACTGTTGTTACAGTTTAGAACATTTCATCACCCCCAGAAGAAACCTCCCACTAGCATCCATTCCTCCTTTCCCCAGTCCCTGGCAGCCACCCATTTCTCTCTGTATGGATTTGCCTGTTCTGAGCATTTTATAAGAATGCAACCACACAACATATGGTCTTCGTGTCTGGCTTCTTTGACTTAGCATCATGTTTTCAAGATTAATCCATGTTGTACCATGCCAGGACGTTTTTTCTTTATATTGAAGCATAACATTCCACTGTGTGAATAGATCACATTTTGTCTGTCCCTTCCTCAGTTGGTGGACATTTGAGTTGTTTCTACATTTTGGCTGTTTTTGAATGATGCTGCTATGACCACTCATGTACAAGTTTTTATGTGGACATATGTTTTCACTTCTTTGGAGTCGATATGGAGGAGAGGAGTTGCGGGGTCACATGGGTTAACTACTGTGTAACCACCAAACCATTTTCCAAGCAGGCCCCACAGGTTCACACTCTCACCACTGGTGTATAAAGGTTCCATTGCTCCAGCTCCTTGCGAACACTTACTACTGCCTGCCTCTTTGATTGTAGCCATCCTAGTAGGTTTAACGTAGTGTCTCAGCGTGATTGTGATGTGTGTTTCTGTGATGACTGATGATGTTCATCATCTTTTCACATGCTTATGGGCCACTTGTATGTTGTCCTAAGAGAAATCTCTATTCAAATCCTTTGCCCATATTTTGATTGGTTTGTCCTTTTATTGTTGAGTTGTAAGAGGTTTTCTTTTTCACTTTTAATTTAATTTAATTTTTAAAAATTTTTATTAATTTATTTTTGTTACAGATGTTTCTCCTATTTCCCCCCAGACACCCTCCTCCCTATCCCTCCCCCTCCCTAAGCATTGCTGTCTATGCTCATTGGTTATGCATACATGCATATAAGTTCTTTGGTTTATCTCATCCCTGCCCCCGGCTCCCTTCCTCTGAGGTCTGTCAGTCTGAACCATACTCCTTTCTATGTCTCTGGGTCTATTTTGTTCATCAGCTTATTTTGTTCATTATATTCCACAAATAAGTGTGATCATGTGATATTTCTCTTTCTCTTGTTGGCTTGTTTCGCTTAGCATAATGCTCTCCAGGTCCCCCCATGTCATCTCAAAGGATAAGAGACCTCTCCTCCTTACAGCTGCATAGTACTCCATTGTGTATCTATGATGCAGCTGTTTCATCCACTCATCTATTGATGGACACTTGGGCTGTTTCTAGAGAGTTGTAAGAGTTTTTATGTATTCTGGATATAAGTACCTTATCAGATATATAATTTGTAAATATTTTATTCTGTGGATTATCTTTTCACTTGACAGTGTTCTTTGAAGCACAAAAGTGTTCATTTCGATGAAGTCCAACTTACCTATTTTTCTGACGTTGCTCGTGTTTTTGGGTTCATGACCTAGAAAACCATTGTCCAATCCAAGCTTTACCCATAGTTTTCTAATTTTAGTTCTTGCATTTAGGTTTTTGATCCACTTGGAGTTAATTTTTGGATATGTTGAGGTAGGGTAGAGCATGGGTTTGAGTGGAAAAACAAGGGCCTCGGGTGGTCAACCCGTTGGTGTGCTCAGAAAAGTGGAAGGTGGCCCACGCTCACCTGTGGTCAGGAAGACGGGCAGGCAGTGCAGGGCGCCTCTGTGGGTCGTGTGGGGCGAGGACGTTCTCTGGTCTGTGTGACGAGACCCCGAGCCACACAGTTGGAGACAGGGCGGCACTGCGCTCTCCTCCCTCCAGCTCTGTGAGGCTGCGCTCCTCCGGCCCACTGCAGCCCTCCCTCACGGGCACCTGGGGACACAGCCCGTCCCCCAGCCTCACACCAGGCTATGCAGGCGTGCACAGAGACCCCACTAAAAGGCGAGTGACTTAAAAGGGGCAAAGTGGGAGAGGACAGTCCTGCTCACGCACAGTCACCCTCAGAGTCCCAGGAGCACAGCCCCTCAGAGGAGGCCTGGCCCTCGCTGGCCTGGCGCGGAGAGCAGCTGCCAGCAGCTTCCTGTGGGCACGGTGCTGGACGTCAGAGCCCAGGAGAGAGCAGGGGTGTGTGCTCTCCCGCCGGTTGCAGCCTCGTTCGCTGCCTGGGCTGCCACCGCCGCAGAGGCGTGGACGTTCCTAGAGCCCGGCGGCTGGCAGTCCAAGATCACGGCGTCGGGAGGGGTGGTTCCTTCTCAGCTTCTCTCCCTGCGGAAGGAGGGTTACTCTCTTCTGTCTCTGCGTATGTCTGTGTCCCAATCTGCTCTCTCTTTTTTTAATGTTTTTCTTGGTTTTTTAGAGAGAGAGGAAGGGAGAGAAATAGAAACATCAATGTGAGAGAGAGCATCGACTGGCCACCTCCTGCACACCCCCAGCTGGGGATGGAGACAGCAACCTGGGCCTGGGCCCTGACTGAGCATCGAACAGGGACCTCTCAGCCCGTGGGATGAGGCTGTAAGCGAGCCACACGGCCGAGCTAATCTGCTCTTCTCACAGCACCAGGACCATGGATCAGGGCTCAGCAGAATAGCTTCGTTTTAGCATCACCCTCTCTTTAATCACCTTGTATCTCCACATATTGTCATATTCTCAGGTACTGGGGGTTAGGACTTCAGCAGATGGGTTTTGGGGAGACACAACTCAGTTATGCCCTGAGTTTCTGGAGTCTCGGTCTTCACACCCCTGGCCTTCGCAGGCCTTCCAAGACCCCCAGACGAGGGCTGGTGGAGAGACCTGGGGGCTCCCAGCTCTCGGGGGCTCCTTAGTGAGTTACACACAAGCTTGCTTCCTAAACATGTCTGCTAAAGTGCACACATGCTCACGCACACATGCATGCTCACATGTGTACACATACATGCTCGCGCGCATGCACACATGCTCTCACACACGTGCATGCCCACACATGCTCACACTGCCTGAGGGCACACATTCCTTTCCAAGAATGTGCAGTGACACTCCCAGTGAGGAGGACAGTAACTTCCAAGCAGCTTATAATCAGTAGGTCACCAGCCATCCTTGGAACCCGTAAGCCAAGGGGTGTTTAACTTCTTCCTGTCTTCCATTCTGGCTCCGGGAAAAGCAAAGTAGCTACCACCCCTTGGCTGGTTTTCCGGGATTTTGAAGCTGCCCCTCCTGCCCAGAATGGCCCGGCCTCTCCCGGAGCCCCTCTGGCCTCAGGGCCGTGCCTTCCCCGAGCTCACACTCTGGCCGCCCACTGTGAGAGGTGGTTGGGGCAGCTGAGGAGTGACTTCTGCACTTTCTCCTTTTCCTTCTTTTCTTGTTTTCAGCTCCTCTGTGTAAATAAGCAATTGCCTGAGTCGGACTTGCCCAAGTTCACCCAGAAATGTTGGGGGTCAGAGCCCTGGCACAGGCCCTCAGGCCCCTCGCTATGGGGAATCTGAATGCAGGGTGCACAGACGTCCATCTGCTGAGGCCGGTGGCCAGCTGTTACGGCGTGACCGGGGTGAGGTGGAGGGGAGTCGCTCCTGTCCATGGCACCCCTGGGCCTGCGCGGAGGAGATGCCAAGTCCTCAGAGCATCCCTGAGCTGAGCAAAGGGCCCAAAAGCAAATCTGCCCTGGGGCAGTGAGAGCTCTTCACCTCACCCAGGGCCAGGAGAGCCTCCAGGGATAGATGATGCTTGACCTGGTCTTGGAAACCAAGCAGGAGTTGGCCCAAGTGGGTTCGGCTGAAAGCACGTTCCCAAAACAGCCTGTGGAGGCCAGAGGCACGGGAGAATAGAGGCCTTCTGGGGTGACTGGGCGCCGGGGGTGCAGAGCCCTGGGGCGAGCAGGAGAGGAGGAAGGAGGAGAACAGGTGCGCACGGCAGGTGGAGGAACAGAGGAGGGGTCCGGTCCTGATGACTGGCTGTGTGCGATTTCAGGAGTCCTCAGGCCCAGGATGTGTGGCAGAGAGGCTGAGCAGGCAGAGGAGGGGTGGGAAGCATCACAGGTGTGTGGACAGAAGGAACAGTGGCGGCTTAGCCAAGGCAGAGCGTAGTGAGGATGATGAGTTGGCTGATCGGGGTTTATCTGTTCATGTGACCTGACATGATGCTGGGTGGAGACAGTGGGTGCCATGCCTGGGTTGGCTGGACAGGGAGACGGAGGGAGGGGTGCAGAGGATGACTTCAGAGGGGACTCATGGGGCCGCCTGGTGTGACCAGCACCCCCTCTTTCCCAGGGGGTCACAGTAAAAGCTGAGCTGGGTTGGTGGACGGGCTCTCCTTTCCCCACAGGCTTCTTGGAGAAGAACCGAGACGTACTGAGCACAGATATCCTCACCCTGGTCCACTCCTCCCAAAACAAGTTCCTGAGGGGAATCTTCCTGTTGGAGTCAGCAGACATCAAGCTAGGCCACGGAACCATCCTCCGGGGCAAGGCAGGGAGCCAGCTCTTCAAGGTGGGCCCTTGTCCCTTCCAGCATCTCCATCCTCGGGTCCTCCGGGCTGGACACGCAGGTGCCAGGGGAGCTGCTGCCCGGGTCTGCATTTCTCAGTCCAGGCACAGGGATGAGTGAAAACAGGGCCCACTGCCCCCCTGGCTGCAAGTCTGGTGGGTCCTGTAGAGTCTGACCTGTCCTGTGGGGGAGGGAAAGGGGCGACGGGCTGTGTCTGGAGGCTTATCTCTCTCTTGCAGGCGGGACTCTAGGGAGGTCTCAGGAGGTCTCAGCAGAATAGTCACCAGTTTTCTAGGTGTGCCCTCAGGGTCCTGGCCCCCTCTGCCGGTCAGGGCAGGGCAGGGGTCGGCAGTCATCGCAGCTGGCCCTGGTGTCGCCCCTGCTCTGCTGCTTTTCTGGGCCTGGAGCCAAAACACAGCTGAGGCCTCGATGTCACCTGCAGGGAGGGGACCTTCTGTGTCTGCTGGCATCGCTCTGTCAGTGTGCTCAGCTCTGCCTCCAGTTCCCTGTTCCACGTGTCCTGGCTCACGGGCCTGTCTCGTCCTGTGTGCTGTGTGTGCATTATAAGTGCGTGTTGTGTGGTGTGTGGTGCGGTGTGTGTGTGGTGTGGTATGTCTGTGTGTGTGTGTGGTGTCGTGTGTGGTATGTCTGTGTGTATGTGCATGTGTGTGGTATTTCTATATGTGTGTGTGTGTGCATGTGGTGTGGTGTGTGGTATATCTATGTGTGTGTGGTGTGTGGTGTGTGGTGTGTGTGTGGTGTGTGTGTGTGGTATGTCTGTGTGTGTGTGTGGTGTGTGTGTGTGTGGTATGTCTGTGTGTGTGGTGTGTGTGTGTGTGTGTGTGGTGTGTGTGTGTGGTATGTCTGTGTGTGTGGTGTGTGTGTGTGGTGTGTGTGTGTGGTATGTCTGTGTGTGTGTGTGGTGTCGTGTGTGGTATGTCTGTGTGTATGTGCATGTGTGTGGTATTTCTATGTGTGTGTGTGTGTGTGCATGTGGTGTGGTGTGTGGTATGTCTATGTGTGTGTGGTGTGTGGTGTGTGTGGTGTGTGTGTGGTATGTCTGTGTGTGTGTGTGGTGTGTGTGTGTGGTGTGTGTGTGTGGTGTGTGTGTGTGTGGTGTGTGTATGTGATGTGTGGTGTGTGTGTGTGTGGTGTGTGTGTGTGGTGTGTGTGTGTGGTGTGTGTGGTGTGTGTGTGTGGTGTGTGTGTGGTGTGTGTGCGTGTGGTGTGTGTGTGTGGTGTGTGTGGTGTGTGTGTGTGTGGTGTGTGTGTGTGGTGTGTGTGTGTGGTGTGTGTGTGTGGTGTGTGTGTGTGGTGTGTGTGTGGTGTGTGTGTGTGTGGTGTGTGTGGTGTGTGTGTGTGTGTGGTGTGTGTGTGTGTGGTGTGTGTGTGTGGTGTGTGGTGTGTGTGTGTGTGTGGTGTGTGGCTGCTTTCCAGGGAAGTTAGCAGCAGAGAGCCCTGATGCTCTTTAGGGCAGCCTTGGATTTCCTGGCAGAGTGGGGGTTTACCTACATACAGCCCCACCCCATAACACCCCCTCTTATGCTTTCACCCCTTAAACATGACTATCCCAGAAAAGCCCTGTGAATTCAGCACTGGTCACATGAAAGTGTCCTTCACCTTTATCGCCACCCCCCCACCCCCCGCAGAAGTCCTGAGGCCTTCAGGCCATGACCATGCACAGCACAGGCCCAGAGAGGTGCCCCGGAGCCCTAGGTGGTACAGGAATCCCCCAGGTCTGAAACCAGGTGGAGTCAGGCCAGACTCTCTGCATCTGCGTCCAGAGCACAGCCGTGTGCTGGCCCTGCAGATGCCAGAGCACAGCCGGACGTTCAGGGAACAGGATGGCGGTGGATGAAATGCTCGGATGAAATGCTCGTTGTTTTACAAACCAGGACAAGGGAAGATGCTGCCTGTTGTTATTGAACAGCCCAGCCATTGCCTCCTCTCCTCAGAGATGTCAAGGTGTTAAGACCGTTGTGTCTCCACACTGGTGCAATGTGGCAACACACACCTTTGCTCAGGTGCATTTGACCTTGGGAAGGTTTGATCAAGGAGCATTGCCCAAGATTAGTGCACAAAACAAACGCTGCTCATGGCAAGGGGCTTGGGCTCCCCCAGCCCCCGGCCCCGCTCTTGTGTCCATAACTTAATACATTTCCATTAGAACAATATACATTCACTATAATGCATACAGTGCATAGCATAAAACATTAAATATGTGTGTGTGTGTGTGTGTGTGTGTGTGTGTGTGTGTGTGTGTAAAACCTAGACAAAAACTGAACATGTAGAAAAGAGGTAAAAAAGTGAATGTTCCCAGTTCCAACATCCACTTCTCACCCTGGGGCATTGTCTTGTGCATCCCACATGGAGGACCCCCAACTCTAGACAGGAGGCAGTGACCCCATCTTACTCCCCTCTGGGTCCCAATTATCCAGTAGGGAGGCCTGCAAACAGCAGGCACTGGGGAGACCTGCGCTGGATGAGTGAATGCAGCACCCCTACTTTGGGACCTTGGCAGAAGCCCTGACTGGGCGGAGGGTCAGCTCTGCCCTAGGTGGTGCTCCCCAAACCCCCACGTGGACCCTGTGCTTCTGCCCACAGTCTGCAGACACTGGCAGGCGGTCTGCCACCTTGGCTGGCCAGTTCAAGCAGTCCCTGGACCAGCTGATGAAAATCCTGACCAACTGCCAGCCCTACTTCATCCGCTGCATCAAACCCAATGAGTACAAGAAACCGCTGGTAATGATGGGAGGCTGGGCACACAGGGAAGGGGGCGGCTGCTGGCTGAGTCTGATGGCATCTAGGTCCTGTCATTCCCTTCACCAGGGCTGGGGTAAGGTGGCCAGTGACCTGCAAGGCTGGGATCACCCAGACCTCAGGAGACCTAGCCCTGCCATTTGCTGCCGGGAGTACTTGGCCAGGTGCTTCCCTTCCCGGAGTCCGGTTTCTCTTCGTCACGTTAGAATGGCACCTTCCTTCAGGGGGCAGTACTGGATGCTTCTGGCACATCAGCACATGTAAATTGCATTTAGTAAGGGATTTCACCAAGATTTCAGAGGCTGACACCACTCCTGGTTGCCCGTGGAGGGGGTCTTTATCTGCTTCCACGTGGTGTGGGGTGGGGCCCTGCCTGCCCAGGAGCCCTTGACTGTGGGCTTGGGAATCTTACCCAGAGGCTACCAATCTAGGACTCCTATAACTAGGAGATGCCATTCGAAAGGAAATAAAATGACCCCAAAATAACTCTTACACGGGAAAAAATATGATATGAAACAAAGAGACTTTTTGAAAAGAAGAAAATTCTATGAAATGGAGGCTGTCCCAGGCTATCTGGAATGTATCTTCCAGATGGGCACAGTAGCCCGACGTTAGGTAAGAACTGTGCTCTGAGGGTGCCCCCCCCCCCCACCTTAGGAGCTGGACAGGTGCTCAGGTCTCCACAGGTGGTTGCTGCTGTGTGGGTGTCGGGTGCCTCAGGCTGAAGGGCCCGGCCAGCTCAGGTTGGACCCCAGCTGGGCCGGTAGCGGTGTGGCCCTGAGCCTCGGGCTCCTCACCTTTTGATTGGAGCTCAGTGCCCCACACAGGGTTGCTGTAAAGATGAAATGAGAAACATTAAATAATTTGGGGCTAACTAGTTGCCCAGACTAACTTCCATGTGGCCCCGGACCCCACAGACCGTTGCTTCTGGGTCCCACAGTGTTTCCAAGTAGGTAACTGCCCACTAGTTGGCTTCCCAAACTGGAGGGTGTGCCCCTGTGCCCAGAGACTCCCGGTGGCTGGAAGGTCAGGGTAGGGGGCTCTCTAGAGGCCACACCATGCAACCCCGGGGTCGCAGCTGAGACCCAGCACCCCTGGGCAGAGCATCAGGCCCAAATGCCTGTGTGCCACCACGGCCATCTGCCGGGCAGGCAGGGACCAGGGCCCAGGGTGCTCTCTGGCTCTGAGCAGGACATGCGTTGCTTTCTTCTGGACTGTGGGAGGCCACGGTTCTGGGCTGTGGGAGTCAGAAGGAGGCAGAGTTCTTGGGGTCCACTGTTTTGGGGTGCTTGAAAACATTTTAACCGGAGAACAGGCGAATGAGTTTGCACATTTCGAGGAGGGAAGTACTCAGTTTTGTGACCGTCTTGATCTCCTTGGAAACACTTTAAGGACTTTTCGCCGACTTGACCAAATGTTTCTCTTCCAAGGGGGATCCTAGTTAAAGCTAGCCCTCGTCTCGCCCGGTGTCAGGGTTTCGGGGTGCCGGGGTGGGGCGGCCCTCACCCTGCCTCTGCCCGCAGCTCTTCGACCGGGAGCTGTGCCTGCGGCAGCTGCGCTACTCGGGCACCATGGAGACTGTGCGCCTCCGCAAGCTGGGCTTCCCCCTGCGCTACACCTTCACGCAGTTCGCCATGCGCTTCGGCGTCCTGCTGCCCAGCACGGCCCGCCAGCAGGTGCTGCGCCTCCTGGGGCTCCCTCCTGGTGCCCCGGCCCTCCCTGGCCCCTGGCCCCCACCGGAACCTGCCCTTCCTCCTCCCCCCCTTTCCCTTCCTCGCTGTCACCCCACCCCGCCCCGTGGTGCCCTGAAGCGAAGAAGGCCTCTGGAAGGGGTTGGTGGCTGAGTCTGCTCCTTCCAGGACTCTGCGTGCAAAACAGAAAGGGGGAGGTGTGGTCTGGGGAGCAGGAAGTCCTCCTATCCCTCCTCATTCAGCTAGTCTCAAGTTTGGGATGCCCAAGTGTCCGGCAGCCCCCTGGAGGCCCCAGACTGCACGGCGTGGTGGCCTCGTGATCCCCGAGCCTGAGGGCTCCCCTGGGCCCCAGCCTTGATCCCAGGTGCCCTGTGCCTGTGCCCTGGCCCAGCAGCCCCTGACTCAGGAAGACTCAGATCCCAGGAAGCCCTGGGGTGGGGGGCCCTCCACCTTCTGCCTTGGGGTCCCTGCTCCAGCTCCACCCAGCCACTGCCATTCCTCCTTGGCAGCTTCAGGACAAGTCTCGACAGATGACGCTGTGTATTGCTGAGAAGTGGCTGGGGACAAACAGTGACTGGAAAGTGGGAAAGACTAAAATTTTCCTGAAGGTGAGACTCGGACGTGCGGCCTCAGCCTCCTGAAGCACGTGGGCTGGGCTGGTGCCCACCAGGGGGCGCTGGCTCACGCACCCTGCTCTGCGTGTGCCCCACTCTGAGGCACCCGTTGTAGAAGGTGGTGCTGGGGTCAGGGAGGCAGGGGAGCATGGAGAGAGCCCAGCCCAGCCTGGAGTTCAGGAGGCTTCTCAGGGGCATCGAGGGCCAGGCCTGAGGACACAGAAGGGCTGCCCCCACGCCCAGGCGGAGCCAGAACAGGCTTCACTCTGTGTGGGTCACAGGCCTTCCAGGGAGCTCGTCTGACCTGGGGACGCTCTGCCTCCATGGCCCCAGAGAGCTGGCGCTTCAGTGCGCTGCCCCTCACCTGCTGGAGCCTGTGCTTGGGCAGGTGTGTGCAGGCAGCTCCCAGCTCCCCTCCCACCTCCCTCCTTCCCAGCTTACTGGGAAGCCTCATGTCACACAGAGGCAGCCTCACGGTTCTACTGGCCTTCAGACCCTCTAGGTTGCCAGTTGGTCAAAGAGCCACTAGGGAGAAAACCTTCCTGTCCCCTGTTCTCGTAAGCCGTGGATGGGTGGACACATTGAAGAGGAGGAGGAGGAAAAGGGGGGCAGAGAACGAGAAAAGAAGGGAGAAGAGGAGAGAAGGTCAGATCAGGAGATCGTCTGCAGCCATCCAGACACCCCGTCCATCCCGACCACACTTTCCTGTGCCCTCTACTGCCTCCCCTTTCCTTGTAAAGTCCTCCCTCATCTGTCTCCAGCGGGACGTCCTGGTCCCCCCTGTAGCCAGCCCATGCACTATGAGACCTACGCTAGGGCCTGGGGCTCTCACCTAAAAAAGAAGCTGAGTGGTTTCCACTGGGAAGGTGAAGCTGGCAGGTGGAAGGCATTGCCCAGGAGGGAGACACAGGGACATAGAGGGTATAGGGTGTGGGTGGATGGTTGAGGAGGGGAGGCCGGGAGTGCCCTCCCCTCCTTTCTTCCTTCCTGGTTGCTCCTTGAGACCACAGGCAAGGTCTTGTCCATTTCTGGGTCCCCAGTGCCCACCCAGTCACACCAAAAGGTTCAGTGCTTGGTACAAGGCTGATACAGGCAGGCAGGACCTCAGCCCTGGCCTCTCCTCATCAACTGTCCAAGGCCGTGCTGCCTTCTGCTCTGCAAAGACCGTCCTGGCCATCCAGAGGGCAAGCCGGGGGCACAGGGTCCGGGGGGCACTGCAGTGAGCCAGGGAGGTCAGAGCCCAGGGGCGCATCTCCCACAATGGATCCTCTGCGGAGGGTAAAGGGAACATTCTTCTGTTGAAACTCTCATGCATCCATAATACAGTTGAATGCACAGTTCACCTGAATTTGGGGAAATAAAACAACTTCAGGGAAATTTTTGCCCCTCTTGGGTTCTCCAGAGCAGAAATAAAATTTGCTAGCTTGCACTGACAAGAAGAAAATGTAAGTCCTTGGATTGGGGCTGGGGCTTGTGGTTTGCAGCTCCCATCTCTCAGCCACATTAAGGTCCGGTTGAGGGTTCTTCCCCTGCTTGGCCTCCTAGGAGCACATTTAGGAAACTTCTGGCCCCAGGCGGAGGGCGGGGTGAGGGAGGCAGCTACGTGGTGAGCGCTCTCTCCTGTTGTAGGACGGACAGGACACACTGCTGGAGCTGCAGAGGAGCCGGGCCCTGGAAAATGCAGCGATTAGCATCCAGAGAGTCCTGCGGGGCTACAAACACAGGTGCCAGCCCTGCCCACCCCCCTCCCCGCCCACACACCTGTCGCCCCCAACCAGGAGCACATGTTCCTGCTACTCCCTCCCTGGGGGTAACTGAGGTGCAGGATCTCTCAGGACCTCCCTGGTGGTGGGGTCGGCGGGGCGGGGGGAGACCTACTACATAAGCAAGAGTCAAATGAAACATCAACCCTGGTCTCAACTATATTTTTATGTTCTCCTTTAACTGTCTTAGACAATTTACAGGTTTGGGTTTATGAGGTGGTTGGTTTTGGAGGGAAGAAAAAAACTGTCGATTCAGGTCCCTGGTCAGTGAAAAGGTAACACTTGAATTTCAGTCAATGTTCAGCAAATCAGCAATATTACTTCCTCTCCCTCACCATGTCCAGAGGGTTCTGCAGGTCCACGGATTGGGTCTCTCTGCTATCCCAACTGTTTATCACCAACTGTAGAAAGGACTGGAAACTCAGACATGAGAACATGGGAGACAGCAACTGACCCATAAGAACAGAGGCTGTGGCCCTGCCAGTGTGGCTCAGTGGCTGAGCGTCGACCCATGCACCAAGAAGTTGCTGGTTCAATTCCCAGTCAGGGTACATGCCCAGGTTGTGGGCCAAATCCCCAGTGCGGGGCTGCAGGAGGTGGCTAATTGAAGTTCTCTCTCACCAATGTTTCTATCTCTCTCTCTCTCCCTCTCCCTTCCTCTCTGTGTCTAACATCAATAAAGAAAAAAATATTTAAAAAAAGAAAAGAATAGAGGGTGAGGACACCTATGAGTAGGCTCATGAGTCAGGGAGACGTGGCTTGGAAGGTAACACATATCAGCAGCCAGCATCAGGCCAAGTATTTGGAACCAAGGGTCATTGGTGTCAACTCAGCACCAATAGGAATTCCCAACTCGAAATATGGTGAACAAGGAAACTTTATTTAGTGCAAACAGCTCAGTTGTGATACAACACAGCAGCAGAACAGCTCAGTGGTGTCATAGTTCAGTCATAAAACAGCATGGCTATGCAGTAGCCCTAGAGGGAGACCTCACCCCACCCCACCCCAGCCTGCTAGACAGCTCTGCTCTGCTCTGATCCAGGAAAATACAATCTGCAGTCTCAGTGCAAAGAGAAACCACTCTCCCAACCAGAGAAGAGTTGACTTAGAGAGAAGGCCCCACCCCTGATCCCTGATTGGTCTGTCCTTATGCAAATGAGATCTTCAAATCCTTACCATTTGATTCATCCAAAAAGCACTGTCTTGATTGGTCAAAATGTAGCCACTGTAATTGGTTAGTGAAGATGCTAATAAGGAAATAGGCGTGCAGCTCTGTATTTTGGACTTCACATATAAGTGAATCATATGACATTTATCTTCCTCTGACTTATTTTACTCAGCATAATACTCTCTAGGTCCATCTATGTTGTTGTAGATTGCAATATTTTATTCTTTTTAATGAGTGAGTAATATTCCATTGTATATATACACCACTTCTATTTTATCCACTCATGCACTGATGGACCCTTAGGTTGCTTCCATATCTTGATTATTGTAAATAATGTTGCAATGAACATATGAATGTTTTTTATTTAGTGTTTTGGGTTTTTTGGATAAATACCCAGAAGTAGAATTGCTGGGTCCTTTTTTTCTCTTGTTATAGACTTTGATTGAAAGTCTATTTTGTCTGGTATGAGTATTGCAACACCAGCTTTTTTGTTTGTTCCCATTTTCATGAAATATCTTTTCCATCCCTTTACTTTCTGTCTGTGTGTATCTTTCAAACTGAAATGGGTCTCTTGTAGACAGAATATATAAGGGTCTTGTTTTGTTATTCCTTCGGCCACCACATGTCTTCTTTTATTATTTTATTTTAATTTTTTTAATCCTCACCTGAGGACATGCTTAGAGAAGAATGGAGAGAGAGAGAGAGAGAGAGAGAGAAACATTGATGTGAGATAGAAACATCATTCAGTTGCCTTCCATACATGCCACCAATGGGGAGCGAACTTGCAACCTAGGTGTGTGCCCTGACCAGGAATCGAACCGCAACCCTTTAGTACACAGGATGTTGCTCAATCATCTGAGTCACTCTGGCCGGGTGCCACCATATGTGTTTTGATTGGACCATTTAATCCATTTACATATAAAAGAATTATTGATAAATATGTATTTATTGCCATTTTAATTTTTGCAGTCTTGATTATTTTTTTCTTTTACTTCCCCTTTAAAAAGGTCCTTTAACATTTCTTGTAACACTGGTTTGGTGGGATGAACTCCTTTAGCTTTTTCTTGTCTGGAAAGCTCTTTATATGTCTTTTGATTCTAAGTGATAGTTTTGCTGGGTAGAGTAACCTTGGTTGTAGTTCCTTTCTTTTCATCACTTTGACTATTTCTTGCCAATCCTTTCTGCCCTGCAAATTTTCTGTTGAGAAATCAACTGACAGTCTTATGGGAGATCTCTTGTAGGTAACTAACTGCTACTTTTAAGATTCTCTCTGTCTTTAACTTTTGGCATTTTAGTTATGATGTGTCTTGCTGTGGATCTCTTTGAGTTCATCTTGTTTGGGACTCTCTGTGCTTCCTGGACTTGTGTGTCTTTTTTCTTGACCAGGTTAGGGAAGTTTTCCATCACTATTTCAAATAGATTTTCAATTTCTTCCTCTCTCTCTCTCTCTTCTCCTTCCAGCACCCCCATGATGCAAATGTTGGTACGCTCAAAGTTGTCCCAGAGGCTCCTTATTCTATCCTCATTTTTTTAAATTCTTTTTTTTCCTTTTTGCTGTTCTGATTGGGTGTTTTCTGCTTTCTTATCTTTCAAATTACTGATTTGATTCTCTGCTTAATCTACTATTGATTCCCTGTAATGTACTCTTTATTTTAGTTATTGTATTCTTCTTTTCTGACTGGTTCTTTTTCATGTTTTCTATCTCCATTTTTTGTTTCCCATCTCTTTTTTGAAATTCTCACTAAGTTCATCTGCTCTACCCTTAAGTTCATTGAGTATCCTTATAACCAGTGTTTTGAAGTCTGCATCTGGTAGATTGCTTGTGTCTATTTTGTTAGGGCCCCCCCCCCCCATGAGTTTTGTTCTAGTCTTTCATTTGAGACTTTTTTTTTTGTCTCCTCAGTTTGGCAGACTCCCTGTGTTTGTTTCTATGTATTAGGTAGAGCTGCTATGTCTCCTGGTGTTGGCAGAGTGACCTTATATAGTAAGTGTCCTATAGGCCCTGTGGTGCAGCCTCCTTGGTTATTTGAGCTGGGTGCTACAGGTGTACCCCCTTGTGGGCTGTGTCCACCCGTCTGTTGTAGTTGAGCCCTGATTGCTGTTGGCACATTAATGGGAGGTATTTACCCCTAGACTGATCAGCTGTGAGGACTGGCCACAACCACAGCAAACCCCATGGAGCAGGCCTCAATTCAGCAGGGCTCTGGTTCCCAGATGAGTCTGTCTTAGAAATGTGTCCCTCGTGGGTGAAGTTGGGTAATGCTCTGGAAAATCTGTCTACTTGGTGCACTGGCTCCGGGGCCTTCTAAGAGATGCAGGCCCAGGTCAACTGCCACCTGTGCCCTGCCAGGGGCCACCAGCATGAGCTGCAAAGCAGTCTGTTGATGGCGGCTACCTGTGCTGGACTTGGAGGTGCCAAGATGAAGCCAAGCTGAAAACCGAGTCCAGCTGCTGCTAGTGCCAGGCCTGGGGCCATTTAGCAAGAGGTACAGGGCATTTCGAGGCCAAATACTGCTTGTTTGGGATTTGTGAATTTGGAGAGCTTTCAGAAAAGTTTGTGGCAAGAGCCAAGACAGGCCATTTGTATAGAAAAGCCACTGGCAAGAGCTTGGGTGGGCCCAAAAGTTGGGTGGGGCAGGGTCTCAGGGAATCACCAGGGTGGGGTGAACAGTGTGAGCCAGGTGGCTGGAGACTCAGACATGGCGCCTGCCTGCTGGCTCTGTGCAAGGAGGGCTCAGCAAAGGAACAAAACCAAAACAGTGGCCTCTGCCAGCACTTTGTCTGGAAGAAAGCTGCCCCTCCAGCCCTCGCTGGACAATTCATTTCCTTCCCATATGTTCCTGATGCCTATCAAGCTGTTGCCCCAGCGTGGAGCTCAGAGGGAGGGAGTCCAGTTAGTCCATGTGCAGCCCTTTAACAGGAGCTGCCCGGGACTCCAGACAACTCCACCTCAGCCTCTATCCCACTGGTTTTCACAGCCAGAAGTCATGGGGATTCTCTTCTCGGCACTGGATCCCTGGGCTGGAGGTGCTGATGTGTGACTGGGACCTCTCACTTTTCAGGAACAACCTGTACAGCTGATATATCCCTCCCGACTTTGAATCCCCACACATGGATGTGGGGCCAGCCCATTCTATGTCTCTGACCTTTCTGTCAGTCTCCATGTGGCTTTTTTGGTAAATCCTTAGCTATGGGACTTCCGTTCAGCTAGACTCCGGTGTTCTCAGTGATGGCTGTCCTGCCGTCTGGCTGTTACTTTGATTTGGTTGTGAAAAAATGCAAGTACTGTGCTGTCTTGACCAGAAGAATCTGATTCATTTTAATTGAAGTTTTTTTTACTTTGAGATCATTGTAGATTCATGTGCACTTGTAAGAAATAACACAGAGCCCTGGATGGTTTGGCTCAGCAGTTAGAGCGTCGGCCCGCAGACCAGAGGCCCAGGCTCGGTTCCCACTAAGGGCACGTGCCTCAGTTGCAGTCTGTCCCCGGCCCTGGTTGGGGTCATGTGGGTGGCAGCCAGTCGATGTGTCTCTCTCACATCGATGTTCCTCTCTCTCTCTTTTCCTCCCTCTCTCCTTCCTGCTCTACCTGAAGTAAATGCAAATAAAAAATGTCCTCGGGTGAGGATAAAAAAAAAAAAAAAAAGTGGTATGAACATTTGTATACAAGTTTTTGTCATTTCTCTGGCCTAAATGCCCAGGAACGTAATTGCTAGATCATATGGTAGCTACATGTCTCGTGATTTAAGAAATTGCCCACTGGTTTCCAGAGTGGCTGTCCCACCGGCTGTCCCACCAGCAGCATGTGAGTTACTCTGTTCTCTGCATCTTCTGCAGCACTTTGTGTTGTCACAACCTTTTATTATTATTTTTCTTTATTAATTTTAGAGAGAGGAAGGGAGAAGGAGAGAGATAGAAACATCAATGAGAGAGAACATCAATTGGCTGCCTCCTGCATGCCCCTCACTGGGGATCAGGCCCACAACCTTGGCATGTGCCCTGACAAGGAATCGAACTGGCGACCTCCTGGTGCAGGGGTCGATGCTCAACTACTGAGCCACACCAGCCAGGCATGTTGTCACCACATTGTAATTCTAGCCATTTGGATAGGTAGTGATGACATCTCACATGGTTTTCTGTTTCCCCCAGAGACTGAAGGTGTTGAACATCTTCACGTGTGCTTATTTGCTATATGTACACATGCTCTTTGGTGAAATGTCTGTACAATTGTTTTCCTGTGTTCTAATTGAATTCTTTGTTGAGTTTTGAAAACTCCTTTGTTGAATATGTGCCTTGCAAATCTCTTCCATCTATAACGTGTCTCTTTATTCTCTTAGAGGGTCTTGCGAGCTTCCGTGTTTAGTTTCGATGGTTTAATTCATCAGATTTCCCTTTTATGGGTCATGCATCAGTTGTCAAGTCTAAGAACGCGTTGCAGATTTTCTCTTGTTTTTTAAAATGAAAGTTTTTATAGTTTTACTTTTTACATTTAGGTTCATGACCTGTTTTCTTTTTTCTTTTTGTAATTTTAAATGGATGAATTGTTTATTTCTGGAATTTTCCATTTAAAACTTTTGCACCGTGGCTGACCACAGGTAACTAGAACTGCAAAAGGCAAAACCTAGATAAGGAGGGTACTGCTGTATATTCATAAATGTAATATAATAAACATCAGAATCCCCCCTTTCCCCACGCCTCCCCAGACACCCGGTGGCTCAGGAACGTACACGCACAGCACCATCCCTGGTGGTGATGCTCAGCGCCGCACGGGCAGCCTCCGGGCAGCACTCGAGGCCCTTGACCGGTCAAACCTGGGCCCTTTGGCCCGCAGGCCGATGCGTTAACAGCTGAGCCGAACCAGCCAGGGCTGCGGCTGGTTTCTAACATGATTGAGATCTGCTCTTCTAAACCCAAGAAAATACCCTAAAAATTATTAGAAGTGATAAGAAAACTAAGTTACATGTGAGATAAAAGACACATCCAGATGTACCAAGCTCACCTCGGGGTTGTCCACCTCCACAGAGGCCACATCTCAGGCTCCGCGCCTCATCGTCAGCCACTCCCTTCCTTGCAGGGCAGCAGCTGGATGGAGCTTGCCAGGCTGCCCAGGCCGGGGGACGGCCCCACGGCCTTGACCTGCCCCCGGACAGGAGCCTGGTCTCGAGACTTCTGGTCTGGTTTCTGGCGGGCACTGGTCAGTGAGCAGGAGAGAGGGTGGCTCTGGCAAGGAGTGAAAAGCTAGAGACGGGATGTACCCTCTCACAGATCTTCGCGCTGAATGGGGGTGTTCTTGATTACTCTAAAACTTGGATTGTCCTCATTCACAAATTTTGTTGTTGGTGGTAGATTTTACATTCCTAACATGTCTGTCTTCTGGCTTATAAAGGCTATAGGACAGAATTCTTCTGTGGATTTGATTCCCCCAACATTTTATTATCCCCCTTCCCTTCAATAACAGTGTTTACCCCACAGATTTTATTTATGTATTTATTGTCTGGTTTTATTTATTTTTGTTACAGATGTTTCTCTTTTTTTCCCCCATTGACACCCTCCTCCTACTCCTGTCCCCGCCCCCACCCCCAGCATTGTTGTCTATGTCCTTGGTTACACATACATGAGTTTAAGTTCTGTGGTTTATCTGTTCCCTCCCCCAACATCCACCTCTTCTGAGGTTTGTCAGTCTGCACCCCACTTCTATGTCTCTGGGTCTGTTTTGTTCCTCAGCTTGTTTTATTCATTATATTCCATGAGTAAATGAGATCATGTGATATTTGTCTTTCTCTGCTTGGCTTGTTTCGCTTAGGATAATACTATCCAGGTTCCTCCATGTCATCTCAAAGGATAAGAGATCTTTCTTTCTTACAGCTGCATAGTACTCCATTGTGTATATGGGCTATTTCCAGATCTTAGCAATTGTAAATAGTGCTGCTATGAACACAGGGGTGCATATATTCTTTCTGATTGGTGTTTCAGGCTTCCTAGGATATATTCCTAGAAGTGGGATCACTGGGTCAAATGGCTACCCCACAGACTTTAAAATGTATGAGGTTGGTGCACACCTCTGACTTGTGTTTCTCCTTGTAGGAAGGAGTTTCTGAGGCAGCGGCAGGCAGCTGTGACTCTTCAGGCTGGGTGGAGAGGCTACTGCAACCGACGGGACTTCCAGCTGGTAGTGGCGCCCTGGGGACTGGGCTGCGGGGCGGCGGTCACTGTCCGATACAGACAGATGCTAAAAGTCTGTTTATCTGAGCGTGAGAGCCCAGGCAGGAAGGACCAGATCAGCGCCTGATGCTGACAGCAGATGTTAAACGACCTCAGCACCCACACTTCCTCCTCAGCGTGGCCGCAGGTCACATGGCAGGCTGTGCTCTCCTGCAGAGTGCGGGCGTCTCCACAGCTAGTGCCATGTCCTCTGAAGACAGACAATGGCTACTGTTCCTAATTGTCAGGCTACAGAATAAGTTAATAAATCATTTTTTTCTTGGCCACAGACACTGCTAATGAGCAACCTTGACCATATCTTTTTTTTTCTTTATTGATTTTAGAGAGAGAGGAAGGGAGAGGGAGAGAGAGGTAGAAACATCGATGAGAGAGAACATCCATCGGCCGCCTCCTGCATGCCTCCCACTGGGGATCGGGCCCACAACCTGGGCGTGTGTCCTGACCGGGAATCGAACCGGCGACCTCTCAGTGCATGGGTCAACACTCAGCCACTGAGCCACGCCACCTGGGCAACCTTGACCACACCTATTGGGCCTCACTGGCCTGCTTACCTTTGTCATGGATATGACTGTGGTTGGGACACACAGTGGTCACATCAGCAAAACTGACCCCAGGCCTGTCCAGGTTCCATGCTCACAGGGGCTCAAAGGCAGCTGCCGAGGGTGCAGAGGCTGCCCGGGGCTGCTGCTCCACGCGCATCATTTTACGTCATGAGCCGACCCTCGGCAGCTGCACTGCAGCGTTGAGGGTTCACGTTCCCAAAGCACGGGCTCGTGAGCAGCGGAGCTCGAGCTCGAGTGCAGGCCTGTGTGACCGCCAAGCCTGGAGGGTGCAGCCCGGCCTCACACACCCATGTTGGCTTGGTCTCTGGAAACCAGTAGGCTCATCCAGGGATCTCAGGGACTCCTGTGGCCCAGAGCATGTTTGCAGCATTGAAGGGGGTGTTCATCAATTTATTATTTCCTCCTTATTTTAAGGATCCCTGAGGGATTAGTTCCATGGAGCAGGCCACGGGCCTCCTCCACACGGGTGTGCCAGCTCCCGAGAAATTGGCTGGGTTTGGCTGCAGGGCGAAAAACAAGGCCTCTGGAATGCCATCGCTCACTGACATCCAAGCCAATTTTTTATCACTGGCCACCCAAGGGCCACTTTATTACTTATGCCATTTCACAAACACTTATTTAGCACTTATTTGCATGCCAGGCTCTATTCTAAGTGCTTTACAAGTAATAGCTCATTCAATACGCTGCGCTCATAGGTGTAGAAAATGTTAACATTCTGCCTTCTGCCTACAAGCAGAAAACAATAAAGCTAGTTTGCGAGGTGTCCTGGGGGTACCACCTGTCTGCAGCTCTTGGTCTTCTTGGAAAGGTCATCTCTGTGCTCTCTGCCCTTCCGGGCCCGGACCCCCCGTGAGTGTGGCCTCTCTTGCCTCCTCAGATCCTGCTGGGGTTCGAACGCCTGCAGGCCATCACCCGGAGCCACCTGCTAGCGAAGCAGTACCAGGCCATGCGGCAGAGGGTGGTCCAGCTGCAGGCCCGCTGCAGGGGCTTCCTGGTGCGCCAGCAGGTCCAGGCCAAGAGGAGGGCAGTGCTGGTCATCCAGGCGCATGCCAGGGGCATGGCTGCCCGGCGGGACTTGCGACGGCAGGAAGCCAATGTAGGTGGTCACTGCCCTCGAGAGCAGGTGGGGACTGGCGAGGGCCCCAGGGGGAGGACAGCAGGAGTGAGCAGCGGCACTGACCCTGAGCAGGCAGTCCTGTCTGCTCCCCACTCAGTCATCACTGAGCAGGCCTTCGTGCCGTCTCGACACCACAGTCACCCCCAGAGTCAGGGCAGCAGGACAGTCTTCTACCCAGAACCTGGAAGCTGAGCTCCTTGGTCCCCTCCCTTAAGCCTGGGGGACTGTGTCTCAGCAGCACTGGTCAGTCTTCCGGGAGGCCCAGCAGACCAGGGCTGGACGAGCTGTGCGGAGCCTCCTGTCCATGGGGAAGGCCCCCGGTTGCTGGGCTCTGGATGCCAGCTCAGGCCACAGGGTCTGGGCAGAAGGGGCTGATGGGCAGGGAGCAGTGCATGACCCCATGTCCCCCAGAGGGCACCTGGGACTAAACCTCAGTCACCTGAAAACTGTGAGGAGGAACAGGGGTTGAAGTGAAATGTATCCCTCCCTATAGATGAACACTGGGGGTACTGAGCAAATTACTAGTGCAGTGGCCAGGGCAAGTAAGGGAATAGAACCTCAGCTCTTTCAGCAGCTGCTTCTGTGCCCACCCACCCCAGGCTCACCATGTATGCTAACACGTATGTATGCTCACCATGTATGCTAACACAGGCCAAGGGACCTCTCCCAGCAGAGGCCCGCGCTCTTTGAATCGAGGCAAGTTGGAGCCACGGTTTGAAGCAAGGATGTGGAGGTCCTGGGTTTGAGGTGGTACCTCCGGAGCATGCGGGGCTAGGGACAGACAGGCAACCTCTCTCTCTGGACTGACTGTCCACTGAGACGTGAGCTAACTGATCTCTAGTCATCCTAGCTATTGAACCCAGGAGTTTAGAGGAAATGCATTGCTTTGGGTAGATGATGGCAGGAGCAGGTTTATCTGTGAGGCGCTTGCCCGTGGAGCCCGTGGATAACCCCCATGGTGTGTGCTGCAGGGGCTGCCGGTCACCCCTGCCGGAAAGAAGAAAGGCCCGAGTGCCCCGCCCACCCAGAAGCGCAAGTCCATCTACAACACCATCACCGACACGGAGATGGTGGAGCAAGTGTTCGGCTTCCTCCCATCCATGATCGGGGGGCAGGAGGGCCAGGCCTCACCTCGCTTCGAGGTGAGATGGGCCCTATCCTTCCAGGGTCCAACTGGGTGGGGACAGGATGGGCCCACCCGGTCGGGACCTCATTCGGCCTCTGGGTTGGCTGAGAAGCAGAGGCTCAGCAGGGGAGCTGGCGGGGTGGATGCTGAAGTGGGTTCTGCATTCCTGGGTGAATGGGCAGAGAAAAGGGGAGAATGGGGTTCTGGGGTCTCCCATTTTCACAGAAAGCAGGTATCTTACCTGCAGGACTTCCCAGAACCTTGAATATGTAAATGCTATTGGGCAGCTCTGCCCCTGAGGTCTGACCTCGTCCACCCCCACAGAGCACCTTGAGTGCTGCTGCTCCAGGAGCAGGACTGGGGACCGGATGCTAGGAACTAAGGACCACTGGCTGCAGCGAGCAGGGTCCGAGCACAGGTGGCACGGTGGGGAAGAACAGCCCACGGCTGTCCTGCGGACTCTCACCACACAGTGCTCTGGGCCCCAGGCCCATGACCTAGACATCCCCCCAAGTGCTCATGCCTCTCCCCCCGTACATCCACACCCACACACTCACACACAGCACAACAGCCCATCTGCTCAGCAGGGGCGGCTGGGACCACCTCCCCGAGAGCAGCACCTGAATGAGGGTGGCGGAGGCGAGGACAGGGGCTGTCTAGAGAGCCCGTGTCTGCGGGCAGGGGCTCGGAGGGCGCTCGGGCAGCTGAGGAGCTCGGGCTGAGGCCTGTCCTTCCCGTGACAGTCCACCAGAGGCCCCCGAGGGTGTGGGGTGAGGGAGTCTCAAACACGATGGGGAGTGGACAGACGACTCTGCTCCTGGCGCGTGACCAGACAGGCCCTGCTTGGTGCCCTGGCCCCCAGAGTGCGGGCTGGAGGATGGCATCTGCCCCGAAGCCTGACGCCTGTCCCTGCTTCTCATGGGCCCAGGATCTGGAAACAAAGGCCCAGCACTTGCCCGAGGTCGACCTGGACACAGTCCCCATGGTGGAAGAGGCGGAGGAGGACATGGACGGCCTAGCCGAGTACAGCTTCGCCAAGTTCGCCGCCACCTACTTCCAGAAATCGGCCAGCCACACGCACATCCGGAAACCCCTCCGGCACCCACTGCTGTACCACGAGGATGATGCCGACTGCTCGGTACCTAACCACTCTCTGGTTTCTGGTGGCTCAAGGCACCCCCATGACCCCCAGTGTATGCTGCGGTTCCGCAGGATCACAGAAGGGCGGGGTCGCCGTGGGCCGTGCTGCAAGCCAGATGCCAGCTGGGACTCTGTTTCGTCTCCCCAGGCTGCCCTGGCTGTGTGGGGCATCATCCTGAGATTCATGGGCGACCTTCCGGAGCCAGTGCTCTTTGCCAGGAAGAGTGGCAGCTCAGTGGTGCGGCCGGCTCGCGACGCCGGGCACAGGGACGGCAGCACCCAGCCTCCACAGCACGGGTCTGCACAGGTGTGTGGCGAGGGTGGTGGCGGGAAAGGGAGACCCCTCTAGGCATCAACGAGGCCCCAGGCCCCCGAGGAAGCAAGACATAGAGTCCCCTTGTCAGCATCACCCTGAAACCGCCCAGCCTGGGCTCCCCATTCCTGGGAATTCAGTCTGGAATTGTACTCAGGAACTCATGAGTCAGGATCACACTGAGGACATGTTTAGTTGTGGGCACTGCTGGAGCGGGCACCGGCTCTGAGCCTTCGGTTCACTGCAGCAGAATTCGGATGTGCGTGCAGCACGGACGCCAGGGCTCGTGCTGCCCTCCGGGCGTTCTCGCCCGCCTGCCGTCCGAGGCAGGCTGATCGTGTACGACAGCTGGGCCATGACCGAGCCAGGCTTCGCATTCACTGCACCGCTCAGAGAGCAAGCCCTCGCCCGGCCTGCCCTCTGACAGAGGCTGGACCAGCCCCAACAGTCCAGAGGCATCACACTGCAGCGAGTGTGCGGGCCCACCAGCAGGAGGCGCCCATGCCCACCCCACACATCAGGTCCTGTGTGCAGGCCGACTGTGGGGAGATGTGAGTGGCCAGACAGCCTGGAATGACGTGGATGGCAGTTCGTGGGCTCTGCAGAGTTGTTAGTTCCCTCCTCCTACGTAACATGCACCCCGAATGTCAGCTTGGAACAGCAGACAGGCATCATCTCACGTAGTTTCTGAGGACCGGGAGCGGCTCAGCGGGTCAGGTCCGGCTCAAGGCCTCTCCCGAGGCTGCTGACAAGCTGTTGACCAGGCTGCCGTCATTTCAAGGCTTCCCTGGGGCTGAGGAGCTGCTTCCCAGACAGCCCCTCCCCCGCCGTTGGCAGGGCCTGTCCCTGCCTGAGTGTTGTCACGGTGGGTTCCTCCGCAATGACTGACCTGACAGAAAGCCAGAGGGGAGCCACATGGCAGTCGCATGGCACTGGGCAGCAGTGTCCGGAGGCAGGAGGCCCCGGGCTGCCTTGAAAGCTGGCAGCCACTCAGAGGAGGGGCCTGCGGAGCTGTGCGCGGTGGGGAACCTCGGGGTCCACGGGAGGGGGCTCAGACCTCAAGTTTTCATTAGAAATTCATTCTTCAGCCTGGCTGGTGTGGCTCAGTGGCTGAGCGTCGACCCTGCACCAAGAGGTCGCTGGTTCAGTTCCTGGTCAGGGCACATGCCCTGGTTGTGGGTCCGATCCCCAGGGGGGGCACGCAGGAGACGGCCAGTCAATGTTCTCTCTCATCGATGTTTCTATCTCTCTCTCCCTCTCCCTTCCTCTCTCTCTAAAATCAATAAAGGGAAAAAAATTTTTTAAATCCATCCTTCGAAATTGATTTTGCCCTTATGTCAAGAATCAGTTGTGCAAATTTGCGGGTTTATTTCTGTGTTCTCTATTCTGTTCCACTTATCTGTGTGTCTGTCCCTCTGCCAGGCTGCCCTACTGTCTGTAGAGATACAATGTCTTGATGCGGTGGACACTGATTTCTCCTGCCTTAGTATTCTCTTTCAAAATTGTTTTTGGTATTCTCATTTCCTTGCTTTTCCATATACATTTTAGAACAATCTTACCCATATCTACAAAAATAATCTTGCTGGTATTTAAATATGAGTTTCGTTGTACATCAGTGTGACTATGCTGAGTCTTCTGATCCACGAGCTCCATTTATTTTAATCTTCTTTGAGCTCTTTAATCAATGTTTTGTTTTCAGCACACATGCTCTCTATGTGTTCTATTAAATTTACACATAGGGTTTGGAGAGGTTTTGTGAGGGAGAGATTATAATGGTACCACACACACACACAGCAAACCATTGATTTTGTGGACCTCAATTTAACAGATTTCGGATTTAACGGACAAAATTTCCCATCTTTATGTCATATGTGAAAACTAACACCCTATTAATTTTTAAAGGCTTTTAACCAAGATTTGTTTACAATTAAATTAACGGGTTGTTTTTTGTTATTAATTCACTGTTATTTAACTCCCTTTTATTCAGCAAACACTGTCACTCCTTTTTTTTAATTAAATTTATTTATTTATTTTTATTACAGATGTCCCTCCTTTTACCCCCTTTGGCACTCTCCTCCCTGCTCCTGTCCCCCCAACCCTTCACCATATTGTTGCTCACGTCCATGGTTGTGCACACGTAGAAGTTCCTTGGTTTATCTCCTCCCTCCCCCTGCCCCCTCCTCTGAGGTTTGTCGATCTGTTCCCTACTTCCATGTCTCTGGATCTATTTTGTTCATTAGCTTATTTGTACATTATAGTCCACAAATAAGTGAGATCATGTGGTATTTGTCTTTCTCTGATTGGCTTATTTTGCTTAGCATAATTCACTGTTATTTTTAACAAATTTTAGTGAATAGGCCATATGTTGGAAAAAACACTGCAGTAACTTTGCTGACATAAATAAATATTACATACCTTCAACTAGAGTCTACATGTTAAAATCCAAGAGTCACTGCTCATAAACAGTGTTCAGCGAATGATTAGCATGTGATCACACCACACTGTGCGTGGTAATTGGTTCTGTGTCGCCTGGTGTGACTTTGTGTGGTTGTTTTAACACCTGCCAGCTGATGTTGCCATGTGCCTAACGGTGCCCCAGCCACGCCCCAGCGTGTGCATGTGCCTACTCATGGTGACTGGTGAATGCACCCATTTACTAGACCTATTCAGTATAAACAAAATTGTAGTAATACCTGTAGAAAACTTTTTGTACATTAACTTTAATCACACAAACGTGTCTACATAAGTAAAAACAGGTAAACAAATTGTCAATTTTTTAACATATGAATTTGGAAAACCTACTTTATTCTATAACAGACTTTTGGCTTTAATGGACACACCCTGCCCTGGCCAGTTTGGCTTAGCAGTTAAAGCTTCGGCCTGCGGTCCAGAGAGACCCGGGTTCGGTTCCCGCTAAGGGCGTGTACCTCGGTTGCAGTTTGTCCCTGACCCTGGTTGGGTTGTGAGGGTGGCGGCCAGCCTATGTGTCCCTTTCACGTCGATGTTTCTCTCTCTCTCTTCCTCTCTCCCTCCCGCTCTATCTGAACAAAAAATGAGAAAATGTCCTCAGGTGAGGATTGAAAAAAAAAAATGTACACACCCTGCCTGTATTAGTATATATATAGTTTGATTGGAGAGAGAGAAAAACATTAATGTGAGAAATACAAATTAGTTGCCTCCCATATGTGCCCCGACTGGGGATCAAGCCCACAACCTGATATGTGACCTGACCAGGAACTGAACCCACCACATTTTAGTTTACAGGACGATGCTCCACCAACTGAACCACAGCTGCTAGAGCGAAATGGTACTATATGTTTTTTTATTTGTTTTTATTGATTTTAGAGAGAGAAGAAGGGAAAGGAAGAGAGAGAGAAACATCAATGAGAGAGATTTGAAATATTGATCAACTGCCTCCTGCATGCCCCCTACTGGGGGTCGAGCCCACAACCTGGGCATGTGCCCTGACTGGGAATCAAACTGGTGCCCTCTTGGAGCATGGGACAACACTCAGCCACTGAGCCACAGCAGCCGGGGAGCATTTTATTTTTTTATTTTGGCATTGACATATTCATTGCTAGCATAGAAAAAATACAATGTACTTGTGTGTTGATTCTGTATCTCGCAACATTGCTGAACTTTCTTACTTTTTATAGATTTCTTGGAATTTTCTATGTAGACATTCATGTCATCTGCAAATAGGGACAGCTCATGTGTGTCATGTTCTGTGTCTGAGGCAAACCAATCTCCCCAGCCAGAAGCTGGTGCCCAGCCCCAGCAGCTGGGCCGGTCCCAGCCGAAGCCCAGCCCCACACTGAGCTCTAGGTCAGCAGGATCTTCCCGAAGCCCATGGAGACAAAGCGCGGCCTTTGCCTGAGGAGCCAGTGTGTCCTCATGTCCTCGAAGCCCAGATTCCTTGGCCACCCTGACAGCGCTCCCACTTGTCATGGGCAGAGCATGTTCCGATTCATTCACCCGATTTCCACGGAGATGAGCGTGGCCTGGGCTGTCCAGGGCCCCTGGGCTCAGACCCAGCCCCACTTCAGAGGGCTTTACTGGTGACAGGTTCCCTCTGGAGTCCCAAGGTCCGGAGCCCTCCCGGAGGGCGTTGCTGGCCGACCAGCATTGCCTCGTCTCTGGCCTCCCCTGGCCTCTGTGTCCTCTCCCAGGACTGAGGAGGGTGCTGCGCACGGGAAAGTGTGCAAAACCCAGCCAGAGGGGGGCTGCATGGTGCTTTGTAAACTAGACGGGAGAGGGCTGGAGAGACAGACACTCGCCCCACCCCAGTGGCAGACAGGTCACTGCCCTACGGTGCTCCCCAGTTCACCTGCTTACACACTCTCTCCCTCCGCAGAGGCCCAGCCTCAGGGACAGAAGGATCAAAGACATCTCCTCCATGAAGCTGAAGCGCTCGGCCCAGATCACGGGCCAGGTGAGCCCAGGGCCAGGAGCTTGGCGACCCACGTGGTTCCAGGCTTTTGCCCTCCCCCCGCAACCTCGGCTGCCTCCTTTGCAAATGGGGAGAATCACAGCTGCCCTGACTGCCCTCTTTGGTGTTCAAGGTGGCAAGCCGACTGAGTATTGGAGAGGAGGCATTTGAGTCTGAGGGCTCCATCTCAGACCGCCCCATGTCCAACCTGGAGAAGGTGCACTTTATTGTGAGCTATGCCGTCCTGAAGCCCAGCCTCAGGTCAGTGCCCCTCTCGCCTCACCCCCATTGAGAACGTCGGACCCCTGGCTGCCTCTCTACTGGTAACCACAGCCGCCGCCTCTGCTTGCTGTCCCGGGACCTGCAGACTAGCTCTCGGTGCAGCAGGTGTCATAGTCGTCCAGGGCTCTTGACTTGCTCTGAGGTCAGTCCCATGGGCAGAACCCGGTTTTAGGAACACAGATTCAAACTGGGCTAGTGATTCATGGCACAACAGGCTACAATGCAGGGTCCTGTGAATGAGCAGGTCCCTCAGGCATGTGATATATATTTTGTTTTCTATACAATTTGATTTCTAGCCATTGTGTTTTCAAGTAAATTTTAAGAAATATGTGTACTGCTTTCAGGGATAGAGTATTAGATTTTGGGGGCTCACGTATTTTAGGTTATTTTAAACCAAATTTTGGGAAATGTTGGCCATTCTTTCATCAGATATTTCTTCTATTTCATTCTGTCTCTCTCTTTTTCTTTAAACTCTATTAACCTGTGTGGGACATTTCCCTCAGGTCCCTGTGAGTCTATCCCTCCTTTCTCTCTTTTTTATTCTTTTTTCTCTGTTCTTCACATGAACTGATCTTTCTCTTATCTTCCACAATCTGCTGCTACACTCATCTATGAATTTTTTTAAATTTCAGGTATTATATTTTTCAGTTCTGGAGTCTTCACTTATTTTTTTTCTAATAGTTTGTTTCTTCGTGAAGACTTCCTGTTTGTGCACTGCAAACATGTTTCCTCCATGCTCCTGAGCATGGTTTTCAATGCTTTTCTGGCTTCCGGTCAAGACAGCAGAGAGGCAAACACTGTTCCCGCCTCCTCCCCTGACCACATCACAACAACTGAACACAGAACAACCATCATTCAGAACTCTCTGAAGTCTGGCTGAACAGAAGAACTGAAGCTAAGGATGTACTGAAGACGCCACACTGAGACTGCGGAGAAGCCGAGGCGCAGAGTGGGCTGGTCCTGCACCCATGTGTGGCAGTTAAAAATCAGGAGAAATATCTCAGCTTCAGAGGTCCCCCTGAAGAACAAGGAATCCCAGCCACATACCAGACCTCCCAGCCCAGGGTTCCAGTGCCAGGAAGAGAATCTCCATCACTTATGGCTGTGAAAACCAGCAAGGATTGGGGCTGAGGGAGGCTGAGGCTTCTGGGGCCCCAGGCAGCTTCTCTTAAAGGGCCAGTGCACGGACTTACTTGGACTCACTACCTCTGAGCTCCAGCACAGGGGCAGCAGCTTGAACAGCACCAGAGACATATGAGGAGGAACTGAAGTGTCTGGCTTTGGGGTGAGGGCTGGAGGGGCAGCCTTCTCCCAGACAGAAGTGCTGGCAGAGGCCATTGTCCTTTTGCTGAGCCCTCCCTGTGCAGGTGCAGACAGGTGCCATATCTGAGTCTCCACCAACCTAAGTAACACTGTTTTCCCTGCCCTGGTGATAACCTGAGACCCCACCCCACCCAACGTGCAGGCCCACCCAAGATGCTTCCAGTGGCATTTCCCTACACACAGACTGCCTTGGCTCACACTGAAGACTTCCCTAAATTCTCTCAAATGCTCACAAATGCTCCCAAACAAGCAGCATCTGGCCTCAGCATGCCACATACCTCTGGCTAAATGGCCCCAGGGCTGGCACTAGTGGCATCCGAACTTGGTTTGCAGCTTGGCCTTGCCTGGGCACCTCCAAGCCCAGCACAAGTAGCAGCCATCTGCAGATTGCTTTGTAACTCATGCCAGGTGGCCCCATGCAGGGCACAGGAGACAGCTGACCTTGGCCTGCATGTCTCGGTAGGCCCTAGAGGCAGCACATTTGGTAGCCAGGTTCAGACTGTGCCAGAGAACCACCCAACCACCTCCACCAGTGACACACTGAAGGAGCAGACTTAAGGAGAGCTCTGCTGGTCCATGGGGTCGGCCTCTGAACAATAGCTCCTCCACTGTAGTCATGACCGGTGTCATAGCCAGTGGGCCTGAGAAATCAATCTTTCCCATTGACAGACTAACATCAATTAAGGCTCAACTACAACAGGACAGTGCACACAGCTCAGACGGGAGTGTGCACCTGGAGTGTGCAGCTCGGGTGACCAAGGAGGCTGAGCCACTGGACCCTACGAGACACATTACATAAGACTACTCTTTCAGCCTGGGAGACATAGTAGTTCTACCTAACACACAGAAACAAACCCAGATGGGCAGCCAAAATGGAGAGATAAATAAGCATATCCAAAATAGAAGAACAGGAGAAATCTCCAGAAAAAGAACTAAGTGAAATGCAGGCAGGCAAACAACTAGATACAGACTTCAAAACGATGGTTGTAAGGATGCTCAATGAGAGAACTTCAACAGTATAAAAAGGACATAGAAACTATCAAAAAGAACCAGCCAGAAATGAAGAACACACTAGAAGAAATCAACTTTAGATTAGATGAAGTAGAGGATTGAATCAGTGATTTGAAGATGAAATAGTAGAAAATACCCAATCAGAAGGGGGGGGGGGGGCGGGGGAAGAGAATCCAAAAAAGTTAGGTAGAGTCTATTTAAAGAAATAACGACTGAAAACATCCCTAACCTAGTGAAAAAGAAAGATACACATGTCCAGGAAATGCAGAGTTCCTAACAAGATGGATCCAAAGAGGCCCATACCAGGACACATCATAATTACAACGCCAAAGTTTAAAGACAAAGAGAGAATCTTAAAAGCAGTAAGAGAAAAGCAGGCAGTCACGTACAAGGGAGCTTCCATAAGACTACCAGCTGATTTCTCAACAAACTTTGTAGTCCAGAAGGGAATGGCAAGAAACAGTCAAAGTGATGAAAAGCGAGGACCTACAATCAAGATTATTCTACCCAGCAAAGCTATTATTTAGAATGGAAGAATAGATAAAGAGCTTGACAGACAAGAAAAAGCTAAAAGAGTTCATCAGGACCAAACCAGGACTGCTTTTCTATTTTTCCTTCATTCTAGGATTTTCCTTCTCTTTCAACTATTGTGAATACCCCAAAATCTGTCATCTGGTTCTTCAAGCTAGTGAGACCCCAAGGTTTCTACTCAAGTTTTAGCTGCCTGAGTGATACCAACCAGGCAACTATTCCAACTTAGTTGATTATATTGGTTGTTCTCTCATGGTTACTCTTCACTTGGCACCACCCTCTCCAATATGTAAAAGCTGTGTCCAAATAAGATGCACTGTGGGTTCATCAGATAACCTTATAGCAATCTTATCCAGTACTGGTCTCCAGCTGGGGCTGACACTCTCATGGTGATCCCTTGAGACCCCCTGCCAACTCTATCCCCTGATGAAACACACCCCAGCCTCTTACTGCTTGGAATGATGGGCTGCTTGCTTGTGTGAAATCCCATCAGGCCACCTGAAGGTCAACTCCTTCAATGACATTCCCAACTTCTGACTGTTCTCTCTTCATCTTGGCCATCCAGGGCAGCTTAGAATTCTCCAAGAGAAAGCAGACACTCGTTTCTTTGTTCATGGAGGCCCAACTTGTGTCTCTGGGAAACAAGTGTCAAGCCCTTAAGAACTCTGTGACTATTTTATTCCAGTACCCTGGAGTAAGCCAGTGGGCTGCTGGGGCTCGGCATGACTCACATGGAGAGTGAGATGGGCCTTGCTTCAGTTCTGGCACATAGCCCCATCTGTGCTGGTGATCTGCTGGGCTCTCACCTCCTCATTTGGAACAAGTGGAAATAGGCCAGAGGTCTCTCTACTCCTACAAAGTCCCTTCCAATAATAGCCTTTTACATTTCTCATCTTCACTAATGCAGGCTGGAGATGGCATGGTGGCTGAACAGGTTCTGCCATCTTTTAGTAGATCCTATGAGAATGTACCTCTTTAGAATATTGAGCATTATCTTCTGTTTGTCTTTGGCTCTAGAGTCTTAACTAAATTCCAAGACAAAGCAAATGCTCCACCCACATCCAGCCACACATTCAATACACGTTTTTAAGTACCTGCTCCGAGCCCAGACCTGAACTGAGGACTGGGGATGCAGAGATAAAAATGGCATGTCTCTGTCCTCAAGGAAGTCACCCTTTATGTCTCTGTCCTCAAGGAAGTCATCCTTTAGTTGGGGAGCATGGGAGGACCCAGAAACCCACAATAATTGCTTATGCTAAGATAGGGGTCCAGTGGGGGTACCGAGAAGTAGTGTAATGCCCTCCTGGGCTACTGGGGGCTGTGAGGAGGAGGAGGGGTGTTTCACCAGAGAGAAGGAAGATTCTGAACAGGGTCACAGAGTTCTGAAACAGCCCAAGGGTCTGGAATTCCAAATGATTTGTAACAACTGGGAATTGAGTTTGAATTTAATCATAGGAGTAATAGGGAGAAGTTTTAAGTAAGAGAAGAACACGGCCATATTTGACTTTCAGAAAGTTCTCCCTGGCGATGGCATGCAGAGATGGGGCTTGAGAGTAGGAGGCCAGGAGAAAACCGATGAGAGATGGCCCAGGGAGCAGGAGCTAAGAGAAAGAGACAGAGAAAACATCCGGGAGACAGCTGGTTGGAGGTGGTGGCTGATGGGAGGAGTCTAGGATGACTCCAATATTTCCAGCTGGGTGAATGGTTGATGGTGATGCCTGTAGAGACTTGAGAAAGAGGCATGCTATAGCTGAGATTACTAGGCTGTGACAATAGATGGGCACATCGCTTTCCAACTCTGTATTCAGTGACTTCAGGTTGGTAGCTTGAAATTGGCATCAATGGGAATATTTACACCACAGAAATTGGCAGATGCGATGAATGAGGACTTTCCCCCAGGAGAGTCCGTTGTTAAGCACCAGCACGCCACTGAGTGTCAAGAGGAAAGATGCTGACCTCCGGGTATGTGCGGCTGGAAGACAGTTCAGTGAGATGATAGAGGATTGAGAACATGAAGGATCCAGAAGCATCCCCTCCCGAGACAAGACAGAGAGGAGAGGCTCATGAGCCTGGGGGAATGGGAACTGGTCAGGAGGTGAGGATTTGGGGGGGTCTCCTATGAAGTCCCCATTTCTCTCTCTGCAATGGTGGTGGGGTGGCTGTATTCAGGGAAAGGGGGAGGACTTCAAGATAGAAGGAGCAGCCCTGGCCAGTTTGGCTCAGCGGTTGGAGCATCAGCCCACGCACCAGAGAGTCCCTGGTTCAGTTCCCGCTAAGGGCACGTACCTCGGTTGAAGTTTGTCCCTGGCCCCTGTTGGGGTCATGTGGGTGGTAACCACTTGATGTGTCTCTCTCACATCGATGTTTCTCTCTCTCTCTTTCTCTCACTCTATCTGAAGATAAATGCAAAAATGTCCTTGGGTGAAGATAATAAAAAAAATAAAGAACAAGATAGAAGGAACAGATGTGAAATAACTGTAAAGCTGGGGAAAGGGACAGATCAGATCATGCAATGTTCTAGGTGACTGAGGTCAGGGCCGTGGTGGAGACCCCACACTGGACGGCCAGGTTATCGTGGGCAGAGTGGGTGAGGTAGGGAGCAAAAGCCTGAGGGGACAAGATGAATGACAGGGAGGACAAAGGCTAAGGCCTTGATGAGTTAGGAAATGAAAGCTAATGTGAGTGGAGGCACAGAACCCTGGGCAGACACTGGAGGTGGCACCACCTTCAGGAGATGACAGGCTCCAGGTCAGCCAGGGTTGCGGCAAAGCCAGCAAAGGCCATTGCAGGTGAGGAAGCTGGAGGTCGCCCCTTGGACGTGACCCCACCTGAGGGTGTAGAAGGATCTATGTGCCCAGTCACCTGTCCTTAGAGCCAGCCTACAGCCTGGTGGTCTGTGTCTTCCAGGGACGAGATTTACTGCCAGATCTGCAAGCAGCTGTCAGAGAACTTCAAAATGAGCAGCCTGGCTCGGGGCTGGATCCTGCTCAGCCTCTGTTTGGGCTGCTTCCCACCCTCTGAGAGGTTCATGAAGGTAGGGAGGGCCCAGGGCAGGGGCTCGGGTTGGAGGGCAGTGGGGACAGGGTACCTGGGAGGATTGGTTGGCCCTGGACCATGGAGCAGGTCCAGAAATCCTGGTTTATGGCTCAGTTCTGCTGCTTCTACTGGCCAGGTAGGACCACAGTGCCTATGCTTCTCTGGGCCTCAGTTTCCCCTTCTATAAAAGAGGACACTGGACCTGGTTTTTCTGGCCCCAAGTCAGGGTCTTCAGCTCACTTGGTCTCAGGCACCATGACGGCCCTTCTGACAAGACAGTGAGATGGTAGATGAAATGTGCATCGAAGAGACGAAGGTGTCCCAGGAGTGAGCGCTGACTGGAGATGGACTGAAGCATCTCTCTCTAGTCCCTAGAACTAAAAATGGAGGCGGGGTATTGACAGGAGCAGTGCTAGATGCTCCAGGCTTCATTGCGGTAATGTGCCTTTTGCTTCTTATCATAAAAGTAATATGTAGTCCGGCTGGTGTGGTTCAGTGGTTGAGCGTTGACCCTGCAGCAGGAGGTCACTGGTTAGATTCCCAGTCAGGGCTCATGCCCAGGGTGTGGGCCCGACCCCCAGTGGGGGGCATGCAGGAGGCGGCCAATCAGTGTTCTCTCTCATCGATGTTTCTATCTCTCTCCCTCCCTTCCTCTCTCTCTAAAATCAATAAAGGGAAAAAAAAAAGCAGTAATGTGTAGGAAATGCAGAAAGTCTAGAAGTCATCCCCACACCCAGAGGTAACTTCCGTTACTATTTTTGGCCTTCGTGGTGTTATAGTGTCACTTTCTCTCAGCTCCCTTTGGGACAGCAGGACGCGTGGTCACGTAGCTGTCTGCCCTGGGCGCTCGGGCCACTCCTGACCCAGCAAGTCACTCCAGGCTGTCTCCTCACGAAACCTCTCTGTGAGGTGAAAAGATTTTCAACACATTTTATCCAACATATTCTGAACATCAACTGTCCTGTGTTTCACATGCCTCCACAAGTGTCTTTTCACCGTCGTACCTCCCCCCAGTGCCAGCTGCAAGCCACCCACACGGCGCTGTCCTGCAGAGTCAGCTGTGGACGCACGTTGGGGTCCGCCTTCCAAGTGCTTATCACCGTGAACACCACCACCAGGGCGGTGCAGTGGGCTGAGCAGCGTCCTGTGCACCCAGAGGTTGCCAGTTCATTCCCAGTCAGGGTGCATGCCTGCCCGTGGGTTTTGTCCCCAGTTGGGGCACATGCAGAAGGCAGCAGATCCACGTTCCCCTCTCTCTCTCTCTCTCTCACTCGCTCGCTCTCTCTCGCTCTCACTCTCTCGCTCTCTCTCTCTCTCTCTCAACATGTCCTCGGGTGAGGATTCAATATATATGTATACCCTGGCCTGTTTGGCTCAGCTAGAACATCAGCCTGCGGACCAAAGAGTTGCAAGTTCAATTCCAGTCCAGGGCACGTACCTGGGTTGCAGTTCGGTCCCCAGCCCTGGTTGGGGTCGTGCGGGAGACAACCAGTCGATGTGTTTCTCTCTCTCTCTCTCTCTCTCTCTCTCTCTCTCTCTCTCTCTCTCTCTCCTTCCCACTGTATCTGAACAAAAAATGTCCTCGGGTGAGGATAAAAAAAAAAGTATGTAAGCCCTGGCCAGTTTGGCTCAGCGGTTAGAGCATCGGTCCATGGACCAGAGAGAACCACCCCCCCCCTCAGGCAGCGAGAAGGAAGTGGTCTCCGTCCTAAGTGCCCTGTGCCCTTTCCCTCCTCACCCACCAGTATTTGCTGAACTTCATTGGTGAAGGGCCAGCCAGCTACGGGCCCTTCTGTGCTGAGCGCCTGAGACGCACCTGTGCCAATGGGGTACGCACGGAGCCCCCAACTTGGCTGGAACTTCAGGTAGGGGCCAGCTGAGGTGGGAGGTGGTCAGATTGGGATGGTGCCAGCCCCCATGGCTCCTCCAGGACCAATGTTGGGATGCCTTCTTCTGTCCTGCCTGCAGGAAGTGTGTCCTTGGGACTCCTCCACCCACTTGGGGAGCCTTCTGTGCCAGTGGTCCCTGTGGCTCAGCCTCTCCAGCCCAGGCCTGAGCTTCCAAGTACCCTCCCCACTGGTCAATCCACATTCCTTTAGGGCCCTACTAGCTAATGGGGGAAATTTAATCTGATAAACCAGTTAGCATTCAATGATGAATGACTGCTAATTGCTTAAAATGTTACCCTCCCAAGGACATTTGCATTTTATAAAGAAGGCAGTGGTCACTGCAAGGTGTCATCCTTGGCGGCATTGCTAGGCATCCCTGTGGGTTCTCACAGGGTTCTCAGGGAGGGCGGGGTTGAGGGGCACCCTCAGCGTCCTGCTGTCCTCATGGCTCCTGGAAGGCCCCACTCCCTGGTGCCCTGTACTGGGGTGGCCCCTGCCACACCCTTTCCCATTCTCACCCTGCCACCCAAGTCCACAGGGCTCTCTTACCTCATGAGCTCTGGATCCCACGTGAACTGGTAGCAGCTGTTTGAGCGTGCTCACACCCTGTTGTGCACAGAGTGAACTGTGGCCCCCACATATCAAAAATGTTCCAGAGTCCAGAGCTGGGTGACTTCCAAGAGTTCTTCTGAGCCTCTGTGATTCTGTCACTCGACCTCCGGAGCTCAGGGTTCTCATGGCAGAGGGCCCTCTGCATGCAGGCTGCCCAGGTGCCGAGCAGAGCACACGCTGCCGGGCAGCACCATGGACAGCCCCCATCCCCCCATCCCGGGTCCATCCCTGCAGAGCACCCAACATCTGCTGGCCTCGGGACACTGGCAACAGAAGAGAAGAGTGGGCCGGACTCCAGGACAGGGCTCTGGAGCCCGGGGCAGGCAGCTACACCCAGGGATCTCTGGGGCACAGAGGCTGAGTCGTCATCCGTCCCCAGGCTGTCAAGTCCAAGAAGCACATCCCGATCCACGTCATCCTGGTGACCGGAGAGAACCTGATAGTCACCGTGGACTCCGCCTCCACATCACGAGAAGTCTGCCTGCACATCGCTCGCAAGCAGGGCCTCAGGGACCACCTGGGCTTCTCCCTCCAGGTCGCTGTGTATGACAAGGTACTGGCCTGGTCCATCCATCCCCCACCTCCGCATGCTCCCAGGCCCGCTCAAGCCCTGGACCCAGACTGACTTGGCCACTGCTGTCCGTCCCAGCTGACAAACACAGATATACACACTCACTCACACACACACTAACACTCAGATACACAGTCACACATGCACACACTCACACACTCACAGTCACATACAATCACACATGCACACACTCAAAGATATACACATTGACACATACATACATGCACACCTATACACACATATACACTCACAGATACACATTCACACATACACCCTGACACACACTCACACACTCATGCACACAACATGCACAGAAACATGTTTCATCAGCAGGCATACTGTCCTCCTGCTCAGACTCTTCCATGCCCAGCCCAGGATATTGCCCTCAGCCCCAGAGCCACACACCCTTCTGCCAGCCCCCACCACACCTGAGCATCCACCGCCACTCAGCACCCACTGACCTCACACCTGAGCAGTTCCCCCCACTCAGCGCCCACTGCACTCACACCTGAGCATCCCTCACTCAGCGCCCACTGCACTCACACCTGAGCAGTTCCCCCCACTCAGTGCCCACTGCAATCACACCTGAGCAGTCCCCCCCACTCAGTGCCCACTGCACTCACACCTGAGCACTCCCCCCCACTCAGTGCCCACTGCACTCACACCTGAGCATCCCCCACTCAGCGCCCACTGCACTCACACCTGGGCAGTCCCCCGACTCAGCGCCCACTGCACTCACACCTGAGCAGTCCCCACACTCAGCGCCCACTGCACTCACACCTGAGCATCCCCCACTCAGCACCCACTGCACTCACACCTGAGCATCCCCCACTCAGCGCCCACTGCACTCACACCTGAGCAGTCCCCACACTCAGCGCCCACTGCACTCACACCTGGGCAGTCCCCCGACTCAACGCCCACTGCACTCACACCTGAGCAGTCCCCCCCACTCAGTGCCCACTGCAATCACACCTGAGCAGTCCCCCCCACTCAGTGCCCACTGACACTCACACCAGAGCAGTCCCCCCCATCGTGCCCACTGCACTCACACCTGAGCAGTCCCCCCACTCAGCGCCCACTGCACTCACACCTGAGCAGTCCCCCACACTCAGCGCCCACTGCACTCACACCTGAGCAGTCCCCAACACTCAGCGCCCACTGCACTCACACCTGAGCATCCCCCACTCAGCACCCACTGCACTCACACCTGAGCATCCCCCACTCAACACCCACTGCACTCACACCTGACCAGTCCCCCCCACTCAGCGCCCACTGCACTCACACCTGAGCAGTCCCCCACTCAGCGCCCACTGCACTCACACCTGAGCAGTCCCCCCCACTCAGTGCCCACTGCACTCACACCTGGGCAGTCCCCCGACTCAGCGCCCACTGCACTCACACCTGAGCATCCCCTACTCAGCGCCCACTGCACTCACACCTGAGCATCCCCTACTCAGCGCCCACTGCACTCACACCTGAGCATCCCCCACTCAGCGCCCACTGCACTCACACCTGAACAGTCCCCCCCCACTCAGTGCCCACTGCACTCACACCTGGGCAGTCCCCCGACTCAGCGCCACTGCACTCACACCTGAGCATCCCCCACTCAGCGCCCACTGCACTCACACCTGAGCATCCCCCACTCAGCGCCCACTGCACTCACACCTGAACAGTCCCCCCCACTCAGTGCCCACTGCACTCACACCTGAGCATCCCCCACTCAGCGCCCACTGCACTCACACCTGAGCATCCCCCACTCAGCGCCCACTGCACTCACACCTGAGCATCCCCCACTCAGCGCCCACTGCACTCACACCTGAGCATCCCCTACTCAGCGCCCACTGCACTCACACCTGAACAGTCCCCCCCACTCAGTGCCCACTGCACTCACACCTGGGCAGTCCCCCGACTCAGCGCCCACTGCACTCACACCTGAACAGTCCCCCCCACTCAGTGCCCACTGCACTCACACCTGGGCAGTCCCCCGACTCAGCGCCCACTGCACTCACACCTGAGCATCCCCCACTCAGCGCCCACTGCACTCACACCTGAGCAGTCCCCCACTCAGCGCCCACTGCACTCACACCTGAGCAGTTCCCCCCACTCAGCACCCACTGACCTCACACCTGAGCAGTCCCCCCCACTCAGCGCCCACTGCACTCACACCTGAGCAGTCCCCCACTCAGTGCCCACTGCACTCACACCTGAGCAGTCCCCCGACTCAGCACCCACTGCACTCACACCTGAGCATCCCCAACACTCAGCGCCCACTGCACTCACACCTGAGCATCCCCCACTCAGCGCCCACTGCACTCACACCTGAGCATCCCCCACTCAGCGCCCACTGCACTCACACCTGAGCATCCCCCACTCAGCGCCCACTGCACTCACACCTGAGCAGTCCCCCCCACTCAGCGCCTACTGCACTCACACCTGACCAGTCCCCCCCACTCAGTGCCCACTGCACTCACACCTGACCAGTCCCCCCCCACTCAGTGCCCACTGCACTCACACCTGAGCAGTCCCCCCCACTCAGCGCCCACTGCACTCACACCTGAGCATCCCCCACTCAGCGCCCACTGCACTCACACCTGAGCAGTCCCCCCCACTCAGCGCCCACTGCACTCACACCTGAGCAGTCCCCCCCACTCAGCGCCCACTGCACTCACACCTGAGCAGTCCCCCCCCACTCAGCGCCCACTGCACTCACACCTGAGCAGTCCCCCCACTCAGCGCCCACTGCACTCACACCTGAGCAGTCCCCCCCACTCAGTGCCCACTGCACTCACACCTGAGCAGTCCCCACACTCAGCGCCCACTGCACTCACACCTGAGCATCCCCCACTCAGTGCCCACTGCATTCACACCTGAGCATCCCCCACTCAGCGCCCACTGCACTCACACCTGAGCAGTCCCCACACTCAGCGCCCACTGCACTCATACCTGAGCTGCACACTCCCATGTAGCAGATGCAAAGATCCGCAGGGCACAGCCCCACCTGATCCACACCCTCACCTATCCAGATGCCCACTTCTCGGCCTCATTCATGCCGACTAGCCGGTCCATGTCCCACCCCAGCCGTGGCAGCCAAGCATCAGCCCTGCCTCCTTTGGGAGGCCGCAAGGAGGAATGTCAGAGTGGCAGGCTCGCCAGGCCCCACGTGGACAGACCTTCAGGGCCCAGATGGGCTGCTGTACCCTGGGGACCCACAGTGGGTGGCTGAGCATGCCCCACATGCATTTGCTGAGAAGGGCACCCCCGTGGGCCAGCACACAGCAGCGCTGACCTCTGTTGCCCCAGTTCTGGTCTCTGGGCAGTGGGCGTGACCATGTCCTGGACGCCATCAGCCAGTGTGAGCAGCTGGCCCGGGAGAGGGGTGAGAGCGAGCGCCAGGCGCCCTGGCGCCTGTACTTCCGGAAGGAGTTCTTCACCCCCTGGCACGATCCCCACGAGGATGCCGTCAGCACCGAGCTCATTTACCGCCAAGTCATCCACGGAGTCCGGTCCGGCGAGTACAGCTTCGAGAAGGTGAGGGTGCACCGCTGCCACAGGGGCCTGGGGGTGTGCAAAGGCAGAGGCGTGGGACCGGGGGTATGCGGGGAGTGCAGGTCCCCAGGCCCCTCTGCTGAGCCTGCAGCTGCCTTCCATGTCCTCCTCCTTTGGACCACAGGTGTGCTCACGCCTCGGGGCCCAGGTACAGCAGTCGGCAGGGAAAACCTCCCATCAACCCCAGGTCCCCAGCCTCACTAACAGCAGCTGTTGATGGGCAACAGGGCCTGGCGTCAAGGCTGGGGCCTCGGAGCCCGGGCACTGGTTGAACCCTACCTGTGCGTCTCCCTAACAGTGTGACCTTGGATCCCCATGTCACCTCTGAGCCCCAGGCCCTCGTCCGGAAGCACAGAGGGTCTCCCAGCGTTGTGGGTCCTGAGGCTCCAGGGAGGGGGTGAGCGCACCTGAGGTGCTGGGAGCAGTGCACCTGAGCTGAGGTCCTCCCGGCCTGTGTCAGGCGGAGGGTGTCTCAGCACCAGAGGCAGCCCCGGAAGTCCTGGCAGCCTACCTGGCCAAGGCAGTGGGCAGGGAGAATCAGGGGCACCGGACGGGGCCCAGAGGACAGGCAGCTGCAGGGTTTGGTCTCTCAGTGGCCCTGGAGCCAAGAGCCTGCCCTGGGTCCCACACAGAGCCCACCCTCTGAGTCCTGGCACAAGCCCCTCAGGGTGGCACTGGTCAGCATGACAAGTGAGGCCTGGGAGAGGCAGAGTCAAGGTCTGCCCACATTCACCCACTCAGACGTGATGGTGGGGTTCCTCCAGGCCTCCCCCCTCCTCCGGGTTCCCTGAGGACAGGCGAGGAGCACAGGGCACACCTGTTGTCAGGGCCCAGTCGGGGCACACAGTGGCTCACCCCCCAAGTTGGGGAAGGGACAAGTTCTGCCTAGAGCCGGTGCAGGACCGGGGGCTGTTCATGCTCCTGGTCATCTCTGGGACCAGCACGGGGTCGGAGCACCCCAGGGGGCTCTGGCTCACCCTTCCCTCACCCTCCCTCTGCCTGGGCAGGAGGAGGAGCTGGTGGAGCTGCTGGCTGGGCACTGCTACGTGCAGCTGGGCGCCGCGGCGGGGAGAGCCGCGGTCCAGGAGCTGCTGCCTGGCGTCATCCCCGCCAAGTTGTACAGGACCAAGCCCCCGGAGAACTGGGCTCGCCTCGTCTCTGCTGCCCATGCCAAGGTCAGCCCCCAGGAGCCGGGGCTCTGCTTTGGGGGGGCCCAGCAGGGGGTGGCCCCTCCCCACGAGTAGCACACACCTGTCTCTTCAGGGTTCACCAGTCTCCTTCAGCCCAGCCCCTGCTACAGGCCCCTCCACGCTCCCTCCACCTTTCAAGTTGGTATCTTGGGTCCAGGCAGCTCATGCCACACTGGTCTCACTGCAGTGCCTGCCTGGGCCTGGCCTTTGGGCACACAGGGCACCTGCAGCTGCTGACCTGACCACACCCTTGCCTCTGCACTGTGCTGCCCTGTCCCAGCTCTGGTCTCTCCTCACCGGCCTGGTGTCTCGGTGCTCTGGTCAGCAGAAAGGGCCGCCTCTGTCCCCCCTGCTTGGTCCTCCTGGTCCACGTGAACATGGCTTCCTCTGGGGGCTCACAGCCCCTCCACGCTGCTGCTCACACCGCTGTCACACACTCATGTTCTCAGGATCACCCACACGCAGGTTCTGCTGCTCCCTGAACTTCCAGCCCAAGAGAGAACAGCGAAGACATACCATCCGAGTCACAGTCCCCTGGCTGCCTTCCCATCCCCGCAGGGACAGCCCTCCCCGACCTTCCCTGCCAGGGCCTCCTGGCGCCCAGGTGCTGCGCCCTGCAGCGGCAGGGGCTTCTCTCAGGGGCCGGGGCCACCGCTGCAGGAGAGCCGTGTGGGCGACCAGGACACAGCCCTTCATCAATACCCCTCCGTCCTCCGGTGGCGCTGTGGACAGGAAAGGCAGGATAGGGAGTGGGACCTGCCTGCTGGTCAGGGGTGGACAGCCCGATGGCAAGGGAACGGGCCCTGCTGAGTGGGTCCCAGAGGCAGGAGCTGGCAGGAGGAAGGACACTGCAAAGGACCAAGTGATGCTGTGTCCGTGCTGCCACTCCGAAGTGGCCTGGAGTGGGCCACGAACAAGCGCCCCTGTGCCGGTGGTCAGGGAAATGCCATTGCTTTGTCCTGCCCTTTGGGGGGTCACAGTGAAGGCTCTGACAAGTCCTGCAGAAAGTCTGCTTCATCCCACATTTCCCAAACAGACTTGACCATAGAAGCCTTGTCCCACCTTCACTCACATTCCCGGGGAACACTCCTGGGGATAGGCGTGGGGGCGGCAGGGCCCATGTGGGCATTTATGGTGTCCCCAGCCCGAGTGCGTGTGTTTGCAAGAGAGACAGACTTTCCAGGGCTCAGACGAGAGGGGGGCGGACAACCCGAGGCACACAGGAGCCTAAACAACCATGAGTGCGAAGTGGCTTCAAATTTGGGAAGTGGGAGTCAGGGTGAGAGTAAAGAATTAGGAAATTTCCCCTCTCCACTTTTTTCAAAAGTGAACAGAGTTTCACTGATTTTTTTTCATTAAACACATGAAACATACATTACCAAATAAATCAGAACATCAGACACATACCAAGAAAAGCAGAATCAGCAGGAGACCGTCACGGTTAGTACTGTGATGTGCCCTCCCAGACAGCTTTATCCGCACGTACACCACTGGGGGTGAACATCACAGAAGAGAAACACACCTTGAAAAGTAAAACCATCAGCCCTGCCAGTTTGGCTCAGCGGACCAAAGAGTCATGGGTTCAATTTTGATCAAGGGCACAGACCTCGGTTGCAGGTTTGGTCCCTGGCCCTGGTCGGGATCATGTGGGTGGCAACCAGTCGATGTGTCTCTCTCACATCGATGTTTCTCTCTCTCTCTTTCTCTGTCTGAAAGTAAAATGGAAAAATATCCTCAGGTGAAGGTTAAAAAAATAAACTAAAATAAAATACAACGGTCAGACGCTAAGACCGTCTCAGGCCGTGTCTTCAGTTGACCACATCGCATGGGACACGTCTCTGTGTCCCTGCATACTGATCGTTACGTGCATTTTAACAGCCATGTGGTATGTGTTAATGGATTATAATTCACTTTTCTGATCCTTATTGGTGAGAGTCAAGGTCATTTCCCATTGTTCACTGTTATTGCGCGAGGTGAGCCACTCTGCAGATGTGAGTTGTACACACTCAATGTATTCATCATGATCAATCCCCATGAAAGGGACTTCAGAGCGTGTGGACATCGTAAAATACTTGGTCTCTGTCGCACCTGGCCAGAGGACCCCTCAGATACAGTGCCCCTGTTTTATTCCCCAGCCCCTCGGGGTCACCCCACCAGATTTTACAGTAGGAATAAGAGGCATTTTTATTTAACAAGCAGTAAAGTCAGTGAGTTCAGTTAGGCACTCAGAGTGGTGCAGATGGGGACTGGAGGGGGTGGTTGAAATGATGGCCCCTGAGAGATGCTTCCCAAGTGCACAGATGAAGAAAGACAGAGGTGCCCAGGACACAGTGATACACACCAAGACAGGCCACATGCCCAGATCCATGGGGCATATACTGGCAAGAGCAAGCCCAGCACAGACACAAGCCACAGACACGAGCCACAGACATGATCCCACAGACACGACCCCACAAACATAAGCCCACAGATATGAGCTTACAGACACAAGCCCACAGACACGAACTTACTGACATGAGCCACAGACACGAGCCCACAGACACGAGCTTACAGACATGAGCCACAGACATGAGCCCACAGACATAAGCCACAGACATGAGTTTACAAACATGAGCCACGGGCACAAGCCATGGACATGAGCCACGAACATGAGCCCACAGACACAAGCCACAGACACGAGCCACAGACACGAGCCACAGACACGAGCCCACAGAAATGAGCCACAGACACGAGCCCACAGACATAAGCCACAGACATGAGTTTACAAACATGAGCCACGGGCACAAGCCATGGACACGAGCCACAGACACGAGCCCACAGAAATGAGCCACAGACACGAGCCCACAGACATAAGCCACAGACATGAGTTTACAAACATGAGCCACGGGCACAAGCCATGGACATGAGCCACAAACATGAGCCCACAGACACGAGCCACAGACACGAGCCACAGACACAAGCCCACAGGCATGAGCCACAGACACAAGCCACAGACACGAGCCCACAGACACGAGCCCACAGACATGAGCCCACAGACACGAGCCCACAGGCATGAGCCACAGACACGAGCCCACAGACATGAGTTTACAGCCATGAGCTTACAGACACGAGCCCACAGACATAAGCCATGGACATGAGCTTACAAACATGAGCCATGGGCACAAGCCATGGACATGAGCCACGAACATAAGCCCACAGACATAAGCTTACAGACCTGAGCGACAGACACAAGCCCACAGACCTGAGCCCACAGACACGAGCCACAAACACCAGCCCACAGACACGAGCCCACAGACACGAGCCACAAACACCAGCCCACAGACACGAGCCCACAGACACAAGCCCACAGACATGCTCAGGCAGAACACACAGCTATCCCCACAAAGGCGACCACCAGCAGCCTGGCCTGCAGCTCTGCATCCTGATGCTAAAGAGGAATAAAGCCCAGCCCTGGTTAATTCAGCTCAGTGGTTAGAGTGTCGGCTCGTGGACCAAAGGGTCACAGGTTTGATCCCCAGTCAAGGGCACGTACCTGGGTTGCGGTTCGTTCCAGCCCTGGTCAGGGTCATGTGGGAGGTAACCCATCAATGTGTCTCTCACATCTATTTTCCTCTCTGTCTCTCTCCCTCCCTCCTTTCCACTGTATCTAAACATTCATGGAAAAATACCCTCAGGTGAGGATTAACAAAAAAAAAAAGAGGGTCCAGCCAGTGTGGCTCAGTGGTTGAGCATCTACCCTGCACCAAGAGGTCGCCAGTTTGATTCCTGGTCAGGACACATGCCCAGGTTGTGGGGGGCATGCAGGAGGTGGCCTATCGATGTCCTCTCTCATCGATGTTTCTCTCTCTCTCTCTTCTTCTCACTTCCTCTCTCTCTCAAATCAATAAAAAAGGAAAAAAACTTTTTTTAAATAAAAAGAGGAAGAAAGCCTAGCTCCCTTCTCAAAACCACCCATGAAGGACGCACCCCCAGCCTCCTACCTGGCCCTCTCTGGGGTCTGGCCCCACTGTAGGCCGAGGCTCTGAAGAATGATCCAGCATCAAGCTCCTGGGCACCAGGCGGTATTGGGGCGGCAGGCTGGGGCTAGAAAGCAGTGACAGCGCTGACACCCCGTGTCCCCGAGCAGGCACCCTACACCCAGGAGCGGGCAGCACCGCGGGCCGTGCAGGAGCAAGTGGTCCAGACCGCCCGCCTGCAGTGGCCGCTGCTCTTCTCCAGACTCTTTGAAGTCACCACTGTTTCTGGTAATAGTCAAGGGTGGGGTGAGGGGTGCAGGTGGGGACCCCCACCCAGGGTCGGTCCAGGCTTCACACCCTGTCTTCTCTGACCAGGCCCCCGGCTGCCCAAAGCCCAGTTGATCTTGGCTGTGAACTGGAAGGGGCTGGATTTCCTGGACCAGAAGGAGAGGACCCTCCTGGAACTCTCCTTCCCAGAGGTCATGAGCATGATCACCAACAGGTGGGTGCCCCAGGGAAGAAGCCAAAATGGCTCTTTCCTCAAAGCTCTGTCCTTGGGGCTCGAGGAGAGACAGAGAGGGAGGAGCATTGTCCCCGGAGCCCCGCCGGGGAGGGATGAGGACTGACCTGCATAGTGTGGTGGCCACGGGCCATGGGCACCGCTTTCTTCTGCCAGGCCGTCCCTCGCTGTGCGCTGCGCCATGAATCCCGCACGGCCCTCTCGGCCTCCCTGACCCAGTCCCCCCGAAAGGGGTGCAACCGTGCGGCCTGGAGGGGTGCCTTCCTTCCAGGCTCCTTTCCCTCCCACGGGCCATGCAGCGGTGCAGGCCATCTGGGAGCGCAATGATTGACAGATCGGGTGTGAGGTCACAGAGCAGCGCTGGGGTGTCCTTGCAGGCCAGCTGGGCCTCGGCCACCCTTCCCCACAGCTCTCCACGGCTCTCATCTTCTGAGAACGCGTCCAGGCCCTGGGGAAGGCCGGCCTGTGCCCTGCAGGGCCCTCCCTTAAAGCCCAGGATGGCATGACCACGGCGACTGTGACTTCCTGAGGCTGACCGTGCTGGCCACACGCCCGTGCGCCGTGAAGTCCACCACCCCTGAGGCCCACACACAAGCCGAGGCACGAGGGCTGGCGGCGTGCCCACGCTCACCTGGCTCAGCTCCGGCTCCGCTCGTCAGTGTCCCTGTGGGGGCCCTGCACACTGGCTGCCTCATCGCCTGCCCAGGGCTGACCCTACCACTGGGGGTTGGCACCGCTCACTGCCTCTGAGGCCCAAGGGGCCCTGAGCTCTGACTATCAGTTGCCACCACACAGCCTGGCCCTGCCTGTGGCCTGTCCCCTCATCTGTAGCTCAGGAAGGTCCCTTCTGAGGCTGCTGAGGGCCTGGAATGGGAGGGCAGAGGAGGCTCTGCTCATGTGGCATCCTTGGTCCCCAGGCAGGCCCAGGGTGGGCAGAGGCTGCTGCTGTCCACGCTGCATGAAGAGGAGTACGAGTTCGTGTCCCCCAGCAGCGTGGCCATTGCCGAGCTGGTGGCCATGTTTCTGGAGGGCTTGAAAGAGAGGTCCGTGTTCGCCATGGCCCTGCAGGACCAGAAAGCCACAGGTGCCTGGCCGGGGGGCGTGGATGGTGGGAGGACAACCTGCAGGTGGCTGGGTCATGTCCCCGCAGCCACGTGGCGCAGGCTCAGGGGCCCGGGCGGAGGGGCGGAGAGAAGCCCTACGGGCAGCTCTGGGCAGGGCCCTCCCTTCCACAAAGCGAGTCCAGGAGATCTGCAGCCCCAGCCCCAGCTGAGGACCCACGGGAAGCATGGGGAGGTCAGGGTTCCTGCAGATGGACGTGGAGGGCAGAGCCAGCAGCCCGGAAACCTTGTCCCTACCACCCAGTCCGCCCCACCACCCCCTCGTGAAAGAGGGCTGTCACCTCACTTTACAGATGAGGGTCACATGGCACCCAGGCGGGCATGGTGACAGCCACCTCTAGCCTCGCAGGCCACGGTGGCTCCTACCAGGCCTCTGAGTGGGTGTCCCAAGGTAGGGCCGTGGCCAGAGCTCCCAGCCCTTGCCCGCAGGGCTCTCAAGAGCCCAAGCCCTGGGACCCCGGCCGCCGCTCCCGTCAGAGCGGACTGGGCCTCGGCTGTCTCAGCTCCCTCATCGCTCTGCAAAGACAGCCCATAAATGCCAGCAGACCTCGATCTCTGTGGAGCCCTTGGTGAGCGGTGGCTTCTCTGCCCGTGTGTGACCTGGCATTGCAGAGGATGTCAACCTCCTGGCCTGTAAGAAGGGGGACCTGCTGATCCTGACAAAGAAGCAGGAGCCGCTGGCCTCCGAGAACTGGACCCTGGGCCAGAATGCCCGGACAGGCCGGACGGGGCTGGTGCTCACCACCTGCCTCTACGTCATCCCCACAGTCACCAAGCCCTCGGCACAGCTGCTGGTATGCTGTTTCCGACCTGGGCACCCATGGGCACAGGGGGAAGTGGCCAGGATGCCAGGCCTGGGGTCCCAGCTCAGGGGCCTGCATCCCACCTCACAGAGGGCCATGAGCCCACCTGGACATCAGGTCAGTTCTGCCAGCCCACCGTCCCTCCGGGGCAACTGTGAAGCTGGCAGCCACTGTGCCATGCCCAGCACAGCGCTTGGGAGGCTCAGTAAGTGGGCATCCCTTCCATCTCCCACCGGAGTGTGTCCTAGGAACAGACCACCCCTTCCCCAGCCTCAGCCTCACTGAAACCCTGCCTCAAGGGGCCCAAGTCTCCGCACCCTTGAGAACCACCCCGTCCCCGTCCCTGAGAGCAGCCCCTGGGAGGTAGGACAGACAGACATTCCAACATGCATGCACTGAGTGCCAACGAGCTGCCTCACGCCTGCAACACGAGACAGCACAACAGGGTCTCCTTCCAGGGGCATTCAGGCCAGTGACTGATCAGTGGCCACGAGGTGCCCCACGGAGCAGGGCAGGCTCAGCCTGTCTGGAGGGCACCCCGGGGGGAGGGCCAGGCAGCAGGCCAGGGCAGAGATGCCTTAACCAGTGTTTCCGGGGCAGCAGGGCCCAGTGGGTGTGAGAAGCCCTCCGGAGAGAAACCAAGCAGGCTCAGGGAGGTTGTCCCTGGTCCAGGCCACACAGCAGGTGACCCAGGAGGAGGACACCCAGGCCTGTTCAGCTGTGGTCCTACCCCTCCCAAGTCACTAAAACCACTAGATCAGGAGGAGGAAGGGCCTTGTGGGCAGCGGCTCCAGGCACCCACGGCTCTGTGCCCCACAGAGCTTGCTCGCGATGTCGCCAGAGAAGCGGAAGCTGGCCACCCAGGCAGAAGCTGGCCACCCTGCAGAAGCCCTGTCTGAGGAGCAGGCCCAGGAGAAGCAGCACACCCTGGAGGAATTCTCCTACGAGTTCTTCAGGTGCCCCCCCACCCCACCCCATGCCCAGCCCCCGGCAGCCCTCTGTGCTAACTGAGGACTGGGGGGAGGCCGCCGAGGCAGGGGTGCTGTCCACGGTGTCTCCCCAGGCAAGAAGGCAGCCCTCTGAGCCTCCCCCAACCACTATGGAGGTTGGAGGGAGTGACCTGTGTCTGAGCTGAGTGCAGTGGGCAAGATGGCCCCCCACAGGGACCACCCAGAGCCCCTCGCCCTCCCACTGTGCACAAGGGGCAGAGGGGGAGGGGACCAGGAACTCAGGGCACCTCACACCAGCCTCTTCCTGACAGGGCCCCGGAGAAGGAGACAGTCAGCAGAGCCATGTTCCACCTGGCCCGGTCCCGAGGCCACCTGTGGGCTCACTCCTCCGAGCCTCTGCGGCAGCCTCTGCTCAAGCGCGTCCACGCCAACACGGAGCTGCGGGACGCGGCCTGCCAGATCTTCATCGATATCCTTCCCCAGGGCGCCCACCCGCCGGGTCTCCCCATCCTTCCCCAGGGCGCCCGCCCACCCGGTCTCCATTCTTCCCCACAGTGCGCTCACCCCAGGCCAGGTCTCCATCCTTCCCCACAGTGTGCCCACCCCAGGCCAGGTCTCCATCCTTCCCCAGAGTGTGCTCACCCCAGGCCAGGTCTCCATCCTTCCCCACAGTGCGCCCACCCCAGGCCAGGTCTCCCCATCCTTCCCCACAGTGCGCCCACCCCAGGCCAGGTCTCCCCATCCTTCCCCACAGTGTGCTCACCCCAGGCCAGGTCTCCCCATCCTTCCCCACAGTGCGCCCACCCCAGGCCAGGTCTCCCCATCCTTCCCCACAGTGCGCCCACCCCAGGCCAGGTCTCCCCATCCTTCCCCCCAGTGCGCCCACCCCAGGCCAGGTCTCCCCATCCTTCCCCACAGTGCGCCCACCCCAGGCCAGGTCTCCCCATCCTTCCCCACAGTGCGCCCACCCCAGGCCAGGTCTCCATCCTTCCCCACAGTGCGCCCACCCCAGGCCAGGTCTCCCCATCCTTCCCCACAGTGCGCCCACCCCAGGCCAGGTCTCCCCATCCTTCCCCACAGTGCGCCCACCCCAGGCCAGGTCTCCCCATCCTTCCCCACAGTGCGCCCACCCCAGGCCAGGTCTCCCCATCCTTCCCCACAGTGCGCCCACCCCAGGCCAGGTCTCCCCATCCTTCCCCACAGTGCGCCCACCCCAGGCCAGGTCTCCCCATCCTTCCCCACAGTGCGCCCACCCCAGGCCAGGTCTCCCATCCTTCCCCACAGTGCGCCCACCCCAGGCCAGGTCTCCCCATCCTTCCCCACAGTGTGCCCACCCCAGGCCAGGTCTCCCCATCCTTCCCCACAGTGCGCCCACCCCAGGCCAGGTCTCCCCATCCTTCCCCACAGTGCGCCCACCCCAGGCCAGGTCTCCCCATCCTTCCCCACAGTGCGCCCACCCCAGGCCAGGTCTCCATCCTTCCCCACAGTGCGCCCACCCCAGGCCAGGTCTCCATCCTTCCCCACAATGCGCCCACCCCAGGCCAGGTCTCCATCCTTCCCCACAATGCGCCCACCCCAGGCCAGGTCTCCCCATCCTTCCCCACACTGCGCCCACCCCAGGCCAGGTCTCCCCATCCTTCCCCAGGGCGCCCACCCCAGGCCGGGTGTCAGGAGCTCTGGGGACTGCTGGGGGTCGGTGGTGGGTGCAGGTCGGGGGTGTAGCTTGTTCTCCCTGACAGCCATACCCATCCTCAAGTTCATGGGCGACTACCCGTCCCGGCAGTCCTGGAGCCCCGTGGAGCTCACCGACCAGATCTTCTCATGGGCCCTGCAGGACGCGGCCCTGCGGGACGAGGTCTACTGTCAGCTCCTGAAGCAGCTGACGCACAACCCCGTGAGGTCTGCTGGCCACGGCGGGGAGCAGGGCACTGCCAGGCCCGCTGTGCTCAGCCCGCTCCCAGAGGCTGTGCCCACGGGTCAGATGGGGAGGTGCAGTGCGTGGAGGCTGCAGAGCCGCCAGGGCACAGTAGCCAGGGAAGGGCTGGACCCTGCTGTCCTGCTGACTCCCTGGGTGCTCAGAGCCAGGAGGGCCATGGTCCTGCCTGGGGCCCTGCCTGCTGCCATCCTTGCTTCTCAAACCTCAGCTGTCTCCTCCACAAAAGGGGCACAACAGCACCCCCCAGCTCCTGGATCTGAGAGCCTTCTTGGCACTGGGCAGCGGAGCGATGGGCTCCTTAGCGGAGGGGTCTCGGGTCCCATCGTCCCAAGGCGCCTGGCAGCCTGGTCTCTGGGAGGGGCTTCTCCTGGCTGATGGGCACTGTACCCGCAGGCTCAGCGAAGAGCGGGGCTGGCAGCTGCTTTGGCTCTGTGCTGGCCTCTTCCCCCCTGGCAAGGCACTGCTGCCCCACGTCCAGAAGTTCATAGACACAAGGAGGACCCAGCTCCTGGCCCCCGACAGCAGCCGCCGCCTCCAGAGGGTCCTGAGGTGAGCCTGCCGCCCTGAGCACCCCCCTGGAGTGTCCGCTGGGGTGCTGAGGGGTGCAGTGGCCTTCCCGGAGCTGATGGCCAGAGGAGCCAGACTGCCCCTGCTCTGCAGAAGGAGGTGTTAGTGTGGGGAGGTGGAACCGGGCCCCAGCCTCTGGGGAGGAAGGTGGAGCGTGAGGCTCGGGAGGGTCTCAGAAGGGTTTGGTGGTCAGAGGTGGCTTCAGGCCTCAGTCATAGCAATGAGCTCCCCACCCCGACAGCTGCCTGTCCAGGGCACAGAGGGGACTGCCTGGAGGCCACGGGGTGACCTGGATACCCCAAGCTCCCCCTCTTCCAGCCTAGGTCAGAGGCCCAACCCCCACCAGGCCCTCTTACAGCCTGCGGGCAGTCTTTCCTTGGCTCTGTGTGGGATCCGAGGCACTGCCTGTCCCTTGGGTGTGTACGTCTGTGGTTATAGGGGGGCATGTGAGTAGCTGTACAGTGAGGTCATGGTCATGGGGGGAGCGGTGCCCTGAGAGGCCCTGCTGGGGGCCCTGGCCCCTCCTGCCCCATGTCCCTGCGTAAGAGGACAGAAAAGCACCCCACCCTGCTGCTGGAGGCCCTGTCCAGCCAAGTCCCCTTCCCCTCCTCAGAGCCTGGGCCCCCAGGGAGCTAAGTCTGGGCTGGCCTCTGCCCCTTCTCGAGCCCCAGGCCGGCACAGCCCCAGGAACCCGTCAGCAGCGCCGCTGGGGTTCTTTGGTTCTGTGTCTGGCACGGCTGTGGAATCAGCGGGGGGCGGCGGCCTCAGCGAGCCTGTCGTCCCCAGGGCGGGCCCCCGCAAGCAGCCCCCGCACCCGGTGGAGGTGGAGGCCGCGGAGCAGGCCGTCTCCCGGCTCTGCCACAAAGTCTTCCTGCCCAACGGCACCAGCGAGGTGAGCCCGGCCGCTCCTGACCTCAGCGGCCTCGGTTCCCCAAGGGGTGGCGACCTCCAAGAAACTGCCCGACCCGGCAGGGCGCCCTACAGCACGAGCTGCACGCGCCTGCAGGTGCTCTGGGCCGGCACAGGGGGGCCGCCGGGAGGCTGCCCTGTGGAGCCGGCGGCCCAGGGGCCGGGGTGAGGCAGAGGACACAGGAGACCCGCACAGGGGCAGGTGGTGCCACTGGGTGCGCCTGCGGAAAGCACCAGTCCCGCTGCGAGGACAGGCCCTCGACCCGGCCCGCAGCGCAGGCGCAGAGGCGGGCGCGTCCGCCGGGCTGCAGGCTCCCGCAGAGAGGTCGGGCTGGGCATGGGAGTCCCCCGAGACCGTGGATTGTGACCTAACATGACATCTGGCAGTGTCCCTTCTCAGCCGTCTTGGGGCACAGCAGGGCCGGGGTCTGAGGGGCCGTCCGGGCGGAGCCTCGTCCTCAGGTGTGCCCATGCCCCTCGCTGCCCAGATGCTGGAGGTGGGCGCCCACACCCGGGTGCGGGACGTGTGCGAAGGCATCGCGGCCCGGCTGCAGCTGGTGTCCTGGGAAGGCTGCAGCCTCTTCATCAAGATTGCGGACAAGGTACTGCTGGCAGGCGGGCCGGAGCTGGGGGAGGCAGGGCCTGTGGCAGTGCCCGCCTGTGCTGCCCTGAGGGGCTGTAACGCCTGCCAGAGCCGGGGTGGGGGTCAGCGTGTGGCAGTGCCCGCCTGTGCTGCCCTGAGGGGCTGTAACACCTGCCAGAGCCGGGGTGGGGGTCAGCGTGTGGCAGTGCCCGCCTGTGCTGAGGGGCTGTAACACCTGCCAGAGCCGGGGTGGGGGTCAGCGTGTGGCAGTGCCCGCCTGTGCTGAGGGGCTGTAAGGACAAAGGTGAGTGAGCTCCTAGAGCCCACAGGCCCCAGGGAGCAAGGCACAGCATGGAGTCTAGTGTCCCCATCCCTGGTGCCCCCCAGCAGGGCACCCCCAGGAGGCCCCTTCACCTGTGCACCTCCTTTGCCTCTGTCCATACCCACCCCAGGTCATCAGCCAGAAGGAGGCAGACTTCTTCTTCGACTCCTTGCGGCACGTGTCAGACTGGGTGAAGAAAAGCAAGCCTCAGAAAGAAGGTGGGGTGTCGGCGGGGTGTCCGCAGCGCAGGGTGGGGATCCCTCTGGGATGGAGGGGCAGGGGCAGGGACTGTCTGCCTCCTCGGACCAGGGTCCAAGGCTCCCCAGCATCTCCTGCAGACCCATGCCCCTTCATTCATTCCCCCATGCCCCCCTCGGAGTATAGCAGCCGGGGACCAGGCAGTGGGGGTCCTGCCCAGGAGCTCTCCCCACGTGGGCAGCCGCAGCCTCTGAGAGATGAAGGACGCGTGGGGCCATGGGGCTGCGCAGGGCCCGACCCCCAGGGAGGCAGGACACTCCTGAGAGGGCTTCTGCACGGTCTTGGAGAGCGAAGAGGAGCTGGGGCCGGAAGGGGCGGGTGGGGCCTGCCTGGAGGAGGTGCCGACAGGCAGTGCTGTGAGGGTCCAGGAGAGGGCGCTGCGGGCAGTGCCGGGAGGTTGGCAGCAGGACTGGGGCCTCGAGAGGGGATGGGACACGGGGACGCGGCCACAGAGCCTGACACGTGGCAGTGGTCCTGGTGAGAGCCAGGCCTTGCCAGGCTGAGGCTCACTGCTGCCCCGCCCAGGGGCCCCTGTGACTCTCCCCTACCAGGTCTACTTCATGCGCAAGCTGTGGCTCAATGTGGCCCCAGGGAAGGACCTGAGGGCGGACACCATACTCCATTACCACCAGGTACCCGCAGGCACCCTCCCTCCGCCCCCCCTGCTCTGAGAGGAGGGGGAGGCGGGGCCCACGAAGGCTCCCTTGTCAGGGCTCCTGACCCCCACGGGAGGGCCAGGAGCATCCAGAGGCTCACCAGGGGCTTCTGGAGCTCTCAAGGCCCCTGGTGACCAGACCTGTCCCCTGAGGGCTAGAGCCAGGGGCAGAGGGATGGGGGGGCACAGCCGGAGGAGCACTAGCCCTTGTCCCGAGGGAGGGAGTGGGTGGGCCGCTGCATTCACAGCAAGATATTGGGGGTCTCTGCCAGCTCTCTCCTCCGCCCCTGCAAGAAACCCTACCCTAGGACCGACCCCAAGGCTGTCCCCCCAGGTGGGCTAACACCTGCCACAGGAGGTGGGGCAGCCGCTAAGGCCACTGTGTCCATCCCCCAGGAGCTGCCCAAGTACCTGCGTGGGTTCCACAAGTGTCTGCAGGAGGACGCTGTCCAGCTGGCCGGCCTCATCTACAAGGCCCAGTATGACAATGACCAGTCCCAGCTAGCCAACATCCCCAAGATCCTGAGGGAGTTGGTGCCCGAGAATCTCATGCGCCTCATGTCCTCGGAGGAATGGAAAAAGGTCCCTCATGGGGGCTGGGAGGACCCCTCAGGCTGTTGGCCTGGGGGTTGGCACATTCCTGGGAGGGATGAGGGGCTGGGTCTGAGCGTATGGTGCCTCCTCCACGCTGCCCATACCCCTCAGAGACCCTTCTCCCCAGGGGGACGGACCCACGGGGCTCTCAGTGCCCCCAGTCAAGCCCCAGGCTCACGGTGCTGGTCTGGGCTAAGGCTCTGGCCCGTCCGGACAGGCAGTGGCCACTTGCCCTCACTGGCCCTCGTCCCCACAGGGCATCCTGCTGGCCTACCAGCAGCACCGTGACAAGACGGTGCAGGAGGCCAAAGTGGCCTTCCTGAAGTGGGTCAGCCGCTGGCCCACATTCGGGTCTGCCTTCTTCGAGGTGAAGGTAGGCCTCCCCCATGCCCACCTGTGCATACCCAGGGAGACCCCAGCTTGGGCCCCAGCCGCCTGAGCTCCCACCCCACACACACATCTCGGGGCAAGGGCGGTGGCCGGGTTTGAGAGGGGCATGTGAGCGCGTGAATGCCAGCATGCGCCTCAAGGGGGTGGTCCTCTAGCTGCCAGGCTGGGTTGTGACCTCCATGCTCCTCCCCAGCAAACCTCGGAGCCCTCCTACCCAGACATCATCCTCATCGCCATCAACCGGCACGGGGTTCTGCTCATTCACCCCAAGACCAAGGTAGCAGCAGGGCCCTGTGGGACGGGGGAGGCTGCCAGTGTTCCAAGACAACCCCCACACACATATACATGCATGCACACACATGCACATGCATACACAATACACACACGTGGGCACATGCATGCACACACACATACATGCACGCGCGCACACACACACAGAGGGGGCTGTGGTCACCTGCCCTTCTGCTTCCCCCCATGGCCCCAGGGACTCTGGAGGACCCCAGGGCAGCAGCTCTGGCTCAGACCCTGGGCCCAGGCTCCACCTGTCCCCTGCCCACTGCCCACTCTGCCCACAGGAGCTGCTCATCACGTACCCGCTCACCAAGATCTCCAGCTGGAGCAGCGGCAGCACGTACTTCCACATGACACTGGGGAGCCTTGTCCGGGGCAGCCGCTTGCTGTGCGAGACCTCTCTGGTGAGCCCCGGCCAGGGCCCCTGGGACCACGGTCCCTTCCCCCAGCTCACACAGGACCCAGAGGCACTGGGGCAGGTTCCTGCCCTGGGCACCTCCCTCAGCAGGAGCTCTGTTCCAGTCTCACCTCCTGACCAGTACCCCTGAGGCAAGAGCTGGCTCGGCCAGGCCCTGGTCAAGCCCACACCTGACCCACCGCCTCCAACCCCCCTCCTCTGTCCAGGGCTACAAGATGGATGACCTGCTGGCCTCGTATGTGCAGCATCTCGTGGGCACGGTGGACAAGCAGCAGGGTGCCCGGGCCCAAACCCTGGCCAACCCCTAGCAGCGGGGATCACGCGCCCTCCCTCCCGATCCGATGCGGTGGGCCCGGCTGCCTTCCTGCAGGAGGCCTTTCATGCTGCATCTCCCCAAGCACACTCCACACCCCTCACACTCCAGGCAGGGCCCCTACCTGGGGTGCGGACCGTGGGGCCGAAGGAGAGCCCAAGGTGGGGCAGGGTGCCAGGCCTCTAGGCCAGGGGTGCCTAGCTGAGATGACTCCCCCAGAATGCACAATAAACCCCTGGAGCAGTGGGGCATGTGTGAGTGAGCACAGGGGAAGGCCCAGTGGGCAGGTCTGGGGGGCACTGGCCGACCAAGGGTCTCTTCCAGCAAAAGCAAAAAGCACTGATTTCCCCAACCACACCTGGACGCCAGCTCCATTCTCTGACAGACGTCACGCGTTTCTCCTCCCCCCCCTCCCCCTCAGACCAGGGAGAAGCCCCCTCTGCACACCTCCCCCTTCCCCTGCAGGGCAGCCAGTGGGACCCCTGACTGCAGCCAAGTAGAGGCAGGGGCTGCTGAGACCACCCTGGGCCAGGCAGGCGGAGGCCTGGCCCCACCCACTCACCCACCCCGCTCCGCCCGCCAGGCCCTCCTTCAGGGTCAGAGGGTTTCCCACCTTGTCTTCATTCAAGGCCTGTGGGAGCCTGGGCCCACTGGTCTGGTTCTGTCCCCGGCGCAGTGTCCAAGGGGCTGCTGCCCCATTCCTGGCCCCACCGCCACGAACCACGCAAGCCACATGATTGTGTAAATAAGCTTTTATCCACGTACAAGTGAGTCACACCAAGTCCTGTGTTGACCACAGAGGAAGTGCCCTCCCCAGGGGTAAGAATCCCCACCACCTTCTGCCCTCAGTTGTGCCCAGAAGTTTAATGTGTGCCCTGGGGGGGGGGGGCTGGAAGGGCTGCAGTGACCACACTGTCCCCAGCCTGGGACAGTGTGACCAGGTTCCAGGAAGGAAGCCTCCTGGGGCGCTGGGAGGGGGTCCTTGTTCCTCCTGCTGGTTCGGGATGAGGAGGCAGGACTCTCCAGCCGTCAGGCACAGGGACCCTCGATGCTTGTGTGAGAGTGTGGCTGAGGGACTGAAGGGCCCCTTCCATGTGGCCCTGGGGCCGCGTGTGTGCACATTGGGGCCTCTGGGGCAGAGCTGGCCAAGCCCCCTCGGAAGAGTGGGAGCCAGCACTCCTGCGGGGATGGGACCGGCAGGGTGGGGAGCAGTGGCCCAGATCCGGGCCAGGGGCCTCCATCCTGATCTGCTTCTGCCCCTGGGAGACTTCAGGCTAGAGCTTGTGGGCTCACGCCCCGAAGGGCCCGGCTGCCCTGTGCCGCAGAGGAGGGCGAGGAGCCCCAGCAGGGGACAGAGCAGGGGGAGAGGCAAGAGAAGGGACCGGGACGGGAGGCAGTGCCCCAGAGGGCAGGAGGAGGGCGGTGGGAGGAGGCGCAGAGGGGCTGCAGAAACAGAGCCAGCAGATGGAGGGGAAGCGAGGACACTCAGGTGAGGCGCAGGCCCCCAGACCTGGGGCCCTGGGAGCGAGCCGAGCCCGCCAGCGCCCTCAGCCGCCTCTTCAGCTCCAGCGGGAAGTTGTGGTAGCACCGCTTGCACACGGGCTTCATGTCAAACTCCACGAACTTGCTCCTGGGAGGAAGGGCCATCAGGGAGCCCGCACCCCCAGCTCAGAGCCAGGTCGCCCAGCCCACACCCTCCCAGCTGGCCAGGCCCCGGGCTTCCTGGATGCGCCCCTGATCTGGCTCCTGTGCCTCTGAACTGGCTGTTCCCTGGCCTTCCTCCCAGAGCCCGGTGCCGCTGCTCCTCTGGCCCTGCCCGGGAACTGAGGCCTGCAGTCCGGGCTGGGCCCTCGGCTCCCCCACTGCACCCCTGGGCCTGACAACAGCAGGGGTCTGGGAAGGCCTGAGGAAAGGCAGGGCCCACAGAGAGCCCACACTCCCGAGGGGGATGCTGTGTGTGTGGGGGGCCCTCTCTGCCCCCGCCCCAGGAGGGAGATGTAGGGGAGGCAGGGCCCCTCTCTGCCCCGCCCCAGGAGGGAGACCTTGAGGAAGGCAGGGCCCCTCTCTGCCCCGCCCCAGGAGGGAGATGTGGGGGAGGCAGGGCCCCTCTCTGCCCCGCCCCAGGAGGGAGATGTGGGGGAGGCGGGGCCCCTCTCTGCCCCGCCCCAGGAGGGAGACCTTGAGGAAGGCAGGGCCCCTCTCTGCCCCGCCCCAGGAGGGAGATGTGGGGGAGGCAGGGCCCCTCTCTGCCCCGCCCCAGGAGGGAGATGTGGGGGAGGCGGGGGTGGGGGGGCCCTCTCTGCCCCGCCCCAGGAGGGAGACGTGGGGAGGCAGGGCCCCGGAGCACTCACTTCAGGGCCAGCTTGCCGTTGCAGGCAGAGCAGCAGAAGCAGTGCACACACCAGGCCTTGTTGAGGGCTGACACTACTGAGAGGGACAGATGGCTGGGCTTAGAGTCTCAGGCCACCTGCAGGCCCCTAAGCAACGTGAGGGCCAGCTGGGCCCGCAGCTGCAGGACCCACGGGGGGGGGGGGGGGGGGGGGCAGACAGAAGCCTCACCATCACCCTCGATCACGTGGCTGCAGCTGTAGCAGACGTCCCCAAAGAGCTGTGGAGGGGCAGACGTCAAACACAGGCACTGGTGCCCGGACCAGGGCCCCGGGGCGGGCTGAGGCTCGGCCCCTGCTACCCCCAAAGCCCTCCGCATCCACCTGGGCCTCCTGGCCCCTCTGCCAGGATACAGCCTCAGGTCTGGATGAGGGCACCCCTGGCCCATCAGAATCACCCCCTAGGAAGGACAATAGATTGAGGCACTGTTCCCCAAAATGCCCCTTCGCTCCGCCTGGTGTCCTGAGGGGTGTGGCCAGGGTGGAACCCGGTCTCTGCCAGAGCAGCTGGTGCCTTGCCAGGCCTGAGGGGAGGAGGTGATGGCACACGTCTGCCCACAAACCCACGACGTCACACAGTCATGTGACCCTGGGCCTAGGGGCACGTTTCTCAAATGAGGACACGGAGGCAGAGAGGGCAGCCCAGGTCTCAAGACCCTGCCCAGGAGCCGGGGCACCGCTGCCCACACCCTCTCCCGCTCTGACCTCCGGCTGCTCACACCTGGCACGCCGCCCATGGCCTCCCCAAGGCCCTCAGCCTCCCTCCAGGTCCGCACCCTCCGCCCGGCAGCCTGCCTCTGCCCAGGCCTCACCTGGCTGTAGTGGGTCTCACAGTAGGCCAGACCTTTCTTCTCATAGTGCCGGTGCCCCAGGAACGGCTTCTCACACTTGGCACAGACGAAGTGCTGGGAGGGGAGGGGCGGAGGCAGAGCAGCTCAGGGCTGGAGCAGGGGCCCCGGCAGACAGTCGGGAAGCACAAGCCAGGGGGGCAGAGGGCGGGCTGGCTTCACAGGTGGGCAATGGGCCGATACCCCAGGGACTGGCCCAGGTCAGCACACACCCCCTCTCCCTGACACCATCCTCTCTGGCCTTGCTCCACCCCTAGCAACCACCACCCAAGTTGTGAGGTGCTGCTGAGGTGCCTGTGGGGTGCTGGGCCATCCGAGGGGCTCTGTCATTTGCATGGTGCCTTCTTGGAAGGCTGCGCGCGTCTGTCTCTGTGGGCGTACCTGAGAAGCCACTGGGCAGCATCTTCTTTCTAGGTCCTGGCCCCTCCCAGAGGGCTGGGGGCCAGGCCTGCACCAGGACGTCTCAGAGATGCTGCCCAAGGCAGAGCAGCCAGCCTGCTATGTCCTGCAGCATCCGCCCACCCAGGTGGTGCAGGCGGGCACACCTCAGCTCCCCGACCGGCACACCCAGCTCTGGGTCTACATGGGGCAGCAGCCAGCCAGTCTGCCCCCAGCCCCCCAGTCCCCACGGCTCTCTCCTGACTGGAACCCTCTAGAAGGCCGGCCAAGGGAGGGAGGAAGGTGGTCTCCCCGTTCACACAGAGGAGCTGGCGCAGGTCGGAGTGAGGAGAGAAAGCACCTGAGAGGAAGGTGCCACACAGCCCAGGTGGGAGTGGAGAGGCCGAGAGCCAGGGCACCTGGAAAGGTTGGTACCGTCTTAAAGGGTGAAGATAAAAGTTTGCAAAAGGCACAAACTGTAGACACTGTGTTGTTGCATGACCTTGGCTCAGACTTCTGTTGAGTACGGATAAGATTTATCTGGATTGTCCCCACCACGATGGACCACCCAGCAGATGTAAGACGAGATACCAGACCAGTCCGATGGCAAGGGCTCTGGGCCAGGCAGATGCGTCAGCAGGAACTGCCGGAAGCCAGAAGCAGAGTGTAAACCTACACCCCATTCCTATTCGAGGCTGACCCCTTCTCGGCTCAGCCCAGCTGCCCCCGGACACTGGCCTTGCGTTGTGGATGCGATCTCCCGTTGGCTCAGAGCTTTTACAGCCCCCCCCCCCCCCCCCCCCCGCCTCGCTCACCTCCACGTGCCACTGCTTGCCCAGGGCGTTGACGACGCGGCCCTCGATGGGCCGGCGGCAGGCCCCGCAGATAGGGACGCCCACCTTGTCGTGGCAGGGCAGGCAGCACAGCTCCCCCTTCAGCTCCCGGGCCTCTGCTGTCAGCTCCTTTCTGGAAGACAGGGGGCCCCCGGTGACATCCTGCCCTTCTGCAGGGCCCACACTGGCAGGTCACAGCCGCCCCTCTGGCCCCAGCGGGCACCTTCCGGAGAGCCGCACTCTGTCCACAGAGCGCCGTGGCCGGCGGCTGTGACCTCGGTGTCTCTGAGGGCCCTGGGCAAGGACCCCGCCCAGCACTGGCAGCCTGTGATGGTCAAACCCCCCGAGAAGCCTATCTGTTCTCCAGGTCCCTCCACACCAGACTCGGGGCTGGGACAGGCATGAGGAAGGGTTCTGGGGCCTCTTTCCTCTGTCTTCCACTCGCCAACACCAGCAGCAACCCTCCTCCTCACCCCTGCCCCCCATGCCTTTGATTCCTTCCTGCCAGCTCCGTCCAGGGGCCCAGCCCTCCCTTCCCCGAGTCTCAAACCCGGATCCTGCAGGCCCTGTAGACAGAGCCCTGGGGATGGGGTTTCGTGCCATGGTTTGTCCCAGGCCCCTCCCTCTCCTCCCGGCACCCTACTGTCCTGCCCCATCCCTGTCAGGGTGGGGCCCCCCTGCTCTGCACCAGCCCGGCCACACGCACCTGCAGAAGGTGCAGCTGAAGTGGTCCGGGTGGTACGCGTCACTCCTGAACATGAGGGGCTTCTCCTCGATGACCTGGTGGCACCGCTGGCAGAGGTACTTGCCCAGGCTCTTGGCTTTCTCACGGTTGTGGCATGGCCGGCACAGGTGTCTGTGGGAAGCAGGCAGGCATTAGGCACAGTGCCCACTCCCTTTCCTCTCAGCCAGCCACCCCCAAGGGGAGCCCTGTGGGCCTCAAGCGTCCTACAGAGCAAGCTGGCCGGTCCTGCAGCCGGGAAGGCCACAGACCGGACCCCCAGGAGCAGCCCGTGCACCGAGCCCAGGAGGAGATGCAGGACACGGTGTGGGATACGAGGAGATGCAGGACACGGTGTGTGCTGATTCAGGACGGTGCGGCCAACATGAACTTTCCACGTTTTCCGAGCCCAGGACGTGGTGTGGAATAGAGTAGACACCTCACCGACTTTTGCTTAAAAAAACTAGTTTTATTTTTCCAACGTCTTTTAACATGCATGTGTGATCCTATAATAACTGTGAGCCGTACACACTGCCGTGCCCAGCAGAGGAGCCCAGGAGGGCCAGGTCTGTGGACCCACACAGCCCTTCTTCTGGGGCCGGTCAGACAAAGGGCCCACACAGCTCCAGGACAAGCACGCTGTGTCTGAGGGATGCATCCCAACCCAAGAAACGTCACCAGAGTCCTTCTGTGAGGACCTCGGAGCAGTTTCTGATGCTGCCCCATTTCCCTGGGCTGCGGGGGGCAGGGACCTCGATTCCGGGTTCCCAGGCAAAGCTGCACAGGGGCCCAGTGCCTCCCTCCCACCCCCTGCCTCGGTGCAGGGCCGCCGCCCTTTTCAGGCCCCCAGTGCACAGGAGCCTCTCCACCCCTGGGCGACCCCAGGGAGGGGGCCTTCAAAGGCAGTCTGGGGAATCGACTGGAGATTCCTCTCCAGCCAAGTGCGGTGGGAAGAGCCTGGACGGAAGGCAGCCATCGAGGGTCCACCATCACAGGGCTGCACCTCGGGTGGCCCGGCCCCGGCTGCAGGGCACGGCCCTTCTGGCTCCATCCCGTCTCGTCCCCCGAGGGTGTGAACGGCGCGCATGAACGCCGTGTGTGCCCAGCAACCACCGGCCAGCAGCTCCTGGCTGCAGGCTTGAGTGAGCAGAGGGAGGAGAGATGCTGGCGCCACCCCCGACAGCCTGGCCCGCCCAAGCCTGGGAGCTGGCCCGGGCCGGGCCTCTGCTGCTCTCACCTGTCCACGGGCCACAAACGTGGCTGCAGCCTTCAGCTCTGTGACCAGAGCTCCGCTCCCCTCAGTCCTGAGATCCTTAACGCCCGTGGGCTTTCCTCACCCCACTTTCACCCAGACCCTGCGCCCAGCCCCCGCCAGGGCCCCTGCCGCAGAGCCCGCTTACCCGGCGCCCATGGGCCTGGCCACACCACACGCACTGCTGCTCATGTCTGTCTCGGACCCAGCGTTTACCAGTGACTCCTTTTAACATCAGGACAACATTCAGCCCATACAGGATATTTCTGTTTCAAAGCCATAGAAATGAGCCCAACTCCCCAAATTCTGCTGCAGTGGTCAGTGACCTCCAAGTCCGGCAGCAGTCACCCCAGGCCCAGAAATGCCCTGCTCAGGGCAGCAGTCACACCCTCATGACATCAACCAGTGGGGGCCAGCTCTCCCCAACGGCCCCTCCCGGTCACAGTGAGATGGGACCCCGACTCCCACACCTGCGCCGCCCCTGGCTCCCAGGCGGGCAGAATGGAGGAGCAGCTCTCCTGAAGGACCCCGACAGGAAATGTTTCTGACAGACCGGATCCCTGCACCAGGTCTGAAGGCAACCAGCAGTGTTTCCCTGGCAGAAGGAAGCCCAAACCTAAGACTCTAGCATCAAAGTGCAGCAGAAACACACACAGCAGATGTTCCAGAGCTGTGCGGGCTCAAGTTCCAGTCCCGGCTCTGCCACTCCCTGTGGGGCAGCTGAGCCGCGGGCCCTGGCCCACAGGGCACCAGCCTGGCACCACTGTGCGGCGCACACGCCAAGAACAGTGCGCACGGCAGTCGCTTCACGGGGACGGCTCCATACACACTTCGTCTGAACTGAGACTGAAAAGCCTTTTGAAATTAAAACCAGTGATTTGGCCCGGCCAGTGTGGCCCAGTGGCTGAGCGCCGTCCCTGCACCAAGAGGTCGCCGGATCAATTCCCGGTGGGGGCACTGCCCAGGTTGTGGGCCCGATCCCCAGTGGGGGGCATGCAGGAGGCGGCCAACTGATGTTCTCTCTCGTCGATGTTTCTAGCTCTCTCCCTCTCCCTTCCTCTCTCTAAAATCAATAAAGAAAAATTTTTTTTAAAAAGCGGTGATTCGGTTCCATCGTCCTGGACACACCACTTCTGAAAAGTGGAGACGCCTTTGCTTCAGCAGCCTCGGAGCAGCCACCACGAACATAGGAACAGCCCGGCCTTAAGCCCCAGCTGAGTCTCGGGGCCAGCGTGCAGCAGTGGCCCCTCCACAGGCCTTCCACCCAGAGGAGGAGCCCCACACTGAGGCTCCCCACAGCACAGACAGCGCCCCATTATAAGGCAGCCTGCAGCTGGGCCGCTCGAGATAAAGGCCGCGGTTCATTCCGCGCTTCCCAGTGGAGCCTGATTATACAGGGCAGGACACAGAGCCCCGCATCAAGTGTCCTGAAAGAATCCCCTCTCAGTCAACTAAACGAGGTTCCTCAGCCTCCCACCCAGCCCATTCACAAGGCCCCTCCGCTGTGCCCAGGCAGGCTTGAGAACTCGAGCCCGTCGCCATGGTGGCCAGCCCCTCCTCATCCCCCGCGGTAGGAAATGCCCCCTTGTGCCTGTCAGGCCCAGCCAGTCCCCCCACGCAGCCCGCAACAACCCACAGCCTCGAAGACGGTCACACACTCGCCTCTGTGATGCTCGTGGCCAAGCCAGGGGTGCGGGGACGCAGGCTGGGACACTGGGATATTCACAGCCTGGTGGCGGCCTAGGAGGGGCCCGGCACACAAGGGGCCCTTCGGAATGAAGCGACCTTTCAGAGCCGGAGGGGCTGCAGCCTCCGCTCCTCTCCTTAAATAGCTGGCCTTCCACCCCAGCTGCAGGAGCTCACCCCACACCTCCGCCTTCCTGCCCTCCACCTGCTGCGGCTGAGAGGTAAGGGCCGGGCAGGTGCGGGCAGGCAGGGTCCAGGGACCCAGCAGGGCAGGGGTGGGTGTGCCTGTCCCTGAGACAGCTCTCCGTGATCACGGTAGGACTTACTTATGGAAGACACCCCAGCTGGAATCAGAACAGCCCCCCAGGACAGTGTCCCTGTTCCACTGGACAGGCTCACAGACTGTGCCCCAGACCCACAGCTGCGTGAGTCAGCACCCAGCCCCACCCCCCCACGCTGCATGCACATGCAGGAGCCACATGAAGGAGCCAGGAGACAGGTGCCTATCTGGTCACACCTGCCCCTGTGGCTGGACTCACCTCACCCATAGCCCTGCCCCCCTGTGGGCACTGCCCGGACTGCACTCCAGGCACCTTTGGCCTCCCTCCCTGGGCAGAGCAAGCTGGCCGGGAGTGCCCAGGGAGGGAGCGGGCCCACTTCAGACCATGCTGCAAAAAATAATGTCAAAACTCCTGAAGTGGGGGAGGGACTGGAAAAAATCAACAAGCAGAAACAAGCCAGAAGCATTTGGCAAGAGTCTATCAGAGAGCGGGCATGCGGCCCTGGGCAGGGGGCAGAAAGCCTGGGCCATGAGGAAGGACACCACCTCGTGAGTGTGCGGTCATGCAGGGCCCCAGGCTCAGGCACGTCCTGAAGTCCTGCTTCTGAACAAGGGCCCTGCGTTCCCTTTGCGCTGGGCACCCCGGTTGCCACTGGTTCGGTGCCAGGCCCCAAGCAGCAGTCCTCGAGCAGGAGGCCGCTGGAGTCCAAGCTCGGAGGGCAGCTCTGGACAAGGGCCTGTCTGCCCACCAGCAGGGCTGCGTCCTGGGACGTGCCGGTGCCGCTGCTGGGTCTGACCTCTGACCTCCAGCTCCAAGGCCATTGCCCCTGGACCTTGGGCAAGTCAGCTGATCCAGAGCTTTGCTGCCCTAATCTGCCAAATGGAGTTCTGGATGCCTGCCTCTGAGGACAGGTGTGCCCGCAGAGCAGGTGGTCAGTCCCTGCGGGCAGCCTGCCTGGAGGGTGGGTGGCCACTGCCCGTGGAGCAGACCCAGGCCCGAGGGGGAGTCTGAGGTGGAGATTCCACCCCTCTGCAGACCCTTCTTCACCCTGGTTCCAACAGGACCGTCACTCACTTGGCCCCGGCTCCCTCCCCTCAGCCAGGGGCCCTTACCTGTCCACACAGGGTGGGGAGCTCAGGGACCCCATGGTGGTCCATGAGGCAGGATGAGAAACACCGGGCTGACAGCCAGCACCCCCACAATCTGGACCCCTCTCCCTGCTCCCTCTACCCCTGGAGGGCAGGCCAGAGCCTCCCCACATGCCTGTTTCTTCATGCATGTCCAAGGGGGGCCCCCAGCTCCCTCCCCCTCAAGGGTTTGCTGGGCTAACAGCCCAGGTTCATGCCCCCTGAGCACAGCCACTCTGCATGCCAGCCCCTGCCAGGGGTATTAGCATAGGCATTAAAAGGAGAGAAAACAGGCCCAGAGAAACCTCCGAGGCCTTGCTCAGGTCCCTGGCTGCTAGCAGAGCCGGCTCCTCCTCTGGCCGCTGGAGTGAACCTGCCTCCTGTGCACAGCCTCCTGTGCACAGCCTCCTTGCACAGCCTCCTTGCACAGCCTCCTGTGCACAGCCTCCTTGCACAGCCTCCTTGCACAGCCTCCTGTGCACAGCCGCCTGTGCACAGCCTCCTTGCACAGCCGCCTGTGCACAGCCTCCTTGCACAGCCTCCTGTGCACAGCCTCCTTGCACAGCCTCCTTGCACAGCCTCCTGGCACAGCCTCCTTGCACAGCCTCCTTGCACAGCCTCCTGTGCACAGCCTCCTTGCACAGTCTCCTTGCACAGCCTCCTGTGCACAGCCTCCTTGCACAGCCTCCTTGCACAGCCTCCTGTGCACAGCCTCCTTGCACAGTCTCCTTGCACAGCCTCCTGTGCACAGCCTCCTTGCACAGCCTCCTTGCACAGCCTCCTGTGCACAGCCTCCTTGCACAGTCTCCTTGCACAGCCTCCTGTGCACAGCCTCCTTGCACAGCCTCCTGTGCACAGCCGCCTGTGCACAGCCTCCTTGCACAGCCTCCTGTGCACAGCCTCCTTGCACAGCCTCCTGTGCACAGCCTCCTTGCACAGCCTCCTGTGCACAGCCCCCTTGCACAGCCTCCTGCCCCACAGTAGTGCAGACTCACAGCCAGGGGACGGGGCCCAGGCAGCCGGGCGCTGCTGCAGGTGCAGGTCCACCAGGCCGCAGCTTGTGAGCAGCCCCCGGGCATGGGCAGCAGGGACAGGCACCGTCCTGCCCTCTCCTGCCTGCACCTCCCCTTCTCAGGCCCGGTCTAAGAGTTAGGGTGCTTGGGATCTACCCTCTTCTTTTGGGATCTCTTGAGTAGACCAAAAGCAAAACAGGTGTATGTGACCCTGTCTGTTGGGGGAGACACTCACCCAGAACTAGGGTTCACCAGAGGTAAAAGGGCTACTCTAAGGCCGGCAGGACTCTGAGCTGGCCTCTCTGGTGTGGGTAAAGCCGGCAGACAGGGGTCCCCCGGCCCTGACCTCTGTGAGGTCGTGGACCTGGAAAACCCTGCCCAGTCTCCTCCTGGCGAGATGGTGTGTCTCTCCTGGGAGAGCAGCCCGAGGGCAAGGCTTTCTCCACCCGTCCGGACGTTCAAACAGTTAGTGGGCCGAGTCCAGAAAACTGGAGAGACGCTGGGACCGGCGCCTTGTGGCCTGCAGGTGCCAGTGCACAGCAGGCCGTGGACCTCCCGGGACATGGCCCATCGCTGCATTTCTGGTGGGGCCCTGCCCTGTGGCAGGAGCTGGGGGACTGCGGCCAGGGGCTGGCAGGAGAGGCAGAAGCAGCGGCAGCACTGTGGGCAGCACCTCGAGGCCTCAGCAGGCAGGCGGGTCGGGAGGGTGCTGGGGCGGGTGAGTGGATTCACCGGGCACAGCCAAAGCCGCAGAGGAGGGGCAGGGCTCCCCACGCAAGGCCCTTAGGACCAGGTGACCCACCTCCCTGCCCATCAGGAATGGGGCTCAGGGGCCCCATGTGCCACCCCTGCCACTCAGCACACCTGAGGACCAAGACAGAAAACGGGACCCCTCCCTCCATCCTCCACCCCAGAGCCTCAGACAGACAGGGCTCACTCCCCACTCTCCCGTGGTGCTGGCTCTGTGCCCTGGGTCTGAGACAATGATGTCTGAGAGCCCTGGCCACAGGCCTTCACAAACTTAGCAGGGCACGAGGAAGTCCACCCCGCGACAGCCTGGGAGGCTCCGGCCTGCTTCTGCCTGTGCTGTCTGATGAGGTGCAGAAAGCCTGTGACCCAGATGGACATGGGAGGTGCCCCACTGTCCCCCAAACAACGCCACGCACATAAGAGTGGGCTCCTGGGGTTAGAAACTGGCAGGTTCTGGAGGCCTCAGAGGTGCTCTACTGGGCCCTGCCCCTGTCCCCTCCAGGCTCTCCGGGCTCCGCCGCCAGCAGAAGCATGAAGGGCCTCGGGGCAGCCTCCCCGGATGTGGCCACCAACTCTTCCCTGGCGGCTGCAGATGAGTGTGGCCAGGAGTCGTGGCTGGAGAACGTCCTCTTCGCCTCCTTCTACCTCCTGAACTTCCTCCTGGCTTTTGTCGGCAATGCCCTGGCCCTGTGGCTTTTCCTCAGGGACCACAGGTCAGGGACGCCTGCCAATGTGTTTCTGATGCACCTGGCCGTGGCCGACCTGGCCTGCGTGCTGGTCCTGCCCACGCGCCTCGTCTACCACTTCTCGGGGAACCACTGGCCGTTTGGGGAAATCCCCTGCCGCCTCACCGGCTTCCTCTTCTACCTGAACATGTACGCCAGCATCTACTTCCTGTCCTGCATCAGTGCTGACCGCTTCCTGGCCATCGTGCACCCCGTCAAGTCCCTCAAGCTCCGCAGGCCCCTCTACGCACACTTGGCCTGCGCCTTCCTCTGGGTGGTGGTGGCCGTGGCCATGGCCCCGCTGCTGGTGAGCCCACAGACCGTGCAGACCAACCACACCGTGGTCTGCCTGCAGCTGTACCGGGAGAAGGCCTCCCCCAATGCCCTGGTGTCTCTGGCCGTGGCCTTCACCTTGCCGTTCGTCACCACGGTCACCTGCTACCTGCTGATCATCCACAGCCTGCGGCAGGGCCCCCGCGCGGAGAAGCGCCTCAAGAACAAGGCGGTGCGCATGATCGCCGTGGTGCTGGCCATCTTCCTGGTCTGCTTCGTGCCCTACCACGTGCACCGCTTCGTCTACGTGATGCGCTACCGCGGCGGAGGCATCTCCTGCGCCGCCCAGCGCGCCCTGGCCCTGGGGAACCGCATCACCTCCTGCCTCACCAGCCTCAACGGGGCGCTCGACCCCATCATGTACTTCTTTGTGGCTGAGAAGTTCCGCAACATCCTGTGCAGCCTGCTCTGTGGGCACAGGCCCTCAGGCCCGCCGCCCAGCTTCGAAGGAAAAACCAACGAGAGCTCCATGAGTGCCAGGTCGGAGCTGTGAGCAGACACGCGCACATGCGTGCACTCTCACACACGCACACGCACGTGCACAGCACACACACGTACGCACATGCACACACGCACAAGCACGCGCACAGTACAAGCACATGCACACACTCGCACGCACAAGCACGCACACGCGCACAGCACACACACGCACTCATGCACGCGCACAACACATGTGCACAAGCACACGCACAGCACACATGCACAGCACGCACATGCACAAGCATGCACGCACACGTGCGTGCACACGTACACGCGCACACATGTACACGCGCACACATGTACGTGCGCACACCCGCCTCTGCAGACTGTGGTGGGACAACTCCCTTGGGCTCTGAGGCTTCTCCCAGACTCCCCCAGGAGCAGCCCTCCTTGTCCCCAGCCGCACCCTGAGAAAAGAACCTGACATCTCGGCAGATCACTGTCCTTCTCTGCCAGGTCAGAACTCATCACCCAGGTCCAGCCCTTTGTCACCCAATGCACGAGTCCCTAAAGAGGGAGCCTGCCTGGACCGGCCCACTGCAGACGGCTGGCCCAGCTGGCAGACGGCTCCGAGAGACTCGGTGGTGTCCCCCTGCAATGGGAGGGCAAGAGGCCAGCGAAGTAGGTCCTGAGCGTGTGTCTTTCTCTCCCGGGCAGGCCTGCCAGCCCCCAGCCTCCTTCCCACTGCAGAAACACAGAGCAACAGTCCGAGCAGACGCAGAAAGCTTGCGAGGGGTAGGAGGCGTGTCAAAACATTCCCTGCGACGGACAAAGTGCTCAGAGTTCCCTTTGCGGCACCTTTCCGATGACCAAGTTTAGGGGACACAAACTATAAATGATAGCTGAGCACTGAGTACATTTCAGGCTGGTTGCCAGGTGACATCCAGCAAACGGGCTGGTGGGGCACATCACTTCTTGGTCCATCCTGCCGTGAACCCACACAGAGGCCTCGTGTGGCCCGAGTTCCAGACCCCTCGTCCTGGTGGGGCCACAGCAGGCTTGGTCACTGCCTGAGAACACCTTGGGCAGGGACCTGATCCTGCTGTGAACCCCCCCCCCCCCCAACTCAGCCTGTGGTGTATCCTTAGCCCAGCTCCCTGCTCTCTCCCGAGAGGCTCTGCCAGCCGGGCTGGCCACACTTTGAGCCGTTTCTCTCCATGCACTGCCCTAATAGGTCCTTCCCTGCACTTCATTGTACCGATTATGAACACAGCTGTACTTTGTCTGAAGGTTATGTGCTCGGTGAACACCACACCCTCCCCAGGACTTCTCATCAACCCAAGAACGGCAACGTGGCAGCTGGGGTGCAGAAACTGTTTTGACACCCCAAGTATGCCCACCCCACACAGACCCCAAGGCTCTGCCCACAGTCTTCAGATGGCCGGCTGGACTGGTCCCCATTCATCACAGCAAAAGTGCGTTACTTTCGTATCACGACTTACATTTCCTGAGCACTTCCAGCCTGCCCTGGATTTTCCCAGCAAAACAGGGGGCCGGGGGCCATGTGAGCTGTGGCTCAGGAAGGGCACAGGACTCGCTCAGGCATACACCTGGCGGGAGACCCTGCCTGCTTACCAGCACAGCACCCACACGGCGCTGCGTACCCCACAGCCTCTCATTTCAACTCAGGCTCCTGCTGAGTTGCCTGTAGACCCCTGGGTGCCCCCGAGGCAACACGGGGAGGCAGAGAGGAGAGCAGTGCAGCGCAGTCAGGAAGGGTGAGGGGTGCCCCAGGCCCGTCCCCTCAGGGGGCGGGAGGGAAGGTCATCACCCTGGGTGGGGGTGGGAGAAGAGCCACTCTTCTCGGAGGGTGCAGCTCAGGCTGCTAAGGAGACCCAGCACTGAGCACCCACGAGACTGATGGCCCTGAATTTAGGAATGAGTCTAGGCCTCTCCAGAAGCACCAGACCCAGGGGCAGCAGGAAGTAGGTGGCTAGTGTCCGCGGTGGGGTGGCCAGAAGTCACTGACCCAACTCAAAACTCCTGTGGGTCCTCTGAGCCTAAAGGCTCCGTTCAGGTAACCTTGCTCCCTGTCACCCTGCCTGGGCCCACCTCACCTGCCCGCGTTCCTCACGAAACCCAGGTCGGCCAGCTGCACGCCACACAGCTCACAGAGGAAGCACCCTGGGTGCCAGCTGCGGTTCACGGCCTTGATGACCCGGCCCACGATGAACTCGCCTGAAAGGGAGAGGCCCACTCACCCAAGCGCTCGCAGCCTCCACTCCTCAGCCCTGTGCTCCCCTGCCCCCCCCCCCCCAGCTTGAGAAGACAACGCCTGCAGAGCCAGAAGGCTGGTCCTGGGACAGGGACCCGACTCCCCGGGGCCTGTGCTGCCCCCGCCCTTACCACAGGATCCGCAGCAGGGAGCAAACAGCATCTGGAAGTCGTGCTCGCAATACTTCCGGCCTTCGAACTGGAAGGAGCAGAGAAGAGACGAGACAACACCCCGTCACTCCCCCAGCGGCCCTGGCCGGCTTCACCCAGCTGTTCACAGGGCCCGGCCCTCCCTCCAGAAGGGCTTCCTGCAGGCCGTGACAGCAGCTGAAGCAGTGGGGAGGCACTGAGGGGAGGGCCCGGCAGACAGGGAGCAGCAGGCACAAGGCCTGTCCCACGGAGGGGAGTGCAGTGAGGGCCCCATTGAAGTGGGGAGCTCAGCAAGGCCAGCCCTCAAGGGCCCTGCTGTTTGCTAAAGGTACTGGCCCAGGTGTCCTGGGAGCCTGCTGGGGTGGGCTGGGAGGGCTAAGGCCAGGCTGGAACCGTACCTGTCACTTTGCCCCATTCCCTGTGGCCTCTGTGTGAGAAGCCCCTTTCTCAGGAGCCCACAAAAGAGGGGAAACAAGGCGGACACAGGAAGGGCGGGGGCCTGAGGAAGAGCCCCGCATCCTGAGGCCAGCAGGAGCCAGCGTGGACACACCCGTGTGAGCAGTGCAGGCCCTTGGCTGGCCCGGACAGCAGCCAAGCCTGCTTCTGCCTTCTTCCCCCCTGACCACGTCACTGGGTTTCCTGTTCTCTGGAAGAAGCGTCTTATTGGCTGCAACTGGACACAGCTCTGCCCAGTGACTGCAGGGGCAGAGGGGCAGCACTTCATCCAGCAGACACTATTTCCTGAGCACCTGCTGGTGCCAGGCTCTGTCCCAGGCACAGGGCCCCCCTCCCACGCTCCGCCCACCCTCCCCGCACAGCTGGCCAGCACGGCCCAGGAGGCACCACGACAAGCAGCTGCTCCTTGCTCCGCGGGGGCAGACCACACACCCAGCGCATCCATCAGCAGATCCTGTCAGCTCGGCCTCTGAACTCTATCCAGCGTCTGCCACTGGCCACCACCGACTGCAGCCCCAAAGGCATGCTGCTAAAGGTTTGACGCCCAGTAGTGTCTGCCAGTCTCCACGGTGCACACATCCCCCCGCGGCCGCGACGTGGCACCACTACACAGAGCGTGTTCGCTACATGGGCACGCAGAAGTGACTCAGAGGCAGAAGTGATAGTAAAACATGATAGAATAATTAGGACGTGGTGGGCTTGGGGCGCTGTCACCTTTGTTTTTAATAAAATTTAACTCACTGTCCCTTTGTGTAATTTTTAATAACTCTGTGTTTAGCCACCAGCTTGCAGGTGGTTGAAAATTTAACAACGTGCTCCTGGGAGCAAGTGTGCCCAGTCTGGACACTTTACTTTCTTCTGGATTACTGCAAAAAGCCAGATTCTGATCCCACCTGTGCCCCTGGCATCTGTGCCTGTGCCCCCACAGTGGCTCCTCAGCACAGCGGCCTGAGGGGGAGGGGGTCCCTTCCCAGCGGGGGGCAGACTGTTCGACTCTTCGCTCCATGCCCTGCAGTGACTCTTGCCTCTCCCACCGGGAATCCTAAAAAGGCCTACAGGTCCAACAAAAGCTGCCCCCCTGCCCTTATCCCCACCGCTCCCTCTCCTCTGTTTCCCTCACCCCGACTTCTGCTCTTCAAACACCTGCACTCTACGACCTCAGGCCCTTTGCACCTGCTGTGCCTGCTGAACACTCATCCTGTGCTTTGTGCAGTGTGCTGTATGCTGGGCTCCCGCCCTCCGGGACTGCTCACCCCCCCCCCACCCCCGACACCCCTAACAGCCAGAGCACTTAGCACCATCTGAAGGATGTTAAGGTACTGAGTGCACGTCTGACCCCAAGGGTGGAGAAGTGCACAGGGCAGGGCGTTTGCACCCTGGGGCCTCCCTTCAGCACACACAGGCTCAAGGGGAGCACGTCCAGCCTCATGGGTGAGAGATGGGCCCAGAAGTGCCAAAGCCTGACGTGAGTGCCCCTCTGTCACTGGCCAGGCCCCCAGCGGGCACAGCCCCAGGGCCTGGAAGGCAGGGCCAGGTGGGGCTGGGCTCCCTGGAGGGGGGCTGGGCCGGGGAGCAGCCTCACCTCGTAGAAGAGGCCCTCAGGGAAGGGCCGGAAGCACTGGGCGCACACGAAGCAGTGCTCGTGGAACAGCTCCCCGCTGCTGCTGACCATCCGCTCGGTGGGGGCGAAGCGGGCCTGGCAGCGCTGGCACGCCGCGGTGGCCAAGGCGTTGGACGTGTTGCTGGGGAGAAGAGATGAGAAGGTCAGGACGGGGGAGGAGCAGGGACCGGCAGGCCTGGAGGGTGCATTCCATGGACATGCCCCCCTCAGAAGAGACAATGTTTTCCGGGGTAAGGAAACTCCTTTCCTCGCCCAGGGACAGTCTTGGCACGTTGTCAGGGCCAAGCTGCTGGCACTGGCTTGGGTCCTCCTTCAGGGCAGTCCACACATGCATGAGCACTGTGGGTGGAGACGCTCACGCCCGTGCACACCCAGGGCTGCAGTGTGCACCCCCAGATGGCAATCCTGCCAGGCCAGGTGGCATCTCCATTCCACAGGTGGAGAAAGTGCCACCATGGATGGAGGCAAAGCTCCCTGCCCTGAACCCCGTGTTCCTGTCACACCCTGGAGCTCCCGGCCAGGCGACATTGATCAGAGCCCTCAGGGCCCTGGTCCACAGCTCTCAGGAACCAAAGCCCAAGCTGCCTCTCCCTCTGGGCCCCAACTCCCAGCTGAGGGAGCGTGATCATGGCAGCGCCATTTGCTCTGTGCTGATTCACTGAAGGACACACACCTACACACACACACTCATGCACGCACATGCTCACACATGCACACACATGCATGCACACGTGCACGCTCACAGGCACACACACTCACATATGCACGCATGCACACGCTCATGCACGCACATGCTCATGCTCAGACATGCACACACACGCTCATGCATGCACACATGCTCACGCGCACGCTCACACAGGCACACACACACCCACACTCAGGCATGCATACACGCACATGCTCATGCATGCACACACACTCATGCACGCACACACTCATGCACGCATGCACACACATGCACACACATGCACACACATGTACTCACAGAGTGCCTGGACCACAGCAGGCCTTACAAAGGAGGGTGCTGAGGTTGTCAATGTCACTGACTGGGTCCCCAGGCCACTCAGTCCTCATCTCACTGGGCCATCTCTTGGGGTGTCAGTGGTCACCTCAGCTCCCTCTTGTGCTTCCTGTCACCCCTTCTCTGGGGACCAGCTGGTGTCATGAGTACAGAACATCACCCGGTACAGGTACACAGTCCTGTACTCTAATTGAATCCCCAAGGCACCTCTGCCTTCCAGACAGAGCTAAGCTCAGAGAGGTTGAGTAAGTTGCCCCAGCTCACACAGGAGATGACCACCCAGATCTGACCCACACTGGCCAGGAGTGACCGGCTCTGCCCTGCACTATAAGTTAGTTAATCACCTGCCCCCCCAAACATGCCATCACCCCTCTGGAGAAGGTGAAGTGAGTCTGGGTTAGAGGAGTGGAGAGAAAACCCCACGCATGGTGGTGACTGCTCTCCCTGGTTGAAGTGAGGGCTTCCTTCTGGGAAAGGCGCCCACTGAGCGGGGCCCCAGGACTCCCACTCGGTCCTGAGGCCTGGCCTCTACCACCTGCCAACGCCCTGATGGCCACGCCTTCTCCCACGGGTGAGCAGAGTCCTCCCCGTGCCCACGCCGCTCCACCAGGAGAGAGCAGCCTCAGGTTTGGGAACATCTGTCCAGCCTGTTCCACTTCCCAGACACCGAACACTGTCCCTCACTGCACAGATCATGAGGAGAGTTTCAGGAGCATCCCAGAAGGGGGGCACACGCTCGGCCACCCCGGGGTCTGGGCACAGGCCGTGGGCAGAGGGCCGCTGCCCCAGGACAGACTGGAGGCTGGGCTGAGGCATCCAGAAGAAACCTCCTCTCTGCTCCCCTGGGGACCCTCATGCAGGGGCAGGGCAGGGAGCTCTCCCGAAAGCCTTGCAGGTACACGGGGCTTCTGTCCTCAGACGCACTTTGGGGACCAAAGCCCCCTCTCATGTCCATATTTAGGCTGCAGGGTCAGGGAAGGGGGGGAATGGGAGAATCCAAGACAAAGGGAGGCTGTGCTGAGTGTCCACCTGCCCTGCTCAGTGCCACCTCTGTCCTCCCCAGCTCCCTGCTGATCCCCATAGGGTGGCCATACAGGACAGAGGACTGACCGCTTGAGCCACCCCTCAGAGCAGGGCTGGTCTGGGTTGGCAGAGGCATGGTTTCCTGCCCTGAGAACACGGTGACCGGCCACATCCTCCCGGAGCACACGGTGGAGCACGCACCGCACGGCGTGGCAGGGGGACGTCCCAGTGCCGGGATGTAAACAAGACCTTGATGTCTTAGAAAGTCCGACATCAACAAGAAACCCTGAGGCTCTGAGCCTGCAGTGCCCCACTGAAAGGCCCCAAAGCGCGAGGCCAGAGCAAGGTTCAAGTCTAGGCCCAGGCTTTGGGAAGCTCCTTCATGAGACCTCATGCCTGAGTGAGCACAGGGCCTGTCCTCCAGGCCCCGTCTCCCCCGCCCTCCAGGCCCGTCTCCCTCACCCTCCAGGCCCGTCTCCCCCCACCCCCGCCCTCCAGGCCCTATCTCCCCCACCCTCCAGGCCCGTCTCCCCCCACCCCCGCCCTCCAGGCCCTATCTCCCCCACCCTCCAGGCCCGTCTCCCCCTGCCTCCCCCCCCCTCCAGGCCCGTCTCTGCCTGGGGTGATGCACTGTGCCTCAGAGGTGTCACCTCTCCTCTCTAACAAGAGTGCTGGCTGTGAACTGGTCTGTCTGGTTCCCTGCTGGGTCCTGGGCACCTCAGGTCCAGGCTGTCACTGTCTGTGCTACCTACCTCCCACAGCCCTGGGCAGGGTCGTCGCCTCGCACCCACTGGCTGGCGCAGCCCGCCTCAGGCAGCAGCTCCCCTAATGGCACTTCCCCACATCACCCCGCTGGGGAACACACTCCAACTGTTGTAGCTCACTGTCCTTAGAATCCAACTTGTCTTTAAGCTGCCCTAATTAACAACCTCAGAGACAGCAATATGAACAATGGGGAATGTTATAGATGGCTTTAGCCCCATAAAAATTAACTAGAGTTTGACCTTCACTGGGAATTTGAAAAGCAACATCCTTCAAGAAAAGGGAGGACAGAAACAGCCCCAAGGCCAGAGTGTCCTGCACACTCTGTAAAGAAACTGATAGGGAGAAACTGAAGCTACCTTTACCCCATAAAACCATAACTGTTCAACATGTGTGTATTGCACCTGACTGACCGCTGATATCCGTCTCGAATTTGTTAGTTTTTAAAACTTGGATAATAGAATGAATAGCAGGATAGATGTGTGCTGACCCAGTTCCCTTTCGCCTCAGCTCCCTCCCCCCTCCGTTCCCTCCTGCTTATCGCTAACTGCCTCCGCTTCTGTACACGCAGCTTGCTTGCTCTGCTAAACTCTTGAATGACCCCTGCCCTATATAAGCAACCCTCCCCCTGAGCTCGGGGCTGCAGTTCTCCTCTGTGTAGGTTGGCTGCAGTCCCTGCGCAGGTAATAAAACATCCCCCAAAACTGAAAAATGGAGTCTGAGTGTGGTCGATCTCCTGGGTTACAACACAACCACTAGCCAAAGACAGAGGCAGGGACAGACGTGCCCAGCAAAGGAGCCGCAGTGCTGGTGGACAGCCAGCGGTCTCCTGTGGGAGAGACTCGCTCCTTCAGTGGGACCCGAACAGCCCAGTCGCCTGCTGTGGGACCTGGAACCGGCACCAGCTGCTCGGCCGCATTTCCTTATTTGCAAAGAGGCGCAGCAGCCCTGGCCAGTTGCTTAGCGGTTAGAGCATCAGCCCTCGGAACAATGAGTCGAGGGTTCAATTCTGATGAAGGGCACGTACCTCAGTTGCAATTCGGTCCCTGGCCCTGGTTGGGGCCATGCAGGAGGCAACCAATTGATGTATCCCTCTCACGTCAATGTTTCTCTCCCTCCCTCACTCCCTCCCTCCTACTCTGAAAATCAATGAAGAAACATCCTCAGGTGAGGATTAAAACAAAAAGAGGTGCCTAAGAGTAACAATGACCACCTTGGCAGAGCCCAAGCAAGGAAGCCCAGGCCGGGCGAGGAAGCCCAGGCCCGGCGAGGAAGCCCAGGCCCGGCGAGGAAGCCCAGGCACGGCGAGGAAGCCCAGGCCCGGCGAGGAAGCCCAGGCCCGGCGAGGAAGCCCAGGCCCGGCGAGGAAGCCCAGGCCCGGCGAGGAAGCCCAGGCCGGGCGAGGAAGCCCAGACACGGCGAGGAAGCCCAGGCATGGCGAGGAAGCCCAGACACGGCGAGGAAGCCCAGGCCGGGCGAGGAAGCCCAGGCACGGCGAGGAAGCCCAGGCCCGGCGAGGAAGCCCAGACACGGCGAGGAAGCCCAGGCCCGGCGAGGAAGCCCAGACACGGCGAGGAAGCCCAGGCCGGGCGAGGAAGCCCAGACACGGCGAGGAAGCCCAGGCCCGGCGAGGAAGCCCAGACACGGCGAGGAAGCCCAGGCCCGGCGAGGAAGCCCAGGCCGGGCGAGGAAGCCCAGACACGGCGAGGAAGCCCAGGCCCGGCGAGGAAGCCCAGACACGGCGAGGAAGCCCAGGCCGGGCGAGGAAGCCCAGACACGGCGAGGAAGCCCAGACACGGCGAGGAAGCCCAGGCCCGGCGAGGAAGCCCAGACACGGCGAGGAAGCCCAGGCCGGGCGAGGAAGCCCAGACACGGCGAGGACGCCCAGACACGGCGAGGAAGCCCAGACCGGGCGAGGAAGCCCAGACACGGCGAGGAAGCCCAGACACGGCGAGGAAGCCCAGACCGGGCGAGGAAGCCCAGACACGGCGAGGAAGCCCAGACACGGCGAGGAAGCCCAGACACGGCGAGGAAGCCCAGACACGGCGAGGAAGCCCAGACACGGCGAGGAAGCCCAGACACGGCGAGGAAGCCCAGACACGGCGAGGAAGCCCAGACACGGCGAGGAAGCCCAGACACGGCGAGGAAGCCCAGACCGGGCGAGGAAGCCCAGACACGGCGAGGAAGCCCAGACCGGGCGAGGAAGCCCAGACGGCGAGGAAGCCCAGGACACGGCGAGGAAGCCCAGGCACGGCGAGGACGCCCAGACACGGGCGAGGAAGCCCAGACACGGCGAGGAAGCCCAGACACGGCGA